GGGATGTGCTGAGCCAGGAAACAGTAAGTCACTTCCTGGCTGTTAAATCCAGGGAGAAGATTGGCCTTCTACATCTCTGCCTTTCAGTTTGACACTAATGACTCAAAAGTGTGTCTAAGATTCATCCCCCCTCAGCACCTCCAAAAACAGGAAGAAAGCTGCCCGCCTCCTCTCAGCAGGGACTGGTTCCTCCACCCAAGCCCTTGCGTGTTACTTCAGTGCATCTCTTGCTTGAATTTTGAAAATCTGCAAATGCTGCAGGTCGTTCTCCTTGGTGGGGCATCTCCTTTTCTCATCCAAGCATGAAAAGGGCACCCTCTTCAACATAGGCAGAGGAGGTAATTTCAGCTTAAACAAATGTTAATGTTGCCTGAATTTGGTGGTGCTTAGATAAGAGTTTTCTGCCAAGGGGGTGGGCAGGTAGATGATGGTTCTTCCTTGAATCCTGCCGTGGCCATCATGACCACTTGGGTACAAGCACCATTTCTCTCTTTTAATAGGTATTTCCCTGCCATTCTTCGGTGCTTCCCCTGGTGTCCCCTCATCTTATAGGGCACCTAGGGCCGGACCCTCATCTGCGGCCCCAAAATAACCACCCAGAGAGGAACAAATGGGCTCAGCACCAGTACCTGAATGGTTTGCATGGCCATTCAGAAAAGTTTTGAAGGGGTTGTGGGGGTGGGGGAGGCTGGCTGGTCACACCTGTGATTACAAACCTCCTTTCCTTTTGTACAACTAAGTGATACTTATTCATGAGTAATGAAGCTTCCCAATTGGGGCAGTAGAAACCAACTCTGTTATCTCTATAATCATGGTGATGACAATGCTTTGATTGAAGGGAGCTTAACACCTGATACAACTCAGTATTTTTTTGAACAGGGTTAGCAATAGGTCTTGTGTACATGTGTGTTTGCTCTACCATCAGGAAACAGTTGCAAAGTTGCACACCATTGGGACTACGAAAGGCATGGACTTTTTCCTCTTGTTTAGCCAATGTTGCAGATAAGTTGCACATGTAATGCAACAATAATGTGGGGTCCAACTCTTGTCCTGATTCCCTATTTTGCATCCAAAATATAGGTGGTGTGCCTTTTTTGCCACTGCCATCATACTGCACTTTTGAGATGCAAATGTAACCAAATATCACACAAGTGTTCCTTGGAAATGTTAGCAATGACACTTCCACAAGCCACCAGATGTAACTGTATGATGCATAGATCTGAGCAAGACAAATGTACCTTGCAATAAAAGAACAATCAATTACAGTTAGGTAATAATCTTTAGTCTCAAAGTGAAGATAAATTTACACACTTCCATGTGGTACCATTTTCATTGTTCTACCATACTTTGATGAGAAGTTACGAGGCATCATGATCATCAGACACCTCCCTCCCTTGTAGGCAAATATACTCACCTGGGCATAAATCTTTATTGTGAAATATCTTGAAAACTTTAGCCAACCAGCAGCTTTATCACCTGTTTTCTAATTCATCTAATCAAAATATGTAAGAATTAGCACATTTTAACTCAGAGGTCAATAATTTCCCAAAATCTGTAGACCAGTGTAATTCAATGAAGAGCAAAATTATCATGCAAATCAAGTCATCTGTATATTGGCCTTTAGGACTTTCTTTTTTTCTTTCTCTTAGTTTAGCAAATGGTGACTTTGCAGTCAGCAAATGCCGGAAGGTAGTGGGGTCATGCCCACATGACCTGTTCTCTTTGGGTACAACCTGTACATGCCCGTGCTCTGTCTGTGCACCTGTGGAGCTTGGATCACTGGTGCAATGCGCCAGGGCTGGGTGCAGGCATTGGGTCCCTGGGCAAGCTGCCCCAGGCCTGGAGCTGATCATCAGCATTGCACCTGTGCGTATGGCAGAGTGGAGCCAGCGCCACTTATAGTATTGGTTCTCCTGTCTGCATATCCGGTGGGTCACTGTTTCGGCAGTGCAAGCAGGTCACCCACTGCCACTGGCAGCTACTGGAGCCCAGGGCTGTGTGTCCTGGCTGCAGACATGCCATCACAATCATAATGCCGTCCCAGCACACACAGGTCAGAGGGGACAGTGTTAAGAACACAGCAGCACTGGTGCATCCAGATGCATAGGTCCAGTATTCTAGTCAGCCCCTCTGCCAGGCTTCCCCATTCTATGAGTAGGCTGGTGACTGTCCAAACTACCCATTAAGAGCAATGTCTGCAGCTGCAGCTGGAACCAGCAAGAGTGGCTCTCGTCCAGCACTGGGACACAGTGTGGTGTTCCTGTGACGACAGCCTACGCATTGCCTGTACTAGGGTTGGGTAGTTCTTAAGCCGCAGTCAGAACACGTCTGCATTGGGTTCTGTGCATGCAACACTGCAGTAGCTGCTTTACCTGTGCAGCTTTTCTGAGAGGACCACGGAAGTTGTAGATCAGTTGTGGAACCTGCTCCCCAGCTGCTGCACGGTGCTGGCACGCAACACCCAGCAGTCCTGTTTCCTCCCTGAGTCGACTTTCTCACGGCTGTCATCAACAGCTGCTGCTCCTCTTCCTCACTGCTCCCTTATTGCTCCTCCTCGTTGGATTGCTTGAGAGTCAGAGCGCAAGTGAACAGAGGCTGTCGCTCCTGTCCTGCTCATCCCCTTGTCTGCCTGAGCCCCCGGATCTTTTCAGTACCTCGCATCACTCCTACATTCGCAGAACACACCAAGATAGTGTGCATAAATCTTTACTGTGCAGTGTCGACATTCACTTTATTTTTTTCATGTGTTCATCTTCTGCGTTTATTATAGTGACCCAAGGAGTTCCTGGAAGATAGCCTTATTAGCATCACTTGTTGCAGGAATGCATTTTGTGTGTGAGATAAACAAGTAGGATTACTCCTTGTGTGATGGCATATGTTCAACAGCAAATGCCTCCACAATTAAAGATGTGATAGTCATCCCAGATTTGCTTGGGTTCTGCCCCACATGTACCTTGTATAGCATTGTATGTGGTCCTACCTATGAAGCCCTCTTGGGTGCATGTACGCACAGCATGAATGTATAGCCTTATCCTCCATGAATTTGGTCTGTCCATGCTGTCTATGGCCTCGAGCTTGATGGCTATATGCTGCTTCCAGTAGATGTATAGTAGCTACGGGGCAATATGGGTGGGAAGGTGCTATGGCGCTCGTGTCCCACTTGTAGCCAGCTGCTTGATCACTGTGTGGAATGCTGGATGAGGTGGGCCCTTGGCCGCATTCCTCATGGCTCTTCTTGGGCAAGTTTGCTCTGCAGGTTTGTCTCAGGTATGATGATGATCTGGTCACATTCTAGAAAGACACATTTCCATCTGAAGCTGGAATCTCTTTCCTTGTTATTTATTTTATTTATATCCTATGTTTTTCCTTTCAAGGAACTTGAGGCAGCTTACATAATTCCCCTCTTCCTCTCAATCTTATCTTCACAACAACAACCCTGTGAGGTAGGTTGGCCTGAGAGTCTGTGCCTGGCCCAGAGTCACCCAGTTGGCTCCATGGCTGAGCAGGGACTAGAACCCAGGACGCCAGAGTCCCAGCCCGAGCTTTTAACCTCTACATTACACTGGTTCTCACACTTCTTTCATTTTCTAAACCTTTGGCAGATCCTTTTTCCAAATTCACTTATATAGAAGTGAAGGCAAGGAACATCTTTCTGTTCTAATAATTGAAATATGTTGTTATCAGAATTCCAACACTTTAAAATTGCACACACTTGCTTCAGAGACTGTGTCACTCACATTTTGCATAACTCTTTTGCTGAAATAACTTGGCTACTTGTTTCCAGAAAGGATCAACTGTACAAAGTTTGCAGAAGAATTAGACTCAGAAGCTCGCTTTCTAACAGCTGCAGCTTTCCCCTGCTGAAAATTGCTGTCTGTTCCAAAAACTTCTCCTATTTGTTGAACTTTAAATAATGTCAAGGTACTTCCTTATTTACCATAGCTTTATTGGGGTTGTTCTTCTTGCTTGTAAGTTTGCACAGTGTTGAGCAGGGCTTAACTCTGACAGCGTGGAAGACAAGCATCTCAGCGTGTGTGCTGACCTGCCTTCCTTAGACAGCTTAGTCCTGTGCCAGCCCCTTGCCTCACCTAAATGTTTTTGGGGAGCTACCAAAAATCTCGAGAGGCAATTCATCTGGTTTACGGGTATTTTAAAGGCAAAACTGTACAATCTTTTAAACATTTATTAATGCTTAAAGGGGGCAGAGAAATTTAGTGGGGCAGTCCCCTCCGGCCCTGGCTACAGACCCATCTGGTGCCTGTTTACAGGGTTCAGCTCCGACTGGTGTGCGCAGAAGTGCAGACAGGCTGAAGGTGGAAATGGGAATGCCAAAAGTAGTGCTGGGCACACGAAAAATTTCAAAACTGACACACAACATCTTGCTATACAGCTGTCATAGCTCAGCTAAGCCTTTACATGCATGGCTTTATTACAACACACACACAGTGTATCTGCAGCTTACTGGCTGAAGGCACCAGAGAATGAAGTTGTATATTCCTCTCACCCTAAATTTGATTAATTCTTCAGAGGGTTTAAAATGTGTATGCAACCTTATATTGGTCCCCAAGTGATGAGCAATCACTTTAACTTTCCTTCCCTATGCAGTAGCAGCAGATAATTTTGCAACTCTTCTGATTTTTGGATTCCCCCCAAAATCATGGTGTTTGTGGGCCTGGTTATCCTTGACTGTCAGACTTGCAGCCGAAGAGCCTTCATGGAAAATCGCAGCTCTCCCCACCCAGCTTCCTCACCCACCTTCCTTTGCTATTTTGAATTGCTTGTGTTGATGACTGGGCATGACCCGATGAACAGGATGATGCCAAAGAGAAAGGTGCCTCAAAATACGAAGGAATCTCCCTTTTTTGCCAATTAGATAAAGGCAGGGTGGAGCACAAAGTCATCCCTCTAATTACTCTGAGATTTCTTTGCTTCTTTGTGTGTTTCTTAGGTTTGGAAAAAGATGGTGAGACTCCGCAGACTAAACAAAGCCTCGAAGAGGGTGTGCCTCTGATGTAGGAGCCGTTGCTGAAGCAGTGCCCACAATGAGGCTGCTCCGAAGACACTACGGCCCACTGAAGCTGGCTGTGGTGGGCATTGTCTTTTTGATTTTTCTCTTCATCATGCAAAGGGACGTGGGCAATGGGGAACAAAGGGAGGAGCCTTGGCTGAAGAACATTAAGGACAGGAAGGACCAAATGATTGACATAATGATGGGAGCAGTTAACAACATCCGTGACTCTATGCCAAAGCTGCAGATCCGGGCTCCAGTTCAGCAAGAGGCGCCTGTGCAGGACAGCAAGTCCTGTCTGCCGGGATATTACACACCTGCGGAATTAAAGCCCTTCGTGGAGCGCCCACCTCAGGACCCTAATAGCCCAGGGGCTGATGGCAAAGCTTTCAAGAAGGACCAGTGGACACAAGAAGAGACCAAGGAGAAAGAGCGGGGCTATGAGAAGCATTGTTTCAATGCCTACGCCAGTGACCGCATCTCTCTCCAAAGAGCCTTAGGACCAGACACCAGGCCTCCTGAGTAAGATCTTCCTCCTCTCCACTCGCTTCAGTAAATACTGGAAAAGTGAGATGAGTGCAGGCAGCTGATGGCGAAGCAGAGGCTTGCCACAGAGGGCATTCCCATTCAGGGGCTCAGCTGCAGCAGCTGCCTGCATGATGTGGAGAACTTCCTTGCACCTGTTTATGGTAGATCTCCATTTATCATGTCAGTGAATTCTACCAGTGGCCACTGCCCAAATGTTTGCAGGCCCACTGGAGTAAGTAATCCACATTGTTCTGTACTTGTGGCACTGAAGTTTTCCAGGACACAGAATGTTTGCTGAGCTGATACCTGCAAACATCCTGATTGTTCAGTGTAGGCAACATCATGTCTGTAGTTCAGCTTCTGTGGGAATGGATAGCTCTTAGGCTGGGATTAAAACCTTGCACATGTCCTGAAGAAAGAGAGGCTATGTGGGGGATGCAAAGTGCTTGCAAGTTGGCCAGGAGGAGCTCTCATGAAGTAGAGACCCTCACAGTTGCATAGCCTAGAGTGGTGGAGAGAAAACACCATTTGTTCAAGGAACACTTTCCATATTGGCAGGTCTGCCTTTTCTTGCATTTCTCCCACAGAACCTGTACCTCATGCAGTGTTCTCACCTTGTTTAGATGAGGCTGAACCTTTTTCCAATGTGAGCTAAGAATGAGCTCTGCAAAATGAACTTTGTGCATTTTACTGGAAGTTCTGTAGCAGCAATGGTGATTGGGAAAGCCTTTTAATCAATGAATCCTCCAAAGGACCCAGAGATCCTTAAAATATAGTTTGAAAATAAGTGGTATAATATATTTTATAGGCAACATACAATTCATTAGTAATGGATAACTAGTGTGTTGTAATAGTTAGATATAGAACTAGTTTCAAAGAGATCTCTTGCTCTCATGGCCTAATCTATTCCACAGAGTTCTTATGAGGATAAAATGAAAAGGGGACTGTGTAAACTAGCTGGAACTCCTTAGAGGAAAGATATTGTAGTAATATTTGATAGTTGACAAAGGAGATTTTATAGCCAACATTTTAAAATGAGGGGTTATACCAGGTCATTTTTAATTTTGTGTTTTAGGAACCAATTTTTAATTATAATAATAATTGTGATCGTTAGTTTATTTTTATTTAAGTTGGAAGATCCCCACAATATCAAATTATTCAGCTATAATAACTTAGAGGTGATATTTAGATTTTAACAACTGTAAAAGAATATCTGCTAACACTGCTTGAAGTGTACACATTGTAACAACTGCCTAGCTACGTTTGGGGATCTAAAGTGAGATGGGCTGAGGCCTGATTCTGATTTTAGCTGCCTGCACAGATTTATAGGGAGTTTACAAGAACTCATTCTGCCAGTGATGAAATCTTGTTGGTTTTCTTTCATCCATGGTAATGGAAAGGCCTGGGACACATTTCTCCTTTTTAATTATCTGCTGCTCTCCCCTGCCCCTCCTGTCCCACGTCCTCTATCTTTATGCCCCACTAATGCCCCATTTATAAGCAATAAACACCTACAATGGCAACCCTCTTTTTTTGAATTAAATAAAATAAAGGTTGCCCAAGTTCAAAAACTTGCTTGATTCCATCTGTCGCCTGCCCTTGGTTTTGGTCCATTTCCTCCCATGTTGAAGGGCTTCGTTGCTCCCTTAATTTTTCACTTTGTTCGCCGAGTGGAACAGACACGGCTTACAGTACAGCAGGGGGGCAAGGAAGGAGCCAAACGTGACCCCTGTTTCTCCCCCCACCTCCCCTTCCCTGTCGTCTCCAAAGGCTTTCTGAGGCTACTGCTGCTTTTCATAAGGGAGATAAGTCAGTCAAGGCCTTGTGGCGGGTGGGAGGGAAGAAGACTGCCAACAAAGGCGGCTCGAATAATAGTTCATGACTAGGCCGGGTTTGCAGGCAGCCTCTCTCTTCTGCTTACCTCCTGCCCTCTCACCAACCGATTATTTCTGCCTAGCAGGTGTAGATATCACAATAGAAGAATGCAGTGCTCTGGGCAGAGAGTGCAGTCAACCAAAGAGGCATAAACCAATTTAAATTAAAGTGTAAAGCCCTCCCAGAACCGAAACCATAAATCGGAGAGCTGGGGAAATTGGCTCAGATGGAAGGAGCCTGTGAATGAAACTCTCATTGTTGAAGCCTTTGCGGGGGAGCAGGGGGACCTACCATGTGGAACGTTTTCCCCCTTTTGATGTGCTCCAGAGGTATGCGGCATGTAAGGGACCCGTCTGCCTTCCTGCTGGAAAGTTTATGGAGGGGTATGGGCAGTAAAATCAAAAGAGATCAGTGGGATGGCAAGGAGGCCGTGGAGGCATTCTCTGCCGAAAGAATTTAAATCTTGAAGATACTCTGTCCTATTTTCTTGTCCTGCCTTGCATGTTCTGGAAATATCAATACCAAATAGTACCGCGAGCAAAGCTCACCGAGTGTAGTAAAAGCGTTTAGTTCCATATAGGATTTGTGCTTTGAGTAGAGGAGCTGCATGGTTTGGTTGGCAGCCTGGCCCTGCCCAGACAGCCCATGAAATCCTCCCAGGAAATGCCATGAGGAAGCGCTCCGATGAAGGCAAGGCGTTGTGGCCAAGTGCTGCTGCATTTTGAAGTGCTGGGCCTGGCGGTGGGCAGGGATGGCACTGCTTGAGCTCTGTTTGGGGCAACGGGATATCTTGACCTGAACAGTGCTGGTTAGGAGCCACTGAGGCCTTTCTATATATTACTCAGCTATGTCATTGGGCATGCAATCCATGATGAACCAGTTACGGAAGTCTCATTTTTTTAGTATATGTCAAAATAATTGTCACTCCTCTCCTCAGATCCTTCTTTTGGACCATATGTGATTCATTCAATGGGAGCACAGAGTCCCTGGTTCTACGTTTCATATAGTTATGGTTTATCAATGTTAATGTCTGTGCTCATCTTTTGGTGCCATAAAGCCAAGAAGGTGAACCCTCAGCAGCTGAAATTTGGCATGCATGCTTTAAGGGAACCCTTGGGCTATGTATCTTGGGGTTACTTGGTTCCTAAAGCACATGAGTTAATGGTAATGCCCGTGTGGTTGAACGCTTCTTCTACTAAAGATGGCCCAACTAGCACATAGCTTTGCAGTGTGTACAGTTTGAGACCACAGGAGATCAGTAGGCAAAAGAAGGGTTATGTCCCTACCCCCACAGTGTGTGGCAGCCCCTCTCAGAGGAATGAATAACCTCCTAGTCTCTCTCTTGAACCGGAGATGCTGAAGGCTGAGCCAAGGACCTTCTATATGCAAAATGTATGTCCTACAACTGAGCAATAGTCCCTCTTAAATGTGTTTCACAGTCAAGCTCTTTTACTGTGTAACAGAAGCCCAAACGTCAAATTGCATATGGTCTGTACATTGCAATCCAAGTAAGGGTGCAAACCTATGATAGCTCAGCCCTGTCTGGGGTGAGGCCACAGGACAGATCAGAGTCCCTCCTGCAACCTCAGCAAAACCCTCTGAAGATGGAGCTGGGCTTAGACCTTGGAAGGCCCTCCGGCCTCCCTTGCAGCTGGTGCACTGGTGGGGCTGCTAAGACAGAAGAACCGTTTCAGAGCTGACATGGGGGCAAGGTGAGGTGGGAAGGAACAAGACGCCTCCATTTTCTGAAGAACCCAGGCAGTGCCCAAGCTTCTCCCCCTCCGGGGGGGGGGGGGCATTTTGATGGCCAAGCCCTGTTGTCTAAATGTTTTGAAGGTCAAGGGGAGCGAGGATGCCACTCTCCTTCTGCCTTTCGTTAGATGCCTGTAATCCTCTGAATTCCAAGGGTTATGAGCAGCCGCACTGGATGTCACCCTAAAAGAACCTTGTAGTGAATCCCTGTTCTCCTCCTAAAATGGCACCTTGGATCCAAGCCCTGTTGAAGTATGAAGGGACATCCAGATGCTGGTTCATAAGTGCATGAGCAAAAAGTAGCAAAGCAATGCCACTTCTTCCCCAAACCTCAGGGGAATACATGATCTCCCTGCCACCACGCCTTTTATTGAGTTAAGTTATTCTTTGTTCACAGCTGTGTTTCTGTTTCCAAACATGTAGCAGAGAACCAATTGAGAGCACTAATGTTGTGGTCCATTACTTGGGATTCAGTCCATGAGCTCATTCTGCTACCTCTGGTCACTTATGACAAAGTCAGAGGAAGAAAGATGAGTGGGAGGCCATATGTCAGAGAGCGCTCCTAGGGCTCTTGTGTCTTTGAAAAGTTAAGAAGAAAGGGCAGATCTTAGCAGCTACAGCTTTTCTCATTCCTGCATAGCTACACTGTAAGCTGCACCTGCTGAAATGCCGCCTGCTGCAATTACTTGTGAGCTACCTCTCAGCTAACATAGCATGGAGGAAAGGACCGCATGAAAGTAGGTTGTCCCTGGTTAAAACTGTGCTTTTGCTGTAGGCTGATTAAGTGGCATTAAGCCCCTCTCTGTCTCAGCTTAGCAAACATTCCTTCCATGAGCAATATGAAGGCCATGAGAGTGCCATCTTCCCCTTTACAAGGCTTTTTAAAGGATTATTTAAAATCATATGCAATCTTGCTTGAGCACTCAAGTTATTCTTACCAGCGCTAAGGCTGCAGTTGTCTTATTGGTGGTGGTAGACTTTACTTCTGAATAACTGTATCTAGGGTTCACTAGAGATGGCTGACTCTGCTCATCCAATTAGAAAGTTTGAGGTAATGATGATTCTCTTTGCAGTGCCCTATATAAGTCAGCTAGAAACACACCTCTGGGACGTTTTCCTCATTTTGTTGTGTTACAATCTGGAATTGAAATGAATTTCATAGGCATTGTTACCTGTTGATGTAGACAAGTTTCTCAACTCTGTGAAGGTGCAAAATATTTTTATTCTGGTGCAAAAGTGAAGTAAACAAACTGATATTTGTTGAATGTTGACTGTGGAAGTACAGTCACAGATGTGCTTAAATGCATAACCCACTGCCTCCAGAAGTTGTGTATTGTAACAGTAGGATTTGAATGGAATCCATCTATGTGTATTTCCGGTGCCACATGCTCTAACGGTAAATGCAACTGTATTTTCTGGGAGGCCCCAGAGTTTGTTGGGAAGCTTATCTAAACAAACAGCAAAAAGACCAAGGAGCTGTCAGAACAACTCCAGCATGAAGTTGTACAGAAGCACCAATCAGGGTTGGGTTAAAAACCTCACAACTACAAACATCCTCCAGAGTACCAGTAAATCCATTATTACAAAATGGAAAGTATAGGGCTATGCAACAACTCTGCCTAGAGAAGGCCATCCACCAAAAATTAGTGATTGAAAAAGAAAGGAGTCAAAAAAAGCAACCAGCAAACAAGAGACTAAGGGTAACTCTGAAGGAGCTGGAAAGATCCACAGCTGAGATGGAGGAAATGGTTCATCGGGCACCTGTCACCTGGATGCTCCACAGAGTTGGGCTGTATGAAAGAGGGTAAGGGGAAAGCCACTGCAGAAACAGCCTCATATCAGAGTCTATTTGGAATCTGCCAGAAATTGCTATTCACTAGTCAATCCCATAGAACCTGACAGAACTGAAACAATTTTGCCAGAAGAACAAGTATTGCAGCATCCCATTGCATACAGCTGATGTTTACCTAAGAAGCCTGGCAGCAGGAATTGCTGTGGCTTTTGACATATACAACTAATAAATGCCTGTTTGCTTTTGTTTACCTTTGTGCTACAGTAAAAAATATTTTACACCTTGCCAGTGTTGAGTACCTTGTGGATGCTGTGTTAACAATACCAATTAAATCCATTTCAGTTTCACATTGCGGCACAGTATCATGGAAAAGCCAAAGTGGGCTAATAGTTTTGCAAGGCATTGTGCATTAGTCTTGTAAATATGCTCACAGAAATAACTGGCATCCATCTTGCTAAAAAATAAAATTAAAATAAAATAGCAGCTGGCACTTTCATGCTGGCCATGATAGACGGAGAAGAATGAAAATACAAGATATAAACCCATTAGCTGGCAAGGTTACAAAAGATAATTGTACTTATTTAAAATATGTCTTGGCTAGCTGTCAAAGCAGGAGCCTTCTCAAGGCGTGGCCTAGACGAATGAAACTCTTCTACCAACATGATAAGAAAAACTGTAAAAGCAGTAACATCGACAAAGAATTTGAACATAACAAAGCCATCCTAGAAGAAAACCTGTAGCACACAACAGCTACTCCAACCCTGTCCAATAAAACATGATCAGGGGAAGGTCAGTGCTTAAAGTTTGCAAGGATGGGGCCTAGCGAACCCCTGATAGTAACTTATTCTAGCAGTGTGGAGCCACTGCAGGAAAGACCCTCTCTTGTGTAGTTAAACATCTAACTGAATTACAGCTGGGCAAATGAGAAGGGCTTCACTTGCCAACCTTAAAAGTGTGGGCAGGCTTTCCATCAAAAAGACTGGAAGTAGAAGAACAGTGTCCTATCCTTCTGTCTGCCCACTGTGTTTACAGGTTGATCCAAAAGGAAGAGACTTTCTTTACCTAGTAGCTAGTTTAGAAGCCAAGCCCTTGATTGTCCTTTCTTGTTCAGCTTGCTCACTTGCCTACCTGCATGGAATTCCTCAGAACCACAGGTGCTGAGTTCCTAGATTCCCATGGCTGTCAGGTGAATTCTTAAATACAAGGCTGATTTATATGGTGCTCCATGCAACACTCATAGGTCATTCTCCATTGCCTCTAATGTCAAAGCAGCCTCAAGGCTTGGGCATTCCCCACCCACCCCATTCTGTCACAACTGGGAGGCAAATTCACTTCCATTTTCCAGCTCATTGCAGTCACTTGCTATGTGTGAACCTAGGTAAATAATGGTCAGTCATAAGTATGGCTTGGAGTAGGCTGAGGCAGTATTAAGGAGCCCCAAATCTCGGATACCATCTGCCCACCACTCTGCCATCCATGGGCACTTGCTGAGGCCCTGGTGATCTTGGCATGGCCATCTCCTTAAGGTTTCTGTACAGCAAAGGAGAAGGCGATGCAAAGGCCTTGCTTCAGTGGGCATTGTGCCACCTGGGCTTGCCTTCCCCAACTGGGAAAAGCCTGCATGCAGCAAAGCAGGCTCTCCAACAGAGAGGCTGGTTGGAGGAGGGCCCATTGGTGCTTCTACCAGGGACTCGGTGGCTTCAGGAAGAAGAGACCCACTGTGATGAGGGCCATCCACTGGCATGAGAGAGGACAATTCAGCCCACAGACTCAAATTTCCCCCCGCTTGCGGCTTACAGAAACAACCCAGCTTTCAGACCATTATCTTAGTGGTTACAGCACTGTGCTGTCAAACTGAGAACCAGTAATGCTTTGGCAGGTAAGTTTCATACCCAGGAAATCTGGGCCCATGGCCCAGCTTGCCTGTTATTTTTTAGGGTGCATGTGGGCCAGCCCAGCCTAGTAGGCAGTACAATAAATTCCAGAGTCTCTGATTCAGTAGGCTCTAAAAGCTCCCCCCCCACACACACACACTCCCCGGGGGGGGCAGGTGCACACGCAAAATGTTTTATGGGCACCCCTTATTTGTAAAAAGGAGGAGGCATTTCAGGAGACTCACAGGATAACATGCTATGAGAACAAATATTTACTCTTCCCTTTCACCCTGTTTAGAATGGCATTTACTTCACAAATAGAGGGGGAAATCCCTTCCTCCTTCCCTTTCTATCGATGGGAGGATGTAGTTGGAGAAGCAACTGAGGGGTGAGCATCATCTCTCCGCAAAGGACTGTATGTGAAAGGATTGTTGAGGGTGCTGCCCCACTCCATCCACTGAGATCACTGCTGTAGCTACCATAGTTTTATGGATGCCAAGTTAGTTTCTGCCCACAGCAGGGCCTTGCCTATAATTGCCCCAGGGTTGCTGCTGAATTATATTTTTAATTAATTTCTGTTACATTTGTATTGTGCACTGCTTTGGGGAACTAGTTTATACAACACAAGTGCTAACACAAATTACATTGGCCTAGACTAAGGGACATTCGTTCGTTCATTTATAGCATTTGTATGCCACCCAATTGTGCCACAGCACTTCTGGGCAGCTTACAATCAGGAGATAAAACACAATAAAAAAACTAATTACATCACTTAAAAATAAAATATTAATAAAATATGGATCAAAATACAAAACAGAAGGTTGAGTGGCATTAACTATTAAAATATTTTTTGAAAAAGGAAGGCCTTTGCCTAGCTCTGAAAAGAGTATTTTAGCACAACACCAGAAAACTGGAAAAGCTGTCATCCAGCTAAAATAATTGGTATTGCACCAGAGGTCCCTTATGCTTGCATAAAATGATTTTTGTGTATTCTTGTACCACATTGATTACAAACCTGTTTAACTAAACACAAATTCTAAGGGCCTACCTACAGTAGGGGTTTCTCAGTGAATAAGTGTTACAAAGTACTGATGTATTAAACTAATTCCTGTTTAGCTCTGCATGAATTCAGTTCCTCTCCAGTTTAAGTTGAAATGTGTTCACACTCTAATTTTGGGGTTAGAGGCATAGAAGCACTGTTAACAAGTTTCAATTCTATTTCTACCCAACAGCCCAAACACTCTAGGTGGTTTATATCAGCTATCTTTTCTTATGCACACTTTGGTTTGCTGTTCATTTCCTAGGTGCATTGATCAAAAGTTCAAGCGATGCCCTCCCCTGCCAACCACCAGCGTTGTCATCGTTTTCCATAACGAGGCCTGGTCAACTTTACTCCGGACTGTGTTCAGTGTTCTGTACTCCTCCCCAGCTATATTGCTAAAGGAAATTATTCTGGTGGATGATGCCAGCACAGATGGTAAGTACAGCGTCTTTGGTGCTGAAGATGGGCTTTGCACTGAAAAGCTGACTTTGACTTAGGGGGTATGTCCTAAAATAGGGTTAGGTGCAGCCCTGGATGTCTTTCTTGATGCCCACTAAGGTACCCAAGCTCTCCCATTTAAAAACAGAAAACAAGGCAGAAAAACTATTTTCTTACTGCTAGCTGGGTTGGGTGTGAAATAGGTGCTGGGAACTGTGGGTCCACATAGGATATGTTGCCGCTCAGACTCCACCTCTCCAGCCTTTGCAGCAGGTTATTTGTCCTTTAACATGCCTTCCACAGCTGCCATTTCGTGGTGCTGCCCAGGATAGTTTCTCACATTACTAAATGAGCCCACTGACCTGAAAAAGTTACCTATCCCTAGCTTAAGGACACTCTGTCCCTTGGTTTAACCCAACCTCTAGCTGAACGGAGCTCCCCCAGAAGGAGCAGGGTGGGATCACAAGTAGCAGTACCCGTATTCAGTCCTGAGATGGAAATAGGGTGGCCACGCACCTAATTTTTATAGAGGACAAACCTCTGTTTGCAAGTGCTCTTCTTTCTAAGGGCTGTCTGATCCAAGTCCAGTTTAAAGGGAAAAATCTCTAAGAAGGAGGAATTGAGGTGGGGGGGGTGGTCTTGAGGTTGCCTTTCAGTGGTGAGCACATAGGCACTCGCTGAACATTTAGGCACACAGGTCACTAAGCCACAGCCTTCCTCACCCTGGTGGGAGGTATCGTGCTTCTGTTTGAGTTATAGTAGTAATTTCCAAATCTGCACCTAGGCATATAAGGTAGCATATACAAATGTTACATAGATTGGCGCCTTCTTACGTCCTCCTCTTTCATGGTGCATTTCTCGCTGTGCTGTGCTGTGCTTGGTGATGAGTAAATGGCCACTCTAGATGGCATTTTCCCAGGGTTCCTGATCTAAGCTATCTGGAACAGGAGATCTGAGCCAGAGACCTGAGCTTCAAGCAACATCCTACTAGTATAAAAAAAGAGCAAGGGCAAGTTCCTCATATTTTTACCACGTCTGGTCAATTCAGAGGTTTTATACTAGCTACCAATTATATGGGCTGATGTTTATGTTACTGTGCCCTTCTATTCCTTTGGGGGTCTTTAATTCTGAGCAACCACAGTTCCAGGTAGTTCATGGTAATCTGCTAGTGAGGATTACCATACAGGTGCGTCTTTCACTTCCAGGTGATGGGGTGGGGGGAGTTGTCCCTTCAGATGTACTCTTAGGATGCTTCCTTGATCTAGCTGTCTGCTGTGTCCCTGCCCCTACCAGTGGGTATTTTAGAGTTTGTGTGTGTTTGAATATACCTGCCCCAAGGAAAATGATAGAGACAGATTTCCCATGATCTGCAGACACAGCAAGCCATATTTAACCTCCATCTGGAAATAAATTACTCACTCCAGCAAGTTTAGAATCTGCAAGCTGTCATTTAGCCATCTAATTTGGTTATGCCCGAGGTTAAGATAATGACACAGTTCAACATCAGGGCTTCCTGGTGCTGGGGGAGGGTTGGAACGGGATGTCTGTTGCCCCGCCGCTCAGTTGCTCAAGGTTCCCAAAAGACTCTGCCAGATTTACCCCCATTCTTTCGAACAAACCAACAATCTTGTTTTAGGCAGTTCTTCAGTTCCAGCTCTCTCACCTTTATCCATTCTCCCTGGTCCCTTCTAATGCTTTGCATTCTCTTTCCCACCCCTCCCTTCCTAATACCATTCTTCCATTCTCTCTTCCTCCTTTTAGAAAACTTCAAGCCCCTCCCTCTTTTCCACTGAGCCTTTTTCTTCTGTGCACGGATGGCTCCATTTTGGGGAAGGGAGTACTTGGCACAGTGTCCTAAGTCAGTGAGTCCCGTTTGTTATAATTCATTGCAGTGTTTTGTTTAGCATTTTTACCCAGTGTTTCAGTTACAGCTGTACTGATCACTAAAATAAAATTAGCTAAGTACCAAGCCTGTTTATCATCTGTGTGTGTTCTAGGAAAGTTAATGCTTTAAAAACAAGGGAGCATTTATTTGAATGGTCAGGTGCCAAATACTACCTACAGGGGATGTGAACGCCTAGAAAAAACTCTTAAAAGTTAAGGAATGCTTTTTTCTGGAAATTTTTCTGTTCAGTTTTTTCTCCTATGCTTTCGCATTTTTATTCATGAAGGAAGAAAGAAAAGCAAAATTATACCCCTTTAGTCTAGACTCCACTAACTGGAAATCCTGATTAAGGAATCCCAGTCCTGGGGAATAGAATCACCTGGATCAATGCCAGTACATATTCATTTATTATATTTGTATCCTACCTTTTTTCTTTTCAGTATGGTTCTGTAGTGCATACATTTTATCCTGAGATATATGCATCTTCTGCAACTATATGCAGGAAAACACCCTACTGTCTTGTACTGTGGTTATTTGACTATATAACCAATATTCCCTGCTCTGACTGGCAGCAGCTCACCAGGGTCTAAAGCAGAACCCCCTTTTTCTGTCACCTCCTTCCTGATCTTTTTTAAAACTGGAGACTAAACCTCCGACTTGAAACATGCAAAGTATGTGCTCTACCACTGAGCTGTGGTTGCTCCCCGAATCCAAGTACCCGCTGCATTTTTAATCTCTCCTTTCCTTGTCTTCTGAACAACTCTGTAATGTAGGCAAGGCAGAGATCAAGGCCACTCAGTGAGTGTCCTTGCTGAGTGATGATTCAAAGCTGGGTCATCCTGCTCCAAGTCTGAGGAGCAACCCAGTACACAATGCTGTATTTCTTAAGAGTCAGATATGGGTCTCCTTGCCCCAGACCTCACCTCTAATTTGATTGTCTTTTTATTTTATTTATTTATTTAAAACATTTTTATCCCGTCCTTCATGATGAAACGTCTCCGGATGGCTTACAAAACTTAAAATCAACAACAATAATAAAAGTAACGTAGGTAATAGTGTTAAAACAATAAATAGCAAAAAATGAATAAATCACATTCATAAATAAAATAAAAATGTGACTGTTAACTTAAACATCTAAAATCCCTAATTCTCAGAATGATGGTTAAATAAAATGGTTTTCACCTGGCACCGAAAAGAATATAAGCTTGGCACCAGGCGAACCTCTCTGGGGAGAGCATTCCACAGTCTGGCTGCAACCGCAGAGAAGGGCCTATTCTGGGTAGACATCCTCTTTACCTCCTTCAGGGAGGGTTCCCAGAGCAGGGCCTCTTCTGCAGATCTTAAAGGGCATGAGGGCATATCAGGAAGGAGACATTTTTCAAGCCTGAGGTTGGCTCAGACAAGGAAATCTTGACAATTGTTGGGGGGAAATATGTCCATTCCCCAGCAGGTAGCAGAAAGGCCTTTAGAGTAAGTGGTGATAAAGTTTCTTGATTGTTTTGTCAGATTAAGCAGAATGCCCTTCCAGCAATAACAACCAACTTTTTCGAAGCTATTGAGGCTTTTGAAAGATTGCATCTTGAAAAGCTTAATGCTTTCTCTGGCTGCTTTGGTATAGTTGAACTTTGACTGTGCAACTGTTTAGGAAGATTCTAGCCTATGATACTTTAATAATAAATAAGACTGATGCCCCAAGGCCACATGTGTGTATTCTATCAACATGCCCGGGAGGCAAGGCAAGAGGCATCATTATTTTTGTAGGAAGGAGGCAAATGATTTGGCTGGCAGATTGCCTTGCATGACTGCTTTTAGAATATCTGTCCTGCAAAGTGATTGATTGGTAGGGCATGAATTCCTAGAAGAAACAAATAAAATGGCTCGGGATGATGGAAATCATATCCCAGACCCAGGACTGGACCAAGACATTTTGCTGCCTGGTGTTCTCATGCCATCCTTCCCATCAAGGTACATGGTACCCAAAATTGGCTGTGTTATTTTGGGACTTGCGGGAAATAAAATCCCATAACTGACCTCTCAGTAAGGGCAATACAATGCAAATAAATTAACCAACAATTTGTTGCTCTTTCATAATGTTCAGAATGAGCAATCTCAGCCTCCTGAACAGTAAAGCCAGGCCTGTCTAATTCAAGGTCCCATTTCATTGCAAGGTGCTAGATGTAGTAGTTTAAAGCACTGAACTGGGACTTGGATAATCTGGGTTCTGATCCCCACTCAGCCATGGAGCCAGCTGGGTGACTTTGGCCCAGTCACACACTCTCAGCCCAACCTCCCTCACAGAGTGGCCGATATGAGGATAATATTGGGATCAGGAGGAGGCGACTTATGTAAGCTGCTTTGGTTTCTTTAAAAAAGAAAAAGGTGGGATATAAATCTAATAAATAAAATACATGGAAAGTGCCTACATACATGCAATTGCATAGCACCCCCACTGATGCTTGTCTGGAAATTGCATGTGCTGCCCAGCTGCATGTTGGCTTTTGAGCAGGTTTGCAGAAAGTTCTCTTGTTCCTGACAATCTCTCTGATAGGGTGAAGCAGATATTTGCCTAGGAGAGTTGCTCAAATTCCCTTTGAACACTGGTTTCTGGAGGAGTCAAAAAGGCATATGTAACTATTCACCACCGTGGGATGCCTAAGAACAAAAATGAAAGATTAGCTCTGAATTGCTGCAGCTTGTGAGAAGAACTGGGGAGAAAGGCCAGCTAAAGGTGTCCTCACAGTTGTTGTCGTAAGACTTCTGTTACCCTTTGAATGCTCTGTTACAGTACATTAGATAGCTAGGAGATCATAATTATATCCTTAACATTACAAACATCAAATAGTTTCCACCTCCTCTCTTGGCTTTGTTTGTTTGTACTCCTTTTTCTCCACTTCCTGTATCCATAATGGTTTTTCATTCTTTCTATGGTACAGTTGATCTCATTACCACAGAAGGTTAATATTCTGGAATGGTTGTGTTAGAAATATAATAATGAAGGCACATTATATCAGTGACTTGACCCGTTTAGCATTTCAGATGGATTTTTCTTAAATTGCTGACAAAATAACTTGTAGCTAAAGTCCTTGCCCTGTTTTTAAACAAGAGAGAAAAAGTTCTGTGGCTTCCATTTAAATTACTGTGAGACAAGCTAGTGGCCAGTTCGGTCCTAGGAGCCTGATAGGCATACCTCATTACACTCACCTGACTTCTCAGAGCACTGAGAATTTTGAGGGGAGCAGTACCCCAGCTTGGCTCTCTTTGGAAAGCAACCACTGTCACTTTGTGGTGTTTCTGCTTATTTATTTACTATATTGATATCCCACCTTTCTCCCATTGTGAAACTCAAGGCAGCTACTATGTGGTTCCCATGTGGCCTCCCCTCCAAGCTCAGGCCAGCCTCAGACTTGCTTAGCTTCAACATGGTGGATGCCTTATGTGCCATCAGACCATAATCTGGTTCCATATATAAAATGCACATATTGAAAATATACCTGTTGAAAATAGGTAGAGGCACCACTTTCAACACTTCCACAGCTAGCAGAGCAGTGCTACAGAGGTGGAAATTGCAGAGATACCACACCAGCACTTTTTTACAAGCAGGGAAGCTGGCAACATCATCACTTGCTGTTCCTTCTGAGCTTAACCATAACCCTCAGGGTACCTAGTGGGAATTTTCCCCATTCAGTCACCAAATATTATGAGCTATCCCTGTGGTAATGTAAGATATCTGGTTGCAACTTAGCCTTGAATGGACCGCACAGACTTGTTCACTTCACAAGAGGTGGTTTCCCAGCAGTGTAGCAAACAGCTAGAACTGGTCATTTGGTCAGGATCAACGCAGCTGCCTGCAGTGTTGGAGTTGCCTTGTGGGGACATGGCTTGGGAGAACTACCATGATGAGCACATCCACCTCCAAATTAACCAGTACAACAGTGCAGCTGAAGTCCACTGCTTTTGCAGCAGATCTCCAGGGAGACAGCCAGCACCCTAAGGTGCTTGTACAGCCCAAGCTCTGCTCTTTTCAGCTGTGCTTGACTCAAAACTGCAGTCTTTCCACACAGAGACACCCGGATGACTGCATCCTTAGCTGGAAGGAGGTGAAGGTATGGTCTCCTTCCTTGATGGATGTTTTACTATCTAGAACACGGCAGAATGGTCTGATACAGCGAAGCAAGTGTCTAACCATTTAGTTTCCAGGACAACACATTCATGGTTTTTACCTGGAAAAAAGGAAGTGCTTAGTCACCAGGTTTGGCCCAACCTTCAGAAGGCCCATTCACCATTTCCTTTTCTGTTGCCCTTCTGTTTTACAACACGGTTGTGGGCGTTGAAGGGAGGAGCAGTTTTTACACTCTGAAGCCGGATGGCCAACAAAGTGCGAGAGAGAGCAGCAGGTGTTATCTTTGCTCTGTAATAGTCAGGCTTTCTTGCTTCTCAGTCTTCAGTGGTTCTACAAAATCACTCATTCCTTCTGGTTAATCAGAGCCCTTCCTTGCATTTTCAGGTCTCCTGCTATTTTTTAAAATATAGGCTTCTATATAGGGACAAAGTGTGCAGGCAGTATTGTACCAATTGCTCAGTAAGAATTTAACTATCTTGTGTTTTGCGCAATGAGTGCAAAAGTACTGGGACAATTGACAGGCTTTAATAAAGCAATTTTCTTCCTATTTGGTACAAACTCAATAGCTTATATGCAGGAGACGATTCTTGCTTGCTGTTCTGCATTGATTCTGCATGCATCCCATCTTGCTATCTGCCCAGTGGTATATAGCCTGCCGTTATGTGTGGAACTCCCGCTGAGCCATAGTGACTGACCCGAGCTCTTCCACTGAGCTTTGTGGCTGAGCAGGGATCTGAACTCAGGAATCACTTGTTTTAAGTACTGTACTTTAACCACACTAGGTGCACTGGCTTGTTTTTCTACCTCCTTGGGTTCTAGCTCATAAAAACTTAGGCCTACGCTGGTAAGCAAGCCAAAGTAACGCCCACAAAAAGGCCCAGTTTTCCACATCTGTCTCCTTAATTAAAAAAGACACTGCTTTTTGTTTAAACGAAAAATAGTCCCACTTTAATTGGAGAAGTGATTCTTACTAGCCTCAGCTAGCCGGCTTAAGCTGTTATATCACATTTGAAAGGCTAACCATTTTATCACCTTATAAGATTCCCAAAATGCATGGTGTGTCATTGCAGCAGACTAGCACAGCTACCAGATTGGGCCGTTGCCTCCATTTTGCAGTTGCTCTTTTTCAGTACTGTGCTGTCACTTCCTGCCAGTGGCCTCTTCAGACCTTCTGAAAAGCAGTTTACAAGAAAGCTCGGTGTTTTTAAAGTACAGGAAGTTGTCAATATTTAACCACTGAGCGTGGAACCACTTCCTGCTGTGCATCACACTTCATGTGCTAGATAAGGACTTAGGTCAAATGCTAAGACATGCCAGTGGAGTGGGGAGAGAAACTAGTAAGTTGTATGTGATGGTTGTTTAGAAAAACAAGAGCCCTCTTCTGATTCTTTGTGGGCCATGCCAGATTTAAAGGCCTTTCCCCCACTGACTCTCCTCTAGACAGCATTGCAGATTGGCTGCATTCAGGCCACATGATAACTCACCCACAAGAGTAGAGTATGGTTGAGTGTGGCTTGTTGTTAAAATGTGGGTTAGTGTTTTGTCTGAACCCAGTAGTGTTAACAAGTCATGGTTAACAAGGTTAACATGGTTAAGCAGTGCTAACAACCCACAGTTCACAACCCAACAGCAAACCACAGGTTCTCTTCATGACTTGTTTTTGGTTAACAAGCCTTTTTTTTTTAAATCATAGCTAGGTTCAGACAGCATAACAACCCATGTTTTAACAACAAGCAGCGATTCAACAAGAAACCCCACTTAAAGCTTGAATGTGGTTGTGTTGTCTGAACCTTGTGACCAGCATGCTGACATTGGTCACATGGGTGTCCCTGCAGAGTGAGGTCTCTTTCAAAACATGGAACTAACCATGAGGAATAGGAATGTGTCAGGGCTTCTGCGCAGAGTTCATGTGGCCATCACCAAGTATAAAGTGCCCCCTGCTGTCAAACAACTGGTGAGCTTTGGACCATACAGGCTGTTTCTTTGCTGCAAATTGATGCTGTAGGCCAACTCTTCATTCAAGCTAGTGGGCTCCCTACTCCTCTGGAAAACAAACACCTGTTGTTGCAATCAGTGGATGCCAGCCTGTTCCTTCTGCTTTTTCTTGCCCTGAATCAGAAATCTGACCTTCGCCCCAGAGCCCGCTCACATTACATAGCCATCACATCACTGCATGGCTCGAATTAGCCCAGTAGCTCCCACTTCTCAATCTCCCAGGTTTGGCTGGACCTGTGCTCATCACCAACCAGTAATATCTACATTTAAACTTGATTACACAATTTCTGAGGAAGGAGTGTGATGGAGAGGGGACAGGCAGAAGGTAGATTGGGAACTGCAAGTGGATTTCTGGGTGGTACCTACAATATTTTGGTAAAGTTTTCTGCTTCCTTTATTCTTCATGAGCATCAGCTGGTGCTTATGCTCACGCTTTGCCTATCATAACGTCCCAGGAGTGTGGGGGGGTTGTATTTATTTTGCTCCTGAGCAAGCAGGAGCAAGCATGTTAGTTCCTGGCAGCTGTGTGTTCTTGCTGAGGATGGGTGGAGCTCTGTCTCTGGGTTGCTTATTGTGACATCTGAACATAGAACTCTGGGTTGTTGTGGGAGAGACAACCCACAATTGGCCCCCATAGTTAAACACAGGACTGTTGAGGTTAACCTGTTCTGAGAGTGTTTTGTATTTGCTTCTGACATGTTAAGTAAATCTTTTCAGGGCGGCTTGTGCTAGTCTGTTTGGAAGTACGTTCCACTGAGTTCACCGAATCTTGCTGTCAAGTCAGTGCATACTTGGGTGTATGTCGAACCTGGTGGGACTTGTTTCTGAGCAATCCTGCAGAGGATGGCACCAATTGACTGGCTCTTACAAACAATGAGCCTTTTTTCTCTCCTCCCTGCAGCCACCCCTTCCTCAGTCCATCACAGAGCAAGTCCTTGACCATGCTCTTGTTTCAACTGTTTCCTAGCAGAAAGGAAACATTGTCAACATATTTAAACACAAATTTAAATCAGCTCCCAGCATACTTGGAATTTCAGCTTTAGCATCATTACCCTTCCATGCAGTTGCTGGACTTTGAGTGCGGCACCTCTCTGACTCCCTCTATTCTATTCCAGAGTACTTGAAAGACACATTGGATGACTATGTGAAGCAACTGCAGATAGTGAAGGTTGTCCGGCAGCTGGAGAGGAAGGGTTTAATAACAGCCCGGTTGCTTGGTGCCAGCGTTGCTACAGGAGACGTGCTCACCTTCTTGGATGCTCACTGTAAGGAATCATTCTCCCCACTTCTAGGTGCCCATATGTTCAAGAGCGGCACTCACCACCTGATGACTGCAGCGACCAATAATACACCCTTTGTGTGAATGGACTGTGGCACATCTAAGACTGTAGCTAAACCAGTTCACAAATTCCATTGCAGGAACCAAGTAATTTTACTGGCTTGGTTTGGCCTGAGCCAGCCCTTGTCAGCTGGCACTTGAGCATGTGAATGATCTGCATAGAGAAGTGCGTGTGTTGACATACAAGGCTGTGTCTAAAATGGCATGTTCACCTTTGGGTGATCAGATTTGGGGAAATGATGTGCTATACGCATGAGTGTGAAAACACTCCTTCATTGTGGCATGCCTGAAGACTTCCACTACTGTTACCTCCTGTTACTGAACAGATTAAAATATAATAAGACAATAATAATAATACATTGATAATGCAGGTCAGTCTCACTCAACTGCCAGAAAATTTCAGTGTGCAACTCCTTTTTACTGCTGCTGATTCCTTCCCATCCTCAGTTCCTCCACCAGGTTCCATACAATTCCCCCCATGTTATGAATTCTGCAAAGAAAAATTACCCAGTATTGCAGTGTGATGAAATTAGGCTACTCCATTCTGAATTATGAAAATGATATCTATATTTTTGTTTGTTTTTTTAAGTCATGTAAAGTTTATCTACCTGTTCCCATATCAGTGGCAGAATGTTAAGAGGAGATGGGGGTGGGGTGTTGAAGCAGGCTAAAAGGTGAATGGTTATAAAAAGGAAGGACATAATTCCCATGACTGCATCAGCAGGATAAAAACAATCAGTGGCCTGGTGCTGAAATTCAGGAGCAAACCACAACCACGTTGTAAATAATATTACGCTACAGTTGTGGTTTGCTGCCAAAATTTGATGGCAAGACATTGATTGGTTCACCACTGCCTGCACAATGGAAAGTTCTAGGGGGAGCAAGGATGTTGCTGACCCCATGTTGCTGACCCCTGGATATATCGTATACTGAGGTCTCCAGTGCGTTGCATATTAATGTTCTTTGTTGTCACCACTAGAGGCCTTTCTAGAGTCCTTCATCTGCAATAAGGCCTAGTGGCACTGGACCCTATTTTGGATTACTGGTTTCCATGTAGAAAAAATGGAAGCAAAAGGAAAGTCTAGGTTTGAAAATCCAGTTCTGAGGATGCATATATGTCCTGTTTGACAAGCAGACGTGGGACGTTCTAGCAAAAACATATCCTATGTGCATCCCCATGGTGGAGTGCTCAGTTGCTAGGTGTAATTGCGGTGGGGGGAAGGTTTGTGAGGTGTTCCATGCATCAGCCGCTACTTACAGGGAAGGAGTAGCCAATGGGGAAAACATCTGAAAGAAGGGAGGGGGCAGAAACAGTTGGAACAGAGCGTTTTGGAAACGGAGAAATCTTTGTGCAGAGGCCAGTCAGAGGATGCAGCCATTTACCTTCTCTTTTCTCAGGTGAATGTTTCCATGGATGGCTAGAGCCTCTCTTGTCGCGAATTGCAGAGGAGCCCACTGCTGTGGTCAGCCCTGATATCACCACCATTGACCTGAACACCTTTGAGTTTTCCAAGCCCATTCAATACGGGAAGCAGCACAGTCGGGGTAATTTTGACTGGAGTCTGACTTTTGGCTGGGAGTCCATCCCTCAACATGAGAAACAGAGAAGGAAAGATGAAACATACCCTATCAAGTAAGTTCATGATGAAAGCACCTTCTGAAGCAGTCCTCTTTCTCTAGAGCCTGAGAGGATATTTGGAGTGGAAGGGAAGAAATTGTTTTAAGCCGAAATGTTCTATGTTTTCCAAAAGCCTGAGTTTTAATCGCTAAAATTCTGAGGCCAGTTACAGGAGTTTCTCTTTAAAAAACAAAGTGGGGTGGGTTCGTGGGGGGGGGGGGGGGGGGGGGGTGGGGGGGGGAAGCAAACCAACTGGATCACATTGCAGTATTTGCTAAAAACGTGGAGCCAAGAGTTTTCTCTGAATAGCAGGTGCCTGATTCTTCCAAGAGCAAGCTATTTGATTCTCCCAGGCCTCTTAGTAGCACTCAGTGCCACTGGCCACGGCATCCCAACCACCTTCAGTGCTTCCATTCATTCCTGAAGGGTCGGTCCCATAAAGTAGCACTGGGAAACTGCTGATCCATTACCTGGCCTTTGGTCTGCCGTGTGCCTCAAGTGTGCATCTTGTCTCAGGACCAAAACAGGCATTCCTTTAAGTGAGTATCTCGCAGCTATATAGCCCTCTGTTCTGTTCTCGCTATAGAGTAGGTGCAGGGGCTCCAATTTGAATTGAGAGCCCGGTGTACAGGACAGGGGTGCTTTTAGGAGCTGGACTGGGCCTTGCACCTGCCCTAGAGGAAAAATAAAAATGACGTAGCTGTTTGACAAAGTAATGTCTATTTTGGCCCTCATGCTACACAGTATCTGGGTAGAACTGGGCAGAGGTCACCCACAGGTTTGGATGTCCTCAATATGTCAATGGAAGACAGTTGTGTCTTTCATTTCTATCATCAGATCGCATGGGGGAGGCTAGCCTGGCCTGCAGAGCAAACCCTACATACGAATGACCATTTTCCTTGATGGGAAGGAGATGTTCTATATAAATCAGTCCCAGTGTCTTTTCAGGCACAGAATGGGCTTAGAGGTATAGCTGGCACAGTGTTTCTTCACTGGCATTTCTGGAGTTGCCCTGCTCTGTGGGTCTGTGGCCTGCCTTTGTTGAACCCTGGCTGTGTGAATGCACCTTTTTGCAGCTTAGGCAGGCTGCCAGGGTAGAGAGGCGGAATTGGGATGTCTCCTCCAGTTTTGAATGAAGGGGGTTCATTATAAGCTTCATTCCTGCAAATGAAAGGAGTTGTTATATCTCCTCAGGCTCTATCTAGGCAGGTTGTGCTGTTTTGTGAAGGTTCTCATTAACCAGTCAACTTTTCCTTTCATCTTTTGTACTTTATCTTAAATTCTGCCATTTCAATGCATTCCAAATGTCTGTCTTGGTTTTCAAAGCCTGGCCATATTTACCTTTGGCATAACGCGGCAAAGAAGACTGCTCACATTGTAAGAGAAGGTATGAGTGGAGCAAGAGCAGCTGACACAGTGGAGTGCAACCTGTTTCAGACACAATGTCTCTTGGCTTAATGTTGCATGTGCAAGCTGTGGCAAGTCTCAGGCTGCTGCTGCTCCAGACGGGCCTCTGCTTCGCCTTTTAAGCCAAGTCTAGGACTTTGTTGCCACAGGCTCAGAGGGACCCTATAAACTAGCCAAAGTTGCCCAGTCGGACATAATGAGGAACTCAGGTTAGTGTGAAAAATGTACACAGAAGGATTCAGTCCTCTCCTTGCAGCTGCTGCACATAGAAGGGAAGAGAGGACTGTGGCATGCATGTAATGCTAAACCATGGTTTGATGCCAAGTCTGAAATGAGCTAGGCTGTACAGCAGGGTGGGGAACTTTCAGCCCTCCAGATCATGAGGGACTTCAGCCCTGTTCAGATGGGACTGAACCAGCCAGCATTGCTGATGGTCAGGGGATAATGGGAGCTATAATCCAAAAACATGGGGGGCACAGGATTCCCACCTGTACTGTAGACAGATGATAGCTTATGAAAAAGTTGGGGAGTTTACTGTGTACCACAGGCACTGACTGCTCTGTTGTTTCCTTTGCTTCTTTCCATCTTTCAGTGGTCACCAGTTTCCAAAACACTTTAGGTTGATAGCAAGCTTTAGCTGCTTTAGCCATTTCATTGCAACAAATGGGTAGATTTTCTGGTATAACTCTATGCATTTATTAAGTAGTATCCATACCCAGTATTGGGCTCTCTCCTGTAACCTAGTTATATAAATACCCCAACAACTGAAGCCAGTTTGGATCTGTGTTTCAAAGGGTGGTGTTTTCTGTGTGTGTGTTTTTGGGTTGCGGGGAGGGTTGTTTTCGTTTTTGTTGTTATGGTTCTATTTCAAGGAGGGACTATATGTACATGTGCCTCTTTAAATGGAAGCGTCTGCTGGGAAAAGGAGCTGCTCTCTCCAGCATCACTTGAGTCCTTTCATGCAGCATGCGCTGACACTCCATGAGGATGGTGCTCATTTTGTAAAGCTGGGGCTCCAAGTCCCTTTGCACAGCACCTGCCCCTCCCATGCATGTCACATGAACCCAGGGAGTGCTGGGGGCAGGGGGTGCAACATTATCCAGCCTGCAGAGGGTCAAATGGGTGCTGTTTGACCTACCCAAAAAGAGTTCTGTACTCCAGGTACACCAACTGACACCCTTGCCAGAATTTCTGTAGGGAGGATTTCCCAGCCCTTACCTACCTGGAGATCTTGGGGAATCAGACCGGGACATGTGCAGTGCTGCTGAGCTTTCATGGTCCATTTCCTTTATATCTTCCCAAATACAGCCATCAACTGATAAACGTTCATGCATGACCCAGGCCTTAGTCTTGAATCTGTGCAACTACTGCCATGCAGGATATAATACTGAGCATATTTGGGACTGGAATAATCCCTGGAAACTGTACTTCTTTGAGAGGCAGAACTGAAAATTTCCAGTGATGAACCTCAGCATCCTCGGAACCACCAGTTTCCAGAATCTTTGGTGGAGAACCATGTTGGTTAACCTTGCATAAAACAATATAAATCTCCGTGGCAGAGATATTCGAGTCCACCACATCCTTCCTCTTCTACCCCACCATCCGCAGCTCCCACTTCAGACAGACAAGAACTATGAGGTGATCTACCTCCTGGTGTGCCCTTGGGATATAAAGATTGTAAAGCGCTTTGTATTGCCAAAGTTCTCAGAGACACAATGGCAGGATTTTTTGTTTGTGTTTTTGTTTTTTCTGTACAAAAGCAGGATAATGAGGGCCATGACATGAAAGAACCAGGGTTTATTCCTTTCTCTTTCAAACTCTGCCAGCCTCTTGTCTCTCTTGGCAATGAGCAGCTGCAGAGTCGTTAAGGTAACCAGTATCCCAACCTCTTAAAGCTTGAAATGACCTTGAATTCATAAAGTGGAAGACATTTAATACCGGCCCTTTGGCCCTCGGCATTGCGATAGCGAGACAAAATCCTGCTCCTTTGGCCTCAAGTACAGCTCCTCTTTGTGCAAAGGTCAGACGGGAGACTGTTCTGCCCCAATGAAAAGGGGGGTGGGGATTCCTTTTTGTTGCTTAGTTTGAGGGAGAGAGCCTCGAAACTTGGCCTGTCAGCAGCTCCTAATCTCCACTGGCCCCTTTAGTAAGAAAAGAACCGTGTTTCAGAGGAGGCCTTGTGGAAGCAAGTGTTCGGCTCCTATCTCCTCTTCAGAAAGAACAAAAAACTCTGAGGTAACCAATTTATGAAAGCCAGGCAGAGTGAAAAGCTCCGTCTCCAAGTACTCTTATTTCTGGCTTGGCAGCCTGCATTTACAGTAATGATACCCACAGCTGAATAAAGGCCCTGCCTGCTGCTAAGCAATTCTCCTTAAAGCCCCTAATGAAGGAGCCCCGTCCTAAGCAGTGTGGCTGCTTCCATGGCTTTTGAGGTGATCAGCCACAACATGCCTCAGATTTTCTTCACCGGCTCTTCTCCCCCAATCCCTGCCTTGCCTAATAACAGCTTTTGGCCCAGCTGCTTGTCCTCAGTCAGGTAAGAGATTCAGCTATCTGGCAGCCACAAAAATGTTGGATCAAAGAAACAGGGCAAAAGTGCCCTGCCACGTTTTCAGCCCTAATTCCACTTTCCCTGGGTTAAATTTTATGCAAGTTAATTTTGTTTGCTGTTTAGTTTCAATAAAGCCCATGGAATTTTGTTCACATGAATGTGCTTTTAACACACATAGACATGCAGAGACACACCTTCTTCTGTTGGTTTATAACTACATATATAAAAGCTTTTTGTCCCTTAATGCAGTTGTGATTGAATAAGGGTTCTGCAACCTTTAACGTGTCAGCAGTAATCTTCTGGAAATTGGGGAAATAACCTCCCAGCCATCCTAATTTTGTCCCTGGGACTAGAATACCACCAGCTGGGACAGCTAGTGATTCCTGACTCCACTCAGAAACAGTGGTGACCCAAGAAAAGCGGGGGTGGTGATGCTAATTGCTTGTCCCTTTAGCTTTCTCTGTTTAATACTTTTGTAATGCTGCTTCTGCCATAGCTCACATCAGCTTGCAACCTGATCACTCCCTTGGATGAAAGCTTCTTCCCCCACAGGGAACCCCATACAAGAATGGGAAAACAAATACAGTTCTCAAGCCCATCTTAAAGCAGTAGCCATGTATTGGTTTTTGAAATATTAAAGCAGCAGAGCAGTAAACACATCAGCGTATCACTTACCAAAAGCTTGGTTAAACAGCTGGGTCTTCCCAAGCTGCATGCACCTTCTCTTCAAAGCTTGTGGGACAGTGCTGAAAAAGCCTTGTTCCTTCCCACAGATCTGATTTCCCTAGTCCTGCCTTTCCCAATAACTGGTGCCCTCCAGTTATTTGGACTACAGCTCCCAGAATCCCTAACTGTTGGTCACACTGGCAGGGGCTGATGGGAGCCAAAGTCTGACACATCTTGAAGGCATCAGGCTAGGGAAAGGCTGGCGTAAGGCCTAGACCAGGTTCACCATATCTGTCTGCTGACTGAAATGGATGAGTGTGTAGAAGTCTCTTGGAGGCATTCCCTGCAAGAAGTCAGTCCCTGGTTGTGAAGGAACAAGCTCCATGCCTGCAGACACACTGCAGAGCAAACCCCTCAGAGTATCAGAGGAAGAAAAAAGAAGAAAACCTGGATTGGCTATAGGACCATCTTCCATACAGAGACTATCAGTCTTGCTAGGATTTAGGTAATGTTTTTTGTAATCTCCATTTTTGCAGGACCCCCACATTTGCTGGTGGCCTCTTCAGCATTTCCAAGGCCTATTTTGAACACATCGGCTCCTATGATGACCAGATGGAGATCTGGGGAGGGGAAAATGTGGAGATGTCCTTCCGGGTAAGAAAGAAAAGCATAGTACACCACTTGCAGTAGAGTTCTACTTGGTCCATATACTACCTCTACACTGTGCTGTTATTCACAGTATAAGGCCATTTTATTTGCACAAGTCAGAAGAGCACGTAGTGCTTGATACAGCAAAACCTTCAAGCAGAGTTGCACATCAGTCAGACAGACACTGCCCTGTTTGAGTAAGGCTATGCTCACTGGCATCCCACACACAACCCCCACTGTGGTGCACCCAAATAGACGTCTGAGCAAGGGGCATGCCCACTCTCTTCCCCTGAGGGGGCCTGCCCCACAGCAAGTGGGAGGAGGCAGGCAACTAACTGTAGGTACAGATTACAAACAAAAAAATCCTGAGGCACACATATTTAGTATGTGTAGTAGTTTCAGGGATTTAGGTTTCATAATCTGTGCTCTTTGGTGCTGATGGACACACTATGCATTCTCTTATTGCTGCTGGTGGTGGTGGTGATGATCATCATCATCATCATCACCATCATCATCATCATCATCATAAGTTTTCACAGCTCCGTGAACAGCCAAGCACAATGGGTGGATGAGAAGAAATTTTCAGCGACTTGCCTTGTTTGCTGGTTTTAGGGCTTTTAAAATTTGCTTTGAAAGTTTGAGGAATAAGATCTTGAAAAAAGGTTGAAAAGGTTGGGGTAAAAGCCAACAGCATAACTTGGTGGTGATTATACTTCATTTTCTGCTGGTATTTCAAAAAGGTTTTGGGGGATCATATTTGCATTAGTTTGAATTTAATGTTACTGATGCTTATCCTATCCTTACTCCAAAAAGCTCATGGAAATCTGCCTGGTTTTCTTCCCCTTCCCATTTTATCCTCACACCTGCCCTGTGAAGTAGGCTAGGCTAAGAGCTGTTCACTGACTTGGAATCCCCGGGGAGCCTTGGGGCTCAGCAGGGTCATGAATCCAGATCTTTTTTGCTGAAGCCCAGAATTGTATCTGCCAGCCTGCATAGCTCTGAGTGTCCCTGTGAAGTTTTTGGTTAAAAACAATCCTTCAGCCATCGCTGTGATTTGCTCATATTTTCTTGTGATGTATATTCTGTTGGCTGCTGCTTTGGATAGTGGCAGCAATGTGATCTGGATGGGAGTCAGTGGCATGCCAACTTAACTTACTGTAAGGACGTACTATGCAGTGGCATCTTTCCAGCCTTGTTAAAAGCGTGGAACCCCTCAAGGATAGTGCCAACCAGAGAAGTCTCTCCCATACTCCCTGCCAAGGGATGTTGGCCCTGCAGTTTCTCTCTTCCCTCTGGGTTAAAGCTTTTGACTATGAATGGAGTCATGTGGTAAGAAGCCCCGGAGAAGGCATTTGCTGTGGTCAGCTGGTCCCCATGGCCACTCCTGTGCAGAGGCTAGTAAATAGCTTCTGTGTACTGGGGTTCTCCGCACAGTCTTCCCCCTTCTCCTTAGCCCCATTTTCAGTGAATTATGCTAAAACAAAATAAAACAGACAAATCAGAAAGAAGAAAAATTGAAATTAGCAATTATTGATCTTTAAATATCCACATATCAGCATAAATACAGATGAATCTATTATAAATAAGCATCAGCAAATGCAGACCAAATATCCATATAGATAGATATGTATGTCCATTTGATAATGGCATCTGCGTACGCCATCTGCTAAAATGCTGAATGCATCTCTCAATCTTCAATCCTTTGTATTCTAGGAGGTGAGCTTTTATCTTTCCAGTGTTGAAGTGTTGGTCTCTTGTTGGTCCAAATCATGCTGAAAATCCATTTATGTTTCTCTGTGTGGGTTCTCCACACAGTTAAATCTGTATCCTGCCTCTCGTCTAATTATGACCAGCACTGCACAGGCTTGGTGGCTACCAAAGCAGGGCCCAGGCCAGTGCCATGTGAGCTCTGTGAAATAGTGAATGTTGAAAAAAAAACTTAAGAAGAACATATACTAATCTGTATCACAGCACGCATGCCAGCTGCATGTTATTGCAAACACTTTGCTTTTTATTGGATAATAATGGTTTTTTTATTTTTAGATTTGTCAGCAGTCTAGAAAAATATTTTATAAGAGCTTAATCAATTTAATTAAGTAGAATTATTGAGAAGGTGCAAGAGAATCTGGAATCCCCAAAAAATGTTAAAATTATTAGATTCTGAGAAGGAAAGGAATAAGCTGGAAAATATAGCAAGGGAAATTTTGATATTCATTCTTGCAATACAAAATTTTCATCATGTGGACTCTGTATTTGGCAGTCCCACTGAGATGAAAGCTGGTTTTTAAAGGCCCCTGGGAATAGCCCCTTTATAGGCTAAATGCTGTGTGGAGCACCACCTTGTGGCTGCAAGGAGAAGGATGAACTGATAGAAGTGTTCCTGTGGACGCCCAGTTAAGGTTTGCAACTTCATTCAGGCGGGCACCCACACACAGAAGATGTGTTGCTAACTATCTGTAACAGCTTCTCTCCCGGTGGGATAAGAGATTTCCTGAACAAACAGAAGATTAAAAATCGTCCTCCTGTACCATGGTCTTGATTCCCCCCGTCCTGCTTTTCTTATGTAAAGAGAGAGGTGGGGAAAATACTTGCATATTTCACAGGAGTTTTGGGCTCTAATGTTTTGCTGCAGGGACTGTCATTCTCCCTTGGCATAAACGGCACTCTTTTATCCCCACAGGTTTGGCAGTGTGGGGGGCAGCTGGAGATCATTCCATGTTCCGTGGTCGGCCACGTGTTCCGTTCCAAGAGTCCCCACACTTTCCCAAAAGGAACTCAAGTCATCTCTAGGAACCAGGTGCGCCTGGCGGAAGTCTGGATGGATGACTACAAGGAAATCTTCTACAGGAGGAACCAGCAGGCTTCTCAGATGGCTAGAGAGGTATTAAGCCAGGGGTGGGCTGACGCTTTTGTAGCTGGAGGTCGCATTAGCCTTGGCAGAGCCCTTCAGGCAATGCTGTTGGTTTCTGATGCAGCAGTTGGTGGCACCAGGACACCTGTGTGTGTGCGTGTGTGCACATTTTTTCTCGTAATCAAACACCTGTTTGTACCACATATACCAATTCCTGCGTGCAGTCCACATGCACCTTCTGCACATGCTGCTAGCAGTGAGGGGGCCACAGTTTTCATGAATATTGCTGAGAGGGCCATGGTTAGTACCTGAAGCTTCCGCTTGCCAGCTATCCTGACATCGATCATTGGTGTCCCAGTCTTCATGGCCTTGCGGAAATGTTCCCCACCACCCGCTGATCAGGCAGGCAGAGGGGGGTGTGGATGAGGCTCTATAGGCCTTGCAGACTGTGCACCTGTGAGAACAGGTGTTTGAGGGCTCATGTGTGTATTAAACTGACTTTCCTTGAAAGGGCGTACCTGAGGGATTAAAAGATACCGCTGCTCTATATGGAGGATTCCATAGGACTTGCTCTCCTTTCTTTATATAGAGGCGGAGCCCAGATCACTGCTAGTGAAGGAGGTTTTCAGGCATAAATGTCAGGAACTTCACCAAGGCAAGGAAGAGCACTCCCCAGGCCCTGCTCCAGCAGCTGCAGGGGCTTCGAGCACTGAGAGCTGCATCCAGAGTCTGCAGCCCCAGCCTTAACAGTAGCAAGAAAGATCTGCTGGAGGTTTGCCATGTGTGGGGCAGGACCGACCCTAATATTCTTGGAGGACAGCAGCCTGGAGAGCCTGAGGCTTTACACATGCCAAGGCTGAGCCCTGTTCTTGGCAGGATCTGGCTTGCAGTGAACCCCTGGTTGAAACGAGCCCATGAGGGAAGGAAGTTACAGATCCATCTGTTTTAAACTAACCCTCCTATATGTAGGCCCTTTGGGGATTCGGTGGGTTCCATGGAACCATGCAGTTTGGGGTACTGTGCTCCCCCTGTTGATTTATTTTTAAAAATGCAAATGTTGTGGCTTTGTCAGAAAACTTACGGAGACATCACTGATCGGCTTAAGCTGAAGGAGCGATTGCACTGCAAAAACTTCACCTGGTACCTAGAAAAGGTTTATCCAGAGATCTTCATCCCTGACCTTACTCCTGCTTTCTATGGAGCGGTAAGTGCAAATGCAGCTTGTTCCTCACAGAGGCAGGGACACAGCAAAGGACTACCGAGCCTCATCCTGTGTCTCCAAGCAATGGCAGGCCAGGTGGCCCAAGAACCCACACTGTAAAATGTCCCCAGGGCCTCCCCAGACTCTCCCGAGTCCAGAAGGAACCATTCCATGTTTCCCATTTGTTTTTTCATGGATAGATAATTCTGGGAAGAGGACTGAAACTCACTCCATCACAATGCCAGTATCTAGATCAGATGTGATCCAGAACACAAGCATGGAAAAATGTACATGTAGAGAAGTTGTCACTGTTTACATGTGTGCATTTCCCACATTCCACATCACTCTGACTAATAGCCAAATCTCAGGAACAGGATTTATTCTTGATGTCAGGAGACCATCAGGGGTAAGGAACAAGTCTGAACTCCCACTACAAGCATTACTTTTACTCATTTCATTATATTTCTGGCCTGCCTTTTTCCATACAAGGAACCCAACACAACTTGTATAATCCTCTCCTTTCCATATTCTCCTAACAACATCCCAGTGAGGTAGATTAAGCCAAGGGTCCATGGCTGGCCCAAAGTCACCTGGTGAGCTTCAGGGCTGAGTGGGAACTAGAACCCGGGTCTCCCAGATCTGTGTCCATCAACTACATCATGGGCTCTCGTCTTTCCTTTTGTGAACAACCGTGTGCTCCTGCAGTGAGCAGGTGGGAGTTGCCCCTGGGAGCAATGCTTTATTGTGAGTGCGCAGGGCAGGGGGAAGATTCTGACCAAATCTGAGACAACGTACAATGCAGCTTTTGTGAGGGAGGGAAGCACGTTCCTTGTTACATTGTTGTATCCCTATTTTTGTGAATCTTATTTGGATGCAATAATTGCAGGAAAGCATTATAAGAAATATGAGTGTGGGGGTGTTCCTGTTCCCTTTTCTAATGGCTGCTCCTGGGCTGTACGGAAGGGAAACAATATATCTCTGAAGTACCATGCCCCCTCCCCCCCCAAAAAAAAATCCAGGAAAGAGCAGCAGGAGGAAAATGCTGGAGGATATGAGTAGAACCAACAGCCCTGCCACTCAGAGAAATGCAGCCCAAAAATTCATGATGAAGTGTACCTCCAGTCTTCTGATTGCACTCTTCTCCACTAAAAGCACAGTTTGCTTCTTTTAGCTTTACTGAGTGACTTTGGCTTTACAGCATAAAATAATGATATCCTACATAACCCAAGCAATCTGTCCAAAGGCACTGCAAGTTGCTTTGTCAATATTTACTTCGGATTCCTTATCCCCACTCCATCTCAGCTGCCCTTCTATAGAAACAATCTAATAAGTCTCACTTCTTCAGAACCTGGAATTCTGGCAAGATATTTTGCACATACGTGGCACACAAGCATGTGTGTGCATGCACCCCATGCCTGCCTCCTTATGCTGCAAAGGAAACTAGTATAGTCTGTGTGGTGTTGGCATTTCAGCTCAAGAAAATCCCAAGAGGTAGGACAAAGTTGGAAATACTTTTAAACCAAGACTTGGGAGGAATTGCATTTCAGATGATCTTCTAGAAACTGAAGTTTTTAGGCATGCATGCCTTGCTAGCATCCACATTAATAAGGTGGCAAAAGTGAATTCACTGAGGAGCAGTACCTGATTCCCAACAAGATTTATAGTCAAATAACTCTTCAACTAGAATCAGGAACAGTGGTGAAATAAAGTGCAATGAACTACATTCATACATTTGTTTAAAAGAAAATTTACCATAGTTTTTAGGTACTTTACATCAACAATAAAATCAAAGTACAAACAATAAATCTCTAAAGACCATTTTAAAATGCCCAACACACATACAATGCATTCCAGTGAGATCGAAATGAAAACATACTCCAAGTATTAGGTAATGTTTATTTGCTGCCCCCACTTTTCATCCCTAAGTGGTCACTGCCAGTGACAAAGCTGTTTTGTGCTTCACAAGCCTTCCAGCATCTGAGGGCTGAGGTTACTCTGAAGAAATAAAAGAGAAGCTGAGTGAAGGAGGAACATTTACGATTGTATACTGTTGACAGAAAGGGAAGAGCAGGGTAAAGGGGGCTGTGTCTCCAGTGTGCTGGTGAAACTGGAGCCTCTCTGTAGTTGGGTGTCGGCTGGATGCATGCCCCTAATTGTGTTGGGCACCTTTGATTGCAGATCCGAAATGAAGGGGCCAAACAATGCCTGGATGTTGGAGAGAACAACCATGGAGGGAAGCCACTGATCATGTACCCCTGCCATGGGATGGGGGGCAATCAGGTATTGAAATTGCGAGACTGTCATAGCCTGACTCTTTCCTCATATGCACATGTGCATGCCCTGGTGTCTACTGTCACAAGTCCAAGTTTGGGAATGGGAGCATCAGAGAGAAAACTCAAGATGCTTTTCTGTTTCTCTCCTTCTAGCAATAAGAAGTGTTGTCCATATGTTATGCCTGCAGGAGCTTCCTGGAGCAAAAATTTAAATTGTAACCCTGCAACCGTAGAAGATGTGTTGCTGCCTGCTAGTTTGGACAACCACAGCATTGCTTTAATTGTATTGCTATTATTATTACATTATAATTATACCCCACTTTTTTCACTGGCAAGGAACCCGTGGCAATTTATCTGGTTCTCCTCTCCATTTTATCCTCACAATAACCCCATGAGGTAGTTTAGGCTGAGAACTGACCTAAAGTTGTCCAGTGACCGTTATGACCATGGGTGGGCTAGAACCTGGATCTTGCGTGTCCCAGTTCAACCTTCTAACCGCTACACCAGCTGGCTCTCTGTGTTCACCTGGGCAAAGGCCAAACAGGTGATTCTGTCACATTTACTCTAAGCAGTTTGCATTATCTGCAGCTTTCTGTGCACACTATTAAGTGCAAATGCGTACATATTTCTCAAGGTATAAACTATCTGGATTCCTCTGCTATATAATTCAAGGCCGTTAGCCCCCTGCTTTGTTGTTGTTATCGTTGTTGTTACTGTTTTTGGTTTTTTTGCTCAGTACTTTGAATATACGTCCCAACGAGATCTGCGGCACAACATCGGCAAGCAGCTCTGTCTCCGAGCCAAGACAGGGCCCGTTGAGTTGGGAGAATGCCACTACACAGGGAAGCATTCCCGTGTGCCAGAAAATGAGGAATGGGAACTGACTAATGTAAGTTTACTATGTGGATTTTTTATCCCACTCACCCAAACTAACTATTATTTGTCCAGAATCTTCTACTAATTAGTTACATGGAATGACCTTGGATTCTTGTATTGTGGGAGAGAGAGAGATTCTCTGCCTGTCCACTTACCATGCATAACTTAATACTTTCTGATTTCTCCATAGCATGCATAAATGCTCGAACAGGGGTCTGTCCTGTATCCTCTGCAGTGAAATGCATTCAGCTTCTCCTTGTTTTGTACTCCTTTAACTCCATTACCATCCCAGACAAAGGGGATGAGTGGAATTAAGGAAGTTTTTGCCATGATGGGTGTGCCTCCTTGCTGTCTAAACATTGCAAATGTGTTCTCCCCACCTCCAGAATCAATTAAGCAGACTTCCCAGATTTACATCCTGTAAATGGAGGGTGAATATCAAGAGAAGGCTTTTTGGTTCAGCCTGGTCAAAAGGATATTCCTACAGGAGATAACGAACCTTGCCACCCTAATGGAACCTCCAAGTGCAGTGTATCAGTATACCACTCTATGAGAGGAAGCAATAGAGGGGGGAAGAATCAACTTCGTGCCTTCTTTGCTAAAATCTGGAGGTGTGGAGGCAGGTGACTGGAGTGGGCAAAGGCCTTGGTACGATCTAACAAATCAGTTCTTAATGTTTTTCCTTTTTCTCTCTCTTTTTTAAGGATCACTTGCTTAAAAACCTAGCCTCTAACAAGTGTCTTTCTGCAAGGGGTGAGCATCCTTCCATGCAGCTCTGCAACCCTGCAGACCCCCATCAACTTTGGTACTTCAGCTAAACAGTCCCGCCAAGAGCAGAGCAGCATGAGCAAATCTGTTCCCAGAGCCCTCCTGTGGAGGCTTCCATTTTCTTCTGCTGCTATCCAAAATCCAGAGGACAAATTCAAGGAAGAGAAAAGGACCCGTTCAAATAAGCTTCATAATTACACGCATGCCTGTAACACCCATGTGCCTTTTGCCACAGAATGGTCAAGCAGACACACAGCACACCTTGGTGTATCTCCTTTGTTTACAGAACATACTGTAAAATGCAGTTGCAAGCTGGTATGCTTGCTCTTTACAATACCATGCATATTGTCAATTGAAGCTCCATATTGTGAGATGGACAACATTGGTGATTTTATTCTGCAGTAAATAGAAAGTGGCCTTTTGTAAGAAGCAGAATCAAAAGACTTCTGCAATTCATATGTTGTGAGTCATGTAGGAAAGCAGCACCTTGGCAAAGAAACCAGCTGCAGAACCTTTCATAAGGAATGACTTGTCTGCAGGATAGTTAGAAAATACCTGATGCCAAAGATAAGCTTTGATTTCTGTTACATAGGAATAGCATACTCGACTTCAGTGGGCTTTGGAAGGAAAGACTGTATCATAAAGGCCTTGAGAAGAGGGTCTTTTGTGTTTTCACAGCACTGGCAAAGGCCTTTGTACGGAGATGCTGGTGGGTTGTAATAGTTGCTCACTAGGGTCGCCTGCATTTAAAGTAGCAAACACTGGAGTGCAGTATTGCTGCGTGACGGAAATCCTCCTCTCTTTGCACAGTCTGCGATCAGTGCCTTACCTCAGGCTTTGGGAACTCTCACCGGCACACTGCAGAGAAGTGCTCATTCCACTGAAGAAGAAAACCCACATCCTTTAAACAGCTTAACCCTCTACCAAAGAAAAGTGGAACTGGGAAGGGAGCTCACATCTTGGATTCCTGCAAAGGAATTGTGCCAGGTGGCCGTTTGCTGGGCACATCCTTACGACCCCAGTGCCAGAGACTGGCAGAGCCCTTCAGCCCTTCTGCACTCTGCAGTCCTCAACCAGAAAGCTTCAGCCTGAGCCGATTCCTCACCCATCTGTGTGCTTCATGGGGACCAGCCCAGATTTTCTGTTCAACATGCTTTGATCTCCTGCACTGGGAGAAGGGCCTTGCCTTTCCGTGGGATACTTCTGTATCATCTGTTATACACTGCAGTACCATGAGCCAGTCATGCTGTTAATGTGCCTTTAAAAAAAGACTAGCATACGAAGCTGCATTCCTTGAGGAAATGGGTGCTGTGAACAAGCCTTGCACAATCACCTTGGGGAAGAGGAATTAAGACAATGCAAAACCAAAGGGGAAAAGAATGTAAAAGTGCGTGTGTTTATACACAAACACCCACCAGGGGCTGGATAACTGTGGCTGGATATTGCTAGTTACAGCTGCTTGCTGGAGCAAATCTTGTTCCCGTGATTTGTCCTTATGCTAATAAGACAATATTTAGTTATACTTTATCTCTGGATTTCAGTGGAAAGGTTTTTTGTTTTGGGTTTTGTTTTGTTTTTTTAAGACAAGGTTGGGAATGCTGTTCTTATTCACGAAGTAGCAGTTTTCTTGTGACTATGAACCTTAGTACCTCTTGTTACCTTTAGCAGATTAGCAATTGCACTGCCAATTTAATGCAAAACACAGAGGAAGCAGAAGGAAAAATATGTGTTCTGGACTTGTAAAACCTGGCTGTTTAAGGGCACACTACACTTTAAAAGCTGACTACTTGATATACAGGATGAAATTTCCTGTCCATGGGAAGTTCCTCTTACTCTCCTCTAAAGTGCACTGCTGGTTCTGTATAATCGTTAGCTTCTTTGAAGAATGGATTATGTAAAAGAGCGAAGGTGTGGACTCTTTCTAGTTTTTGAATGAGGAAGGTTGCATTAGTGTTCCCAAGTCGTTGTGTTCATTTCCAGGAAGGCTGCAGATGGAATGGAAGGGCCTGTCTTGGTAATCCTGATTAGGAAAATAAAACTGAAATGGTATTTTACAGGTGAATTGTCTGTATGTATTTTTGTTTTTACTTCCTTTCAACAGTAGATCTTTTAAAAAGAGTAATACCAATACATGTTTCTCTGCTTTTCTGCCACCCCTCCTGTCCCTGAATTGGTGCACTGTGTAGCCTGAAGTGAATGGCAAATAAAGAATCCCCAGTCTTTTTGGGATGGTGGACCCATTTGGAGTTTGAAGAGGTGTGATCTTTATTGTCACAAGTCTATGCTGCCCAATAACCAAAGCTGTTGCAGATAACAAAATACCAATTTCCCAGAAGATAAGTTAGACTAAAACAAAAAGAACTTGAGCCTAACAAAGATTGGGGCTGAGTCCAAAATGTAAATTCACTCTTCCACACTCAGTTTTCTGTTTCATCAGCCACTTCACAAGAAGCTGCTGATGAGACTCAAGAGACAAGCAAGATTGCCTTGAGCAAAATAATGGAGGAAAGTTAAGGTGTAACTGTACTAAATAAATTAGGAATTTTAACAATCTCTCAAGAGTTTATAATTCTAACACTTTACAGTATCTGAACCCCATACCAGTGAGACTGTCTGGAGCTCAGGGCCATGAAGTGAGTGGGCGGGGGGCAGGAATATGCAGCCTTCAACTACTCTGTGCGGCCTGTAAAGCTGCACCCGCTTTCTCCTCTGCTGAGCCAGCTGGGAACCGGTTGCAATTCACATGCTGTTGTTGACCACGTTCAAAGAGAAGGTGAAGGTTTTATGCGGAGATAAGCAACCTTTCTTGACTGATGGGCTCATTGGGCAATTTAAGCAGCTGGCCTGGCACCACCACATAGTGGCTGTGATGGCAAAGGACAAGTAACCTGAGTGCAAGGCCAGGGTGGGGTCTAAGCCACAACAAACTAAGCAAATTCTTAGGACTTCGTTTTCACCCCCAGGGGAAATCAATTCTCCAGCAATGCCAGATGCTGGTCAGCAATCTTTTTTTAAAGTGTGAGGGGTGGTGCAACCCTGGTGGGCACCAAGAAACATGTCCAGTAGCACATGGCTTTCATTCCTACTGGGCAACCTTGGGTCAGCCATTGTTTCTTAGCCTATAGTACCTTTAAGAGAGTTGTTGAATGGATTCCATATGTGCCATTCAGAATTCTTTGAGCAAACATTCGGAAAATGCCCAGATAGTGTAGGTGCCTGCAAGAGTACATGCTGCCTTAAAATAAGCTATAATCTATGTAATCAATTTAACTGTCGTCTTACCCTGCTTTTTACATCAATCCAGTGTCCTGCTATTATAGAAGAGGAAACATCCAGCACCTTGCTTCCAAGGGAGGCCTCCGGGAATCCAGCGACAAGCAGGGCTGCAAGCTAAGCAAGCTAAGCATCATCTGCCACTGTGGCATTGTTACTCATACTGTGGCCTGGTATTTTAGGGGCATTTCTGAACGTGGAGGTTCCATATTGCCATGGATAGCCTTGCCTTCTCATGAAATTGTCTAATCCCCTTTTAAAGCTGTCTCCCTTCTGTGGAATTCTGCATAAGCATTTCTCTACAAAGAGGAGAAAAGCTGCATTTCTGTGCTGAAAAAGATGATTGTGTGTAAGACTGGGGTGGCAAAGGCTTGGCAAAAAGAGTCAAGCTGTGTTTATTCTTAGATAAAAATTTCCTGGCATGCTTGAAGGAAAGAGACGGTGGAAGATAAAAGAAATGCAGCAGGTGGCAAAAATCAAAACCCAACACGCTGAGATGTGTGAGCTCTGTCGGGAGCGGTTTTGCAGAAAGAGGCGTTTCAAACTGACTTCCCACTCCAGCTTCAGTGAGCCATTCTTAGCGCATCCCATAGGGACGCCCGTTTTAAATTAAATCACATCCAAGGTTGCGCATTCTGCTTCTCTTGTATGCACTGCCAGTTACCACAACGTAAATCTTGCACTGGGCCAGTCCCGGGTCTATTCCATGAGTGCAGGTAGTGACTGCTGCCTAACAAACTCATCAGGCTGAGAAGCGGAAGTGTGTGGCCAGATGGATAAATGAAAAGGGCAACTGTGAACATGATTTTCAAAACTTTATGTTCAAAGTAAAAATAGAGCTTGATACGAACAAAAAGCAGCACAGGAAGCTGCCTCCGGCCACTGATCTGTCTCAGGCAATATTGCCTGGGATCACTGTCAGCAACTTCCCATCATCCCAGAGGCGCAGGGCTCTTTCTCATTGCCTGGAACATGGCCCTTTAAATCAGAGATGCTGAGGAATGGAGCATATGCATGCAAAGTAAAGTGCTCCACCGCTATGCCATGGCCCCTTCTGAAAGTTCAGCAGTCACGCTCAAGCTGCGTGCCATCCAAGAAGGACACCACGGGATGCCTTTTAGTAGTTCTGCCCCTGCATGCCCCTGCATCTACCCCCGGACTGGTGATCAATGCAGTACGTCAGGGGAATCTTAGTCATTTCTTTTAAAAAAACCAGACACAAACCCCGCGCGTGCATATTATATAGGCTCAGCTAGGTCATTTTAAACCATGGACTTTAGACGATGTGAGATTTAAAACTCCTTGAGACAGAATTTGAGCAGGTACAAGCAGTTTATTCCACACAAAAAGTGTTTCCAAAGGCTGGCTCAATGCCTCAGTAGTCTGAGAAACAAAGAGCAATCTTTTACTGTTTACAAGAGATTTTACACATTCCTTCCCTGATGCTCAACACTATCCCCGCTTCGCCATTGGCTGCTTACTAAGAAGTCACAATCTTCCCCATCCGCCTATACCATACTGCTCCTTAATATGTTCCCCCCTCCCGCTCATACACCCCATGTTCATGCTAATGAGCCTATTACCTATGAGAGGTGTGTCATTTACTATTCATAAGCCTATTAAGCGTGTGCAGTACCTTCTAAGAGGTCAACAGGCCGAAGTGGCCTTGAAAATTCTTACTTGACGCCAAAATGTTTCTTAAATCTTGTGGGGAGGATGAGATAATGAGAACAGGCCTTTCTCCAGGCTCGTTATCGCCAGTTGTAAAATAATCCATTGTCTGCTCTCCTCCATTGAAGGTGACAGTTTTACCACTGTCCCCCAATTTTACTCCTTCTGGTATTTTTCAGAACTTTTTATATAAGAAACATTATTACTCTTAGAACAACCATTTACATGTTTTGATTCTCAGGCTTTTTTTGCCTTAAGAGACTTCAATGATCCTGTCCTATTCCTGTTCACCCTTAACACTTAGTAACAGTAACATTTCATTTCTCACAATGAGTATTGGTGGGGGGGGTGTCCATTAGACAGACCTGTGTATTACTTCAGTTCTAAAGCACACAGCTAAGCTAGTATTTCACTTCCCCCACAGCTGTCTTTGCATTCTTTAAATGAGCTTTTGCATCCCTGAGACATTACAACAACACAGTATTTGCATTTTGAAATGACTAAATCACAGCACCGCCATTCAAAATGGCATAAAATTAAGTTTGTTTCTGCTGCCCCCCTCTGCTGCTCCCTTGGTGGCCATTTAGGGGGGCCCTGAGCGCCAAGTCCCGACTCCAGCCTTAACAGGACCATTGTGCATAATTTGAGAATCCTGCAGGAAACGTGAGAGGGAATCTCAAGAGTTGCAGGAAAAAGGCGGCAGTGCTATCGCCTAAGATGAGAATCCCAGACACTGATTTCCAGTTTCTCAGTAATTTCTTGGGAACTGGAAATGCATGATCATGTATTGTTCGCTGCTTCTGTATCTCTCTCTTCACGAATTTGCTTCTCACTCCTCCTCCCTCCTTTTAACATTGACAAATTTGTAAGCCTCCCTGTGCTGGTTCCACAGTTTTGTGTCTCCTTGTTTCATGCACCGGCATATGCAAGTCCTGCTTCTATCCAATCTTGTCCACCTCTTAGAGATCAATTTTTTACTGAGGCTAGTATCCAACTGAATCTTCCCACTGCTAGAATTATTTCCAACAGCAGAACTAGGAGAGGGCACTTCCATTCCTCACCTTTGCATCCTAGAAGTCTGCTCTGCGGGATTTGTGAGACCCTCCAAGGCACATCATGAGCACACATGAACAAAGCGAGGAGGAGGAATTTCCTTTGTACTTCCACGGTGTTGGACTCTGCTTAGCAAGCACAATTTATTTTCTGGTTGCTTATGGTGCAATCCTATGCACATTTAGAAAGAAAAGAGCTTGCGTTTCACAGGCCTACAGTGCCGACCAGGAAATGGCAGGCCTTTGTTCTGCACCCTTCCTCACTCCAAGGCTGTAACACAAGACAAGCCATCCTTTGCAGAAACAAGTCATCGGCAAAAGCTTTGCAGCATGAAGTGGAGCTAAAATACTGCACTTCCTTTCTTCTTGCTCCCTCTTGCATACAGCAGCCTTGCCTTGTGTGTACAGCATCCACACACCAATCTATACTTTTATCTGTCTCTTTCTCATACTGCTGCCTGATGTCCAGGGCTTTGCCCAGCTCAGTAGAAGAGCTGACTCTCAAAAGTCAGGTTTTATTTAAAAAAAAATAGCCAGAAATTCTAACAAATGCTCAAGTGTCTCCTGACTCAGTACCCTTTAACACTGGCCCTCCAACAATTAAATGTGATTGTTTGCTGCAAATGCCACAAAACAGTGGCCATGCATAGGTTCCTTGTCATATTACCAACATACAGGTTTGTGGGAATGCAGAAGTCCTTTTTCACTGCTGGCTCCTGAAATAGCCCTCTTATAAACTGTCTGATTTTAAAGATCATCATTTGAGAGCAAAACCACATGCTACATTAAATGCAGGAGCTAAAGACAGAAAACCTCAACTGGCACCAATGGTATATTTTTTCTTCATTTATCAGGGTGGGGGAGAAGGCAGCTGAGACAGAAAGTTGTAACCTATGCACAGTGGTCCAGACTGGGGCCCTCTGCGCTTACACAGATGTAAAGAAGAAAAGCCAGCATAAGCTAAAGTGATGTTCTTAAGCTGCTGTACAGATTAGCCCTTAGGTTCTTTCCATGTTCCAGCAAGCAAGATGTGTATAAAGTCCAGCTTCCTTTTGAGGATCGCCTTATGCACCTTATGTAAATGATAAACCTGTCAGGAAGGGACCATGTTCATTCGGTTAACTGCACAGTTGCAAGCACACCACTGGTGCTGTGAAATTGATTAATACAGGTATCATTCCCTTGTAGGTGGCCTTTTTTTAAAGCTGAAACACAATTGTACATATATTCATGTAAAATTATAAGGATTTTATACATTTGTATTTTATTTATACATATATTCATATTTATATTTTATATTTTATATGATCAATATCTATATGAATATATTATGTATTCTCCAGGTTGCTTCAAACAGTCAGCATTTGTCCCTTACGATTTAGGTTGGATCCAGACTTCTTACAGCAGACCTATTGAAAAAGCATGGGATGACTTAATCACAACTAACCAAAGTCCCACCAATTTCAGTGGATCTAATCTAAGCAGGAGCAAATCTGGATCCAGTTCTATGCATTTTGGAAAGAATCCTAGTTTTGCTTTTAAAATTAAGCTCTGGGATATAATTTTCATTAAATCTTGGTGACTTTAAACATGTTATGATCAACATGCCAAATTTGATAATTTTACATTCATTTTTTGCATCAGGATTCTAGGTGCATCTGTTTTGGAAAGGCAGCAAAAAAAAGGGGGGGGGAGAGTATAAATTCAAATGCTTACAAGCATATTCCTAAAATGTTTTTCCAATAACTAAGAGATAATTAATGTTCCAAGTTTTTTTTAAGTGTGTAATTTCAATAAATTCATTAGAGTGTTCAACTGTGTCCTTCAAGATTGAAAGTGTGTCATGCAGTAAAGAGCAAGGACTTCTTTGTGTTTCCAAGTCATCTGTGCTTTTTCCCATTACACTCCCCGCCCCCAAGAATGGCAGTATTAAATTCTGCAATCGGGGGCGAAGGAGTTCTGGAGCAACCAACTCCAAGCATTCCTTCACCATGCTGAAGCTTCTCATCTTTACCATCATTGTCCTTTGTGGTAAGTATTTCCAAGTCCTAATGTTCTTGTGAGGCTAAAACAAGGGTTGGGGGGGTTTTTAGCTTCTCTGCAGACATATTCATATATGAAGCTGTTTTATTGACAGTCCTATCCAGTCCATCTTGCCATTTTCCCAAACTGGCACTTGCTCTCCGAGACTCTTTGGCTGGAGAAGCCATGTGCCCACTTTAAGGAAAACAGTTTTCTATTTGGAGGCATCCCTTATTTCAGAGATTGTCGACTCATGTCCCGCCAGATGTTTTGGCTTATAATTCTGACCCACCTTAGCCAACAGAGCCAATGGGAAGGAAGAGTAAGACTTGTAGCCCAAAACATCTGGAGGGCCCCGAGCTGCCCACCCATGCTTTATTTATGCTCAGTTATGGATGTGTGAGGAATCTGACCATGGGGTAAAAAGATCATGAAAGTGAGTGGCAGGGTTTCTACTCTATAGCCATTCCCAGGTACACATGATTAAATTGCCCTGCTGGGTTTAGACAGCACAACAACCTGTTGCGGGTCAAATAACCCCTAGATTAACCCTGGGTTCTCTGAATGGATTGTTAATGGAAAATAAGACACCCTACAGAAACTGGGCCAGCTTGGGATAGTAGCACAACAATCCACCATGGTTAGTTATCCATGGTGGGCTATTGTTCCATGTGAACCAGATCTATTTCATGCCTGGCATTCTGTAAGCAACACGCAGAAAGCCAGAGGTGACATGCACTTGCACAGAAACAGCTCGCCACAAACTGGAAGACACATAGACTGGCTCCCCCACTCCCCTGCCCCTGTAGCTGCAGGACAAGCAGTGGCAGCAAGACTGTACCTTCAAAGAAATGCTCACACTTTGAGTCAGATCCGAGGCTTAGTTTTCACAAGCTCAGACAAGGAGAGGAGTTTTTCTAGACTGCATAACTTCAGACTGCAGGTCGTGATCTGCCTGATGAACTGCCCCTTCCCTGTGAAAAACAGAGTCCCCCAACACATGAAAAAATAACCATGGCCATAGCAGGGAGAAGTTAGCTGTGAAAATCCTGTTCCTTTTAAAAATGGCTGGCCTGTACTTCTCCTTGTACCCAGGCATCTAGAGTACTGGGAGTAGGTGGAAAAGTGAGAGCACTCTTAGGACAGTGGAGGCCAGAAGAGAAAAAGAAGCTCCATCTGCAAGGAGCATGCAAATTCCACCACCCATTTTTTGCTACCATAGTTCAGTTGTGCTGTTGGTTCAGTCTGACAGCTCACCTTTTGAGAGCTGCCAAACAAACCAAGCATGGGAAAAGGCTTAAATGCTTTCCAGATAAATGTCCAGAGTAGGTGCCTGCTGCACATGGGTAGCACTTCTCCCTGGAAATTGCCCATTCTCATTCCTCCACGAGTGGGGAAAGAACACCCCCATGCATTTTAAAAACCTATGTAAATATCTGCACACATTGGGCACTCTGAAGGGGCTGTCTGTAGTTGTCAAAAGAGGAATCACTGTCACACTACCTTTGGCAAACTCCAAGACAAAATGGGTTAAGGGCAAAAAAGCTGACATGAACTCCGAATACTCACACCAGAGGACAAGCAGCCAGTGCCGGGGCCCCAAAGTGACTGGCACTGACAGGTGCCCAAGCAAGTTAGCCGCTCTTACCAAGCCACTTGCTAGCCAATTCCTGGTGCCAAGAATAGGGTTAGCTGCCCAGCTCTGGATGATAGGACCATGCATCATTGATACAGCAACCTCTGCAACAGCCCATGCACACGGGAGGTCAGGGTGGCCTGTTGAAGATGACTATGGCCAACTCAAGCCTGCGTAGAGTTAACTACTGAAATGTGTTCTCTTGCATCTGGCGGCTGTGTTCACTTGAGATTGTGCTGTTGACACCATTTTATTCCCAAAGGACGTTGCTCAGAGGAGCCACTGGAAGGAAATGGGCGCGTCGTTGGGGGCTATGAAGCAAAGAAGCATGCGTGGCCATCGCAGGTAGATACAATTATTCCTTTCCAGAAAATGCCCCCTCTTGCAGTTCAGGAAGAGCACAGAAGTAGCCAGGAATGTGATCCTGAAGGGGGGAAATGAGAAGAAAAGAGTCTGAAACCTCCCTTTTTTCCCCTTTCTCTTCTAGTCCTCTGTTAGAGGTAGCAGCCTCGGAATTGTTCCCTTGCTTGCTTTGTTTGCTTATTTTGTATTTTATTTAAAGCTTTTATACCCCACCCTTCACAGTGTCTCAGGGCGGTTTCCCTGAATAGATAACATGCCCAATAAGGTCCTCTAAAAATAGCAAATGGTGCTCTACTGTGAGCAAAGAGAGCAGGGGAAATTTGAGTGGCCAGAATCCCAAAACATGGTAGAAAAGCTGCTTGCTGAACACGTCCTAGCCAGAAATCTCACTGAAATGTCTTGCCCTGCCTGGGCAGAAGCTTGTTATTAGCAGGCAAATGCTACAGGAGTCCAGATCTGAGCAAGGCTGCCACGCCACTGCTGCAACACATGTGGCTGCCACACTCCCCGCTCCCACGGCCTCATTGAATCCAGGGCACAGCGAAGGAAACCTGCAAAGTGCCACAAAGGAGGGTCCCCAAGAAGAAGCCAGAGAGCCTACCGAAAATAAACGATGCCTGCAGCATCTGCTGCTGCTAAACATGAAAAATATTCTAGATGGATATTCCTGATTGAAGGATGATTTTTTTTTTTTTAATGGCACATTGATCAAGAAAAATGTGGAAGGAAGGATGGCCTCTGAGGTCAGAGTATTCAAGTATTCATTTCCTCTGATCCTGCAACCAAGGCTCCAACTAAATGTGGCATTGACTGCACCAGTGCAGTTGATGCACATATCTTGGGAGAACATGGAGAGAAGCCACAGCAAGGGGAAGGCAGCATCAGGACCGGAAGGGGTGCAAAGGGAGACCTTAGACTCTCCCCACTCCTTCAGGGTCCCGACAAAAATCTCCCAAGCTTGAAGAGACACTTCATAATTCATAGTACCATACAAATTCTATTGTGTAAAGAGAAGAAATTACTTGAAGAAATGAATTGACTGTGGGCGAGAGAATCCTGAAGGAACAGAGAAAGGTTAAAATTCCCCACCTCACTTTCTCTGGTCCAGGTGTTGCCCACTCAGTCCCCATGGCTGCTTTTTATACTTTTCCAGAACCTGTGCATTAATTGGATTCCTTATTTATTTTACTTTTACATTCATATGCCACCAACTATTCCAACAGAAATCGTTCAGTTAATGCCCTTCTCCCTAGACTTGTTTATACCTCATTTAGATGTATACTTAGTGACCTTTGGTGGCTGGTGGCTCATGTAAGCTGCTGGAACTGGGCAGCTTGAGCCCTACCAGCTCGGTGGGGTGTGAAGTTGGTGCTTGTGTCTGAGACAGACACAAACAGGGAGAAGAAAAATTGGAGCTTCACTTGGAGTGGTAAGAGATAAGCTGAATTTTGCAAGTCATCCCCTGAAACATTTGACCACTAGGAAAAAAAGAATGAACAATAATATTTCTCTTTAACGGACACACGCATCCCTGAGGAAGTGGCCTCAGCATTTTAATAGAAATATATTTTTGCACAAATGAAAAATGCTGTGGGAGTTTCCCCATAGGCAAGTCTCCCTCCTGTCCAGCCCACACGTGTTCTCGAGACAGCTCCATGCCCTCTGCCAGCAGGGCCTCATGCAGTGCTGTGTGCTTGGCTCTCTGAGTCAAAGGCCTGGCATGTGGATCAGGCATGGCCGCCCCTGACCCAAATCTTGCCGTCTTTGGGACACAGTTCGACCTCTCAGTTAACTCCGTGGTGTTAACTGGATGGAGATCACTAGCAAGCTAGTTTACATGATGAGAATGGAGCTTTGCCCCAAAATTACATTTGGCCATGGTGCTTCTCTGGTAAAACCACTCCTCCATCACTTATTTGGGGTGTTTGTTCTTAAGGGAATCAATGTTCCAACTCCACCTTAACTTCTGCCAGTGTGAATAATACAGGACTGCAACTTTTTTGAGGACTTCCATTGAAATTCTAGCCACACGTACTGGGAGTAAATCCCACTGAATTCAATCGGCCTTAACTCTGAGTAGGTATGCATAGGACTGTGCCAGTAGAATGATCACTTCAGTTCACTATTTGCACAAGCACTGATATTCACTTTGTCAGAATGTGTGAGCCATGGAAGACGTGCACAAGTGTTTGAGAGGATGTGTGCAAAACCACTTCTCTTCTACATTTGTATATGAGATCCGTGGTGCGAAATGCACACGACTGCCATTGTTCCCGCCAGGCTGCCTTCATCAAAGCCAGCTCCCAGATCTGTGCCCCAGTCGCACATGGCATAGCTGGACATCTGCAGAGGGCAGATCCCCATGCAGGGCACCCCAGAGTTGCTGCCCCTCTTCTCCATTGCAATCAGTTCTCGTGCCTCTTACTCAGGCCCAGACAATGTAAGCACATGGAGCTTCTCCTGGTGGTGTTAAGAAGCTGGAGCTGGGGGTCAGGCTAGATGGCCTGGGAGACCCCTTCTGACTCTCTATGTTTCTATGTCTGTTCCAGCCTCCTTGCTTCCTGGCTGAGCATCCAGCAAGCAAGTGGTGGCAATGATGTGGAGCTGGGAACTCTGGGGCAGGGGGAGGAAGACCCACCAAGGGTGGTGGACTATTGAGGGGGTCTTGCCCAAGGGTTGTCAGAAACCAGAACTAGCACTGCCTGTTCCAGTTGATCTGGCCACAGGTCAAAGGCTTTCCAAGTGCTGCTGACGGTGGCAAGCAGTGAACCCTCTCTTGACTCCCCATGCAGATTTCCCTTCAGTACTCATCAGGGGGCAGCTGGTACCACACATGTGGTGGGACACTGGTGCACCAGAACTGGGTGATGACAGCCGCACATTGCGTGGACAGGTAAGAGTAAACTGTCTCTTTGCTCCCTTGCCAGGAGAATGCCTGCTTTTAATCCATTGAAGTGAACCACTGGGCTCAACAGTTAATATTGCATAGGTTTTACGGGGAAATCCTTCGTTCTGTTTCTCTGGGGATGTAAAGCACTGTATCTTTTCTCTCTTGGGGTTCTCTCTTGAAGACTGAGAAGCCAGACTGAGCCTCTGGGATAGAAGGGAGGATCAAAGTAAATGAGCTACACTGGAGACAGGAAGGAACAGCTTGTGGTGATTCTAGAATTCAAGAACTGTGTGGAACTGGTCTTGCTTTATTTATTAGATTTATATCCCACCTATTTTCTTACAAAGAACTCAAAGCGGCTTACCTCATTCTCTTCTTCCTGCTGTTTATCTTATCCCAACAACAACAACCTGTGAGGTGGGCTGGGCTGAGAGTCTGTAACAGGCCCAAAGTCACCCAGTGGGCTCCATGGCTGAGCGGGGACTAGAACCCAGGATGCCAGAGTCCCTGTCCCATACTCTGCACTGCCACACCACACCAGCTCTCTGTTTTTGTTTTGCGTTGTCCAAAATCTGCTCCTCTTTTCAGTCTCTGTTCATAAATTGTTTGAATTGGATGGCCCCCTACCATTGGATGGAGCACCTCATCATGTGTCATCATGTAAAATTATCCCTTGTTTAATGGAGCGTACTCACTGGCTGTATTGACCCAAATTATATTTTCTGATCCACAGAGAGAGTAACAAGCATAACATACCATGAGAGCAAGTGTGGTGTTGTGGTAAGAGTGTCGGACTGGGCTTCTGGGTGATCTGAGTTCTGGTCCCTGCTCAACCATGAAGCTCACTGGATAAGTTTGGCCAATCATTCACTCTCAGTCCATAGGCCTAACCTGCCTTACAGGGCTCTTGTGAGGATAAATGGAGTAGAGGGGGAAATATGGGATATAAAAGGATTTATAATAATGTGGGATTTCATAAAATCATCCCACTGACTATGTTATTTCTGGCTGTATATAACATCTTACTTTTTATATCTTTTTATTGTAAGTTTCAAAAAAATTATTTATGTAAGAAATCACCCATCACAAAGCATGTTGTACTGTGACCAAATAACTGAATAGCCGGAACACAATCCTGAAAATATTACTTGCTCCTTTTTGACGCAAGTAATATTTCTAGACTTCACAGTTGTAGAGTTGCTGGGAAACAGGCAAAAGGCTCTGCAGAAAAATTCGCCCTGGGAAGAAGGTGGAGCTTCTCTGTCCTGTGTAAAATACTTACCTTTTCCTTGCTGCCTGCAGTTACTTCTTTCTTGGTTAGTTCCTCTCTCACCCATAGTTGTTCTCTTGCCAGATGGTACTCCATAGGAGGATGGGTTGGGATGCCTGAACTGTATTTTGAAAAACACAGACAAAAACCTTCAGAATGATTTATGGTAAAATATGAAAATGCTGGCTTGTGTAATGGATTGGTTTGATTCTGAGCTCAAGTTCTCTTGACGAAGACTTTCCCATCACCATTGCAAAAGACTGAAATTATGGTGCCAGGAATCAGGATGAGGAAAAGAAGGCCTGCAATCTTCCCTTCCTAATGCTTCATTGCTTTAACTTCTGTACAAACACTTTGCTCAGTTGATCACCAGAATAAAAATGAGTATTCTTTGGCAGCGTGTAGCCATCATCCTGCAGACCCCATGGAAGGGCTGTGTGGCACCCTTCCTAACTTCTTCTTTGTTGCTCAGTTTTTCATGTGTACAGGCAGGCATTCATGTATGAAGCTGCCAGGGAGTGCAGAAAGATTCCAAATTGGCAACATAATTCAGTTCCATTTTCCTGCCCTCTTACCTACAGCTACATGAATTTCCGTGTGGTTCTTGGTGACCACAACATCTATCAGTATGAAGGCACAGAACAGGTCATAAGCGTGGCACGCATCTTTGTGCATGCGAACTGGAACAGAAATGATCTTGCTGCGGGGTAAGTTACCATTTGGAAAACATTGCCTGACTACATAAACCTGCACCATTTGAATAGGGTTTGCGATATGTCTGAATTCCAAAGGGCTGCTTTAGGTGAGAAACTGGGCAGGGCCAGTGAGATTTTGGACTTCGTGCAGCAAACTGCCATGGTATGTCCCAACCAACTGTTGAAATTCTGCCATGTTCCAATGCCAGCCTGCCATGCGCTGTGGGCAGGGTCATGATCTGGCCATGAGCAGGAGTCCTGGGGAAAATAGATGCCTTGTGGTGGTTCAGATGCTTCCAGACATGCCTTTCATCATGCCACTGCTTTGCCTTAGTCACAGACCAAGGAGAGGTTGCAACATCCACTGCTCACAATCCTCCTCTGTTTTCCCACCGCTTCTTGTTCTTACCTTAAACAATCCACCAACAAGAAAAATATGGAATATTTGTATAACACCTTGGTGGTGCTGGAAGTCCTCCACCTGGAAACACCTGTGGTTAGGTAGCAGGTAGGGTCAAAGGAGGGTTGAAGGACCTTGGATAGCTCCAAGTGGACACTGCTCTGGCAAAAGCCCTATTCAGAAGTTAGCCTGGGAGGAAAAGCATGGCTGAAGAAGGATTAAAAGGCCCAACTGAGCTCCAGTTAGCCCATTCAGGATGGGCTAACTTCTGAACAGGAGTAACGCCTAGAATGTTTACCTCTGGACCAGACTGTTCCTTCCCGGCTCTTTCTGTAAGGATGGGAGACTTAAGAGCACAGTTAGTCCACAGGCATGAAGCCTAGCACTCTTGCCTTTCGTCACCATCTGCCTTGGCTGCCACTAATGGGATGGTGACGGGGATGCCTCACCATGCTTTTGTTGCCGGGGGAGAGAGAAAGAAGGGATGTGGGGCAACCATGAGTCTCCCAGACCATCTCAGCCCAGCCTTTGTTCAATATTTGCTGCAGTGCAGTGAATGCAAGAATTTGAAAAGCTAAGCTATGGGCATGAAAGCGATTTGCGAAAAAGCAGACCTTAGCTTTCTCTTGTATAGACATGAGTTTTTCTTCCATCTGAAATTCTTGTTAGTCACTTCAGTTCCTTCCAAAGAATGAGGTATAACATTTGAGAAACACTAATGGCAACTTCTGTTTTTACATTGGTTTTTCCTCATCCTGCTCCTCACTCTGCCTCTGTTCCTTCACAGCTATGACATTGCCTTGCTCAAACTCTCTCAAAGCGCAAACCTGAACAGCTACGTGCAGCTCGGCGCTTTGCCACCATCTGGTCAGATTCTGCCAGACAATTATCCGTGTTACATCACAGGCTGGGGCAGGACCAAAAGTGAGTGATGGTGCTATAACTCTGACAGTGCATTGTCATTACTTTGCCTTACATTTATATCCCACCTTTCTTGCTCTTGCAGAAAAGCTAAGGCAGTTCACAAGGTTCTCCTCTGCTCCACTTTATCCAGACACCAAGACTGCTTCATTAGTTCCAGCTGTTGATGCTCATATTCTCCATCTCATTAGCCCCAATTCAAAATTTGATGCATCAGATATACTGCCTTAACGGTGGTTTGCTAATGCATAAGCTGATATATAAATGATGATTATAGCTGTTGGAAATAAGTATTATGAGAATTGGCTCTACATTTGCAAATGGCAAGGATGAAATCTGGAGAATTCTAACATATTCCAAGGCTTAGCATGCCAAGAGCCTTACCCAAACAATTGGTCTTATGCACACCAGCACAGGCCTGCCATCTTGTTTGTCCTACGATGGTCCTGACAGTGAGGCCAGCTGGGCTGCTCACTTATCCGTAGTATTCTACACTGCTCCTCACACTTCACAAGGAGGAGGTAGTGCCTTGGGCAAACCAAATCCAAGTCTTGGGTGTATTTTCCCACAGCGAATGGACAGCTGGCATCAGTCCTGCAGGAAGCTTATCTCCCGGTGGTGGATTACGCGACCTGTTCCAGTTCATCCTATTGGGGCTCCACAGTCAAGCAAACCATGGTGTGTGCAGGAGGCGACGGGACACGTGCAGGATGCCAGGTATTCCTGCGCTAGGAGAAACATGCCCAGCAAATCGCAAGTGCTCTTAGAGGAGAAGCTAGTTTAGGAGAGGAGTTTCTTCTTCGCACTTGTAAGTGAAAGCCCTCAAATGGTAATCTGGGCTGTATCTGGTGCGGTGTGTTCTGCTGCAGATGAACTGACCAGACAGTTCAGCTATTGAGCAGTAAACAAATGAAATAATCGGGTTCCCAATTTGGGCTTCCAGAGGGCTGCACTCCCCTTCCCCTTTTGGTGGTTTCCTGGCCTTTGTGCAATTTTTCTCCTGTTCTAAAAAGTTAAAATGTCTCTCCTAAGACTTAGTGAATGGCAGAAAGAGGCTTAAGCTAAAATATGCACATATTTTGTCTCTGCCCCTTTGTCTTCAGCCTCACCTTTCACTGGAATTTAGACCCCAAGAACTTCTTCAAAATGGAATTTGGCCCATGGGCTGAAGGTGGTTCTGTATCCCTGCCTTAAAACACAAGACATACAAATATATAACATTGTTCTGTTATTTTCCCCTTTCAATGAGAAGCTGCTGCCACCAAGGACACATCTTTGCTCACCCTTACTGTCTGGAGCTGACACAAAAATTCCAGCATTATGAGGGCATTATCTCTTGCTCTCCAAGATTATTTGCATCTACAGAAAATATGGGTTAGATATTTAACTATTGCTGAATTTGCATCCTGCCCCCCTCCCCCCAAAAAAAGACTGTTCAGGTTTCATTTGGAATTGTTCCCTTCTGTATCAACACCTTGATTTTTCAGTTGGTTGGGTTTAAAATCAAAAGGGTCACCACAGCCTTTTGCTTGATATATATATCTCGATAGATTTTAACAAGCAAATCTTCACTGGGACAGCTGCATATACACTAATGGGAGCTCCCTTATGGGAGTGAGCAGAATCTGGTGGGGGGTATCAGGGCTACAGTATGGGGTGGGGAATTTTAAACCTTCTGCCCCACACATTGCATTTCTGATATTCAGCCTCTTCCCCCTCCCATACAAGTTTTTTTTAATAAAAAGATACATGAAATGCAATCATGCATTGCATGAGCTGGTTTGGCCAAAGCCACACATTTGCTTAAACAGATATTTTCATCTTTGTTAAAAAAAAAAAAAAAAAAGACAATACATCAGAAATGCTGCTGATGCATGTTTTCCATCTCTGCTTGATATTCTAGGGGGATTCTGGAGGGCCCCTGAATTGCTTGGTAAACGGCAAATACTACGTGCACGGAATCACTAGCTTTGTTTCCAGCGCTGGGTGCAATGTCCTGCGGAAACCCACTGTGTTCACCCGTGTCTCTGCCTATATTTCTTGGATCAATACAGTAAGCTTATCTGTACTCCTGTGGGGTTACACTAAGGGGGTTTCTAACAAGGCATGTATGGGACCCTTGTCACTCCCTGCTCACAATTGTTTAAAGGTACTTTAGATGATGACCTGACCCACTGGGTTTTGTTCTCTGTCTAAAGAACCCTTTTGGCAAGTATTTTTTAGAGCAGTCAAAATATGGCATTTAATTGTGGAAACTAATGCTAGAACAATTTCCTCACTTCACTATTTGGACTAGTCTGCTTTACCACATGTCACGCAGAGGTATATAGCAGAAAAGCAGCAAAAGAAACACTCTGTGTGTAGCGCCAGGTTCTCATTTCTTTGCCCGAAACTGAAAGGAGATGCAGCCGATTAACAGCTCTACAGAGGGAACTAGACACATGTGAGAGTTTTTACAGTTCGTCTTTTGTTTGTTTTATCAGAGGATGATTCTGCACTATGCACTCAACTGAGTTCAAATCCTTATTTTACTGCATTTATATTCTATTCTGCCTTTCCTCTAAAAAATAGGGCTCAAAAGAGCTTCCGCGGGTTGCCCCCAAATGTGAAGGCACTGAGTAAGTTGTGCTGAAATGTTGTGTGGGTTGTCTCTTCCTGCACAGCATTGGCATAGAAATGAGGGAGGAAAGTGCCACCAGCAAGACATACAGGAGGCATTTTAATTGTTCTGGATCCATGGCTATAAGCTACAGAATGGGGACGGGCATAGCACAACTTTGTTTGTGCAGCAGCAGTCTCAGGCCTTCCTGTGCTCTCACAACTATGGCTATGGTCATAAATGATCAGTTTCTTGGAAAGGTTTAACCAGTATTTGAAAGAAAAGAATGCATCGAAATGATAAGCCCCTCTATAAAGGTTGCCTTTATAAAGATGTTCTTCGGGACTATGCTGTCCAAATGGAGCAATCAATCCGTAAGATTTGTGCAGGCCCAGGCTGGCTAGTGGGTTCTTACTAAACTGGCCCATCTGACCCTTGCGGAAATTTCCACTGAGCCCCTCCCCCGTTGCAGCCCTCTTATGGAGCTACAATTCTTAGGGTTTCTTCTGTGGGGGACATGATGACTTGTTTCACCACCTGCTCTGCAGAAAGGCCACTCAGCACTATGAATAAGTCAAAACTGGAACATCTCCATCCTCGCAGTGAAAGTGTGAGTTGGAGGGAGATGTGCTATCGTTGGCAAGAGCCACTGGAGAGAAGAGCGCATCTGTTAGCCTGGTGCACAGAGGCTCACAGTGCCCTCCTGGCCTCCTGCCAGAATGCAGGTGTTGGCCTGGCCCCAGAAGTGCACCCAAAGGTAGCCCTTAACTTTTCCCTGGCCACCATTCCCTCTTGTGGGAGAAGGCAAAGCGTGTGGTTCCAGGGCATGACCGGAAGGCCCGAGATGCAGCCTCCTGGGTGGGACTCAGCACTCAGTGCCTGGATGGCAGACTTGCTTAGCAATTCCATGCATGCCTCTTCTAGTTTCATCATCACAGGGCTTTTGATTAATTATTAGGGAAGTGGGGCTTCCTTAGCTGCTTAGACAGGTTGTTTGATCAGTGCAAATAGGCTACTATAATTTTTATGTGGGCTTTAATTTGGCTTTAAAATTTTCATGATAGCCTTTTTATGGTGTTTTTAATGTTGTTTGTATTTATATATTGTGTTTTTGTGAGTTGTAAACTGCCTGAGAGCTCCAACTATTGGGTGGTATAGAAAACAAATAAATGAATAAATCATAGTAGAAAAGCAGGTGCCAATGTAATAAGCACATATAAAGAGGAAAAGGTTGGATACTCCAGGAAACCAACTGGGTGAACACAAACCTACTAACTGTAACTTCAGATACCGAGAAGTGCTGCTACCTCCTCCTTAGCCTCATTTTAAGTCCTTTACACTAGATTGTGACAGAGAATGGGAAGGAAGGAATAAGTATAAACACACAAGTATGCTTACTAACAACTAAATAAAATTAGTAGCTAAACCTCTGCCTAGCCTCTTTGGCTGGAGCTTTCCTTGCCTAGAAAGCACTATCACAGGCCTCACCTGTGACTTAGCCTAGAATAAAAGTTGGTAATTTTGATTATTTTTTCTTATTTTAAAAGAATGTTTGGACTCATAAGAGTAACCTTCCTTCTCTTCCCCATTTTTTTTCTTTAATACTCTTCTTTCCCCAGGTAATTTCCAAAAACTGAATGAGCTAGAAAGGAGAACTTACATCAGAGCTGAATGTCACATGTCACATATAAGGGGCTGGCATCTGAGCTAATAGCAATGGACCAAGAAAGAAATCCTGAGGCTTTGGAGGACCACTCAGTGAAAATGCTGTGAAAACGGGAAACTCCATGTTAGGCCGAATTAGAAAAGGAACTGCAAATAAAATCACCCACCTCAAACTGCCTTGTAGAAATCTATGGTTCAACCTCATTTAAGTAGTGTGTTCATTTATGTGTAACAGAATAAGAATAGGAATCTGAAAAGAATACACAGAGGTGGGGAAAGTGCAGAAAGAGGTAATTAAATTATATCCCCAGAGGTTGCAACAGCTAGGACTATATAACTTAAAGTTGAGTGAGGAAAGAGATATCAGAGGTGAACAAAATTATGCATGAGGTAGAGAAAGCCAACAGGAAGGCATTTCTCTCCCCGTTTCATAATAGTAGAACCCCAAGCTATCCCAAAAAGCTGAATGGTGCTCACCTGAATGGCCTAAAGGGGCCTGGAGAAATTCATGGAGGAACGGTTATGTCTTGTGCTGTGAAGCAGACCAGTACCCCCCAGGATGGCTTGCTCGAGAGCAGCAGGATACATCAACAACCCATGGGCTGTTCGATGTGTGGCCGTGCCTTCCAAACACCAGTGACTGACCCTGTTGTGGGGACCATGGATCGGCTACCGACTTGCTCTGCAAGGGTGACAAAACCCCCATTTTGGCATGCTTCAGGACTTGGGGGCAGCTTACAAGCTCCCCCCCCCCAACCCCACTGCAGTCATAAGCAGGGGACCCAGAACTAAAATGCCAGTGCAGCTTACTGTGTGGAGAGAATGAAAAACAAAGAGAGGAATGCCAAGAAATAATTCTGAACATGTGGATACTTCTGGAAGCAAACTGTCAGTTTAGAACTGCTTCCATGTGAATTTTGTGAGTGCAGCCCTGCAGCCGTCGGCCACCGCATATTCACACAAAGCTGTGATAGGGTAATGGGTGTTTTTTGACAGGGAAGACTGAGGCAGAGCAAGAGGGTGACAGAAACACGCTTCCTTGGGTTGTTAGGCACACCATGGTTTGCTCACATGACAACCAACCCACCTTGCCTTATTGTCAGGGTGGGTTGGCATGATGTACACCCCTGCCGATGGCTTGAACCCACACTGGATTAGTAAACCAAGTGACAGAATTATACAGCTACTCCATCCCCTCTGTGGTGGGGGGCAGCCCTCTCAGGGTGCCCCATGCCCAGATATGCTGCCTTCACCCAGATGGGTGTGGGGGTCACAAAGTAAAAACTTTGATGGTACTTGAAAGCTTCTCTTTCAAGGGCTATTCCAACCTGTACTATGCTGTGTCCATTCATTAGTTATCAGTAGTCAATTGTGTATATCTTTAAACCTTTATCTAATCACCAAACGTTCCACTGGAAATGGAAAATATAAGCAATGCTGATCAATGTCAAATTTGTTTGGCAAGAATTAATTCAATTGGGTAAGAAAACTGGGAACTATTTGAGGTTCTTGTAGAAAAAAATAGGGAATGGTTTCTGATAAATCAGTCATCCAGCATTTCTGAGAGTGTTTTCTCCTCTCAAGCTTGACTGGTGCTGCACAGCACTGGGCTGTGATGGAGTTGTAGGCCGCAGGCCTGTTGCGCTATGGCTGCAAAGCTGCTTTAGGGGCTGCAAAGCTATGTGAGGGTGCTGGCTTGCAGGTCTTGCCTCACGGCCTCCATTTTCCCATCTTCTACTCTCTTGCAGAACTGCCTCACAAAAAGGGCTTCCTCAGAGACCCCTTTAGCAGCTACCCTGGGCCAAAGAGGCCCGTGCTCCAGGCATCTTGCAGAGGGCTACATTTGACATAGTTACATAAAGTTTGCAGAGGTTGTGTTCATCAGCTCACACACAGTTCATTCAGCCCATCTACAGCTATATGTGTATTGTGAACTGTCAGGAAATCTTGGAATTGCAGAACCCAGAGAATACATGCTTGGATCCACATGGAAGACACCATGCTTGAACCTCAGCAGTTTATTGGCAGGTCACCCAGGAACCCCCCCCCCCCCCCCCGTAGAGACAAATACAACAGTGCAGCCAGGGAGCCAGTCTACTGAACTGATACAAGCTTCCAGAGCACAGACAGAGTTTTTAAAGTTGTGGGTCACAGTTTCAAGGCAGTGATGAGATTCTGAATGGGTGAGAAGGTGAGGGCAATGGAGAATGATGCAGAAACACTGAGACATTTTTATAGACATCAGGAAAAAGATCACGACCCATTGAAGGCTTGGGTAACAGATAACTAATAAAAGAATCAGGAGTTAGAGAAATCTAACAGGTTTAAAATGTTGTGTTTTTTGCAATCAGAGGTACAGAATTCCTTAAGACAAAACATGAGCTGGCTAGGTATTTTTACATGGTAAAGGAAGCGCAGCTTCCCTGATGGCTTGTCTGATTCTGCAAGAAAATGCACGGATAATGGAGCCCCCAGGGGTGGCTGCTTTTCCCAGGCATGTGGAGCCGGGTGAAAAGTTCTAGTCCCTTTGAATGGAGAGCAGCAAGGTTATTGCTGCTGGATTTTATAACAAAGGACATACAAAAATATATCTTTTTATTTAAGGATTTATTTGGACTTCCTCAACACTACCCAGGATGAAGCAGAATTCTCATATGTGTGTAAACACCAGGGATGAATGTGGTGGACAGATTCCTATGAGCATCTGAATGAGCATTCAGACACAATGAGTACATATTCAGAGCAATGTTACATACTTAGTTGTTTGGATTTATTTGTTGCTGCCTGGTAACTGAAGTTCTCTGGGCAGTTCACAATGATTACAAATGTGTCGTAACCTTTGTTTCTCTCTCCCAGTTGCCATACTAATTCTTCCTCCCACTGATTATTGTGGCATACTTCTCACTGAACTTCACTCCCACCCTTTCTCAGGGTTGTCTCCTATTCAAGATTCTTCTCCTCAGGGCCTCCTGCTTGCTGGATCATGACATTTTGCTATCTGAGACAGAAGGCCACATGGCTCTGACTCAGAGACATACTGAAAGGAAGAACACCACTGAGATGCCTTGTGGCATTTGGAATGGCCATAGAAATCATATTCAAAATAACTGTAAAAAAACTGCCTTTATTTTTCTTACACAGCTACTCAAAACCCAAAAGCTTACAAGCAGAGTGAATTTAGGGAACAACTCCTATGACTGCCAACACAACAGTTTCTAGGGCTCATCTCCAAATAGATGAAGAAATCAAAATACAATGAAACAAAAGGAGGATATCAGTAGCAGATAGTGATGGAACTGCAACAATTTCAGATGCACCAGGAAAATTGGGAGGAGATGTTTTGCAGAAATTATCTAGGATTAATTCTATTCTTGAAATCTTTACCTGTTCCTATCCCTCTAACCTCCATTTTCAAATCACCTCTACTCCTCAATAGCCATAGGAAAGATTGTAATGACAGCAGCACCCACACAAGAAAGAGCAGGTACTTCCAATCCCCCTGTAAGCCCTAAGGAAAGCACCCCAAGCATGAGGTACTATTTGATGCATGCTTCATGGGAATGGCCCCTCTCATTCTGAATGGCCCTAGCAATCTGTTAGACCGAAACCAACAACCTTACAGAGGAGCAACATGCATCAGTATAAAAGGGGCACTGCTAAAAATGCCAGCATATTTTAACCTGGAGCTCTTACTGCCAGCAACTAAGCCTTAGATCAGCCATTGCAACCATCTAGAATGGGGAACAAATGGTACAAAAGGTGGAAAGCCAGCAAATGTTTGGTGGTTGGGAGAAGGAGAGAGGACCAAGGGAAGGGGCCTTTGTTGAAATGCTGGAGGGACAGATTTGGTCCCCAGAGCTGAGGTTCTGCACCCCTGATGTTGGCCTCTGGAGTTAGAGGGTCTTTAAGTGTCTGTTAATCTGTAAATCTCCAATATACTGAGAGAGCTGAAATCATCATAAGCATTTAGTAATGTAAATGAAGTAACATGGTACAGAATTAAAACATATAGTAAAGCAAATATGGATTGTCATATAGCATGTTTGATCTTGGTGGATTAATAAGATTTTCTACATGACTAATAAAGTAGCTGTGAATAACGGGGCAGTCAAGTACTTGTGAATTTCAGAAAAAATGCCATTGGATAATTCCTGTACTTGTTAAGAAATTGGGCAGTGAACAAGGAAGTTCCCTATTTAAATACCATGTTTATCATGAACTCAGCCACTAAGCAAGTTTCTGTCATAAAGAAATTGTAGTCCATCTGCAATATAAGAATAATACTATGCAAGATTGTTGTAAACATAACTAAAATATTGTGTGTGTGTGTGTGTGTGTGTGTGTGTGAAAGAGAGAGGTGTTTTGAACACAGGAAAGCAGTGCACAACAGCTAAGTTTTATTTAAGAAATACATGATTACTCCAGCCTTGGAGGTATTACATGCAGATACTACAGAAAAGCATTTTAGACGCAAAATCCTCTCCAGAATGTTGGACTAGATTGAGTTTAGTCTACTCTAACAAATCAATTATTTCCCCATTATTTTCTCTGTAAAGAAAGAGCAGCTTACCCAGCGTTCAGCTGAGGAGGCAAACACGCCCCAAAACCAATGGTAAAGCGGATGCCAAATGTGGTGAGAGATGACAATGAAACTTCCTTCTAGAGTAGTTGAAAAAAAAAATTAAAACACTACTTGAGGCTGAAAACAGAAATTGCACAAGAAGGTGCGGCCATGGCAGAGGGCAAAACTGGAGGTGCCGGACTGTTCGCAAAGCGGGTTCAAAAGCAATTCAGCCGGGCCCAAGAAAAGGTATTGGGTACTGAGACCTTTCTTCAAATTTATCAGCTTGATTGTACCCTAGAAGGGAAATGTGTACAGCCTGTCTTTTCACTTCCTAGAAAATGTTTTGCCATCATGAGAGATTAGGCAAAGTTGTAAGGCGGGAGAAGCAATTCACTCATTTGCCTGAATTCCTTCCACGCTGCTGCGAATGCCTTACATGTTACTCTGTACTGCAGTAAGATGGCAAATATTAAAAACTGGTTGGTGTGGATGAGTTATCCTCTTGCACACTTTAGCCGGCTTTTCGTCATTTTGCTCTGAATTATAGAAATACCCATCAAAAGCTGGGTTTCCTACTTGTCATTCAATGCATATGACATGGCGAGTCTGACTTATGTTTGCCATTGTGACTATTTAATCAATAGCAAAAGGGTGGTGGATGGTTTGTCTAAATAGATTTCTCTATAGAAAATTAGCATTACTTTTTCAAAGAATTAAATTAGTTGAACAGTGATTTCCTGGCTCCAGGAGATGCTAGTAAACTGTTTGTAAAGCAGGGCAGAATTTTGTTATATCCCAAAACTGTTGGTATGAGGCAGCAATGCACAGGGAGATGTCTTAGGGAAGGCATGCCCACTCTCTGAAGGAACTATAATTGCAAAGAACAGTCTTAGTACTAAGCATTGCTGTCTTCAGTTTCAGAGGACCCAAGACAATGAATACTGCTTGAGATCAGACATTTATGCACATGCATTTACTTTCGATTTGGCTCATGGAAGCCATACCAAATTCATCAAAGTGACATAAACATTTGTACACCATTCAACATATAAGTGCATTTTAAATTGTTTGCACATCTGAGATATTTAATGACCTATGCTGTATTCACCTTTAGGATCTTATGCATATTGTGAAATTTAGGTGCATGTTTTATATAAAATGTGATGCCTGAATAAATGTATTCCATAACTTGTAAAATCTTTTAGCGTGAACAGGGAGGGTGCTTTTTTTAAGCAGTCAATCATTTATGCATAGTCCCTTTATCAGGCAAAACATATTTCTAGTCCTCAGACCACAGGCCTGCAGATCAGTGTGGCCTTTGAGAATACTAAAATTGGCCATCCCCAGACAAGGATTATTAAAGTGGATGCAAGTTCACACATGGACGTATGTGTTTCTGGATTTCTCCCTCCACTCCTATCACACTGGCTGACCGTCTCCAGGTGCTGGGGGACTGTTGCTCTGTGCCATGGCCTTTGCACCACGGAGTTCTGCAGGGCTCTGTTTTGTCCCTCATGCTATTCAACATCTACATGAAACTGCTGGGGGAGGTCATCTGGAGGTTTGGGCTGACGTGTCATCAATACACTGATGACACTCAGCTCTACTTCTTCTTTTCATCCAATCCAGGTGAGGCAGCGACAGTTCTGAACTGGTGTTTGAGCTCAGTAATGGGCTGGATGTGGGCCAATAAGCTGAGGCTCAGTCCAGATAAGCTCTCTGTTTTTTACCTCCAGCCCAAGATTGTGAAGTATTACATCCAAGGTTAAACCACTGGGTTTAAGGGCTGAACAACTCAGGGGTTTAACCCTACAGCAAGCCATGGGCTAGTTCTTGGGTTGTTTAGCACTTCCCCAGCCCAGTAGTCTGGATTTGGAGTACATGCTCTGCAATCTACAAAACAGCCAGTTGTGGATCGTGGGAGAAAAGCAAAAAGTATGCCCTCTCATTCTCATTGTGTACAACAAGCCATGGGTTTGCAACTGATGGTTGGTTACATATGAAGCAGGCCTATAGGTGAGACACCCCATAGTTACCTGTGGCCATGCCAAACATGAGAATGTGCTGCCTCTTGCCCACTTGCCAGATCACTTTGCATCTAGTTTCGCAAACAACACAAGAATGCCCGTTCTTGGGTTGTTGTCATGAAGCATGTTCCTAGCATTCTAGGGGCTACTCTACACAAGCCATTTATTGTGCACTCACCATCCCTCACTCAAAGGATTTTGCAGGATCTTTCCACGATGTTTACATTCTCCAGGACCTTTCCTGAATTTTGTAGTCATTTTTGCAGCTTTTGTTAGGAGAGAGGAAAGTCTGGTATGTTCCTAGATGGCACCATTGTTCACTACAGAAGCCTTGTGCATTTTTATAATAATGCTCTGCACCGTGGCATTTCCTTGTGGTGTGTAATGGAACATATAGGAATGTTCCAGAGGAAAACAGACACAGACGGAAACCCCCAGAAAACAAATCTAATGTAAAGAACCCTCCCTCAAAGAAAAGTGAAGTAGAAGTCTCAGTGGAATGGTGGGTTCTGTGCCTTATGCAGAAAAGCCCCCTGTAGTTTAAACAATCCAGAGTTTCCACCTAACAGCAAAGCTTCATGACAGCATATCATGACAACAACCCAGGAACTGGAAGCAGGTGATCAGGGGGTTAAGGGGAGGTAGCACACGATTTCAGGGAGGGAGACCAAGGCTGCTATGTGGGTGCCAAAGGTACAGATTGGACCCTCTCCTCCTTAAAAGAGCCTTCAGAAATTGTGGATTCAGGTCAGGTGAAGACCAGGGGCCAGAGTCTGCAGCTGAAGTGCTAAGGCCAGTGGACCCAGAGATAAGCCGGGCAGTTGCTGAGAATCAGATCATTTCAAATTCCATGGGATACTGTAGTGAGCATGCAGCTAGGCAAGGGGACAGATGCAAGATCATTAGTCCAGTCATGTAGCACCAGATTAGAAGAAGCATCAGATGCTCCAGGCAACTGGCCCTTTAACAGGAGGATGCACCTTGAAGGCGTGGCTTCCTATTTTCAGTTTGGAAGTGAGAAGAGGTAGTAGCTGTTTGGAAATAGCTTGACACGATTATGTCCCACCTCCCTAATGGCCAGTATTCTAACTTGGCTTGTGTCTTTTGCCATAGACTTCTGCATACTCTTCTTCTGCACTACAAAGCCAGCCTAGCTGTGACATAATCAAGGCTTTTGGTTAGAAAACCTTTGTCCTGATCTCATTGGAGGAGAAAATGGACAGCCAGAACACCAAACTTGGGATGTGCCTGTAACACCACTCATCTCAGCCATTAGCTCCAGAGCAGAAACAAATAATACAAACACTTCATTTTCACTTGCAAAGTCAGAAATAATGAACTATGGGATCAGTGTGGCCATAGGGTTCTTTCTTTTATTTCAATTTGTGGGAAAGCTTAGCATATCAGTGCCTGTTCAATGAGCAACTACACACAATTCAATACATCCATGCAAATTTATCATTTCATATGACAGGGATAAACTGCTGATTGCTTAGTGGTTTCCTGTTTTTTGTGCAGTTTTCTCCCCTTTGAATGACTGAAATGCTTCCCATAAGGCTTACTAACCAGAAGTAAGAAATTTAAGCTAGTAGGTGCTGTATTTTTCTAACTTCTTATCCCACCCACCACTAGAATACATCCCCTGAAAACCTTCTTCAAAACTGGCACTCAGGCTGAAAGAGTTTCTGCAGCTAGGGACCCCTGACAAAAATTCTCAAAACCTTTGGTGGAAGTCATAATCGTCACATTGATCTAAGAATCTATATCAGGCTCTGGTGTGGCCTCTAAGTGCCAGAATGTTTGTTGAATTGAAAAGAGAAAGGCTGAAGCTGTAAACCAAGACAATTCATTGAGAGAGCTGCTCCCAAGTATGTATGTTTGAGGCCCAGGACTTGTATGCATCTAGTTTACATTGTTCCCCGCCTACTACATTAGGATGTGGGAAGCTGCAGAAAGCTACTTGTTATGTTCTTAGCCACAAAAACAGGTGACGTTTCACTTAAAGCATTAAAGAACAAGATGCCTTGCTGCTAAGTCAGTTCACCAGGTTGCAAGCTGGAGACCCAAGCTGGAGCTTTAGATTCCTCAATACAGCTGCTGCTGCATCTAAAACCTGGCACGTTTGAACATTCCTCACCTGCCTGCTGTGGGCTTTACTGTTACAGGTGTCCCTGTTCATTAGCAACATCTGTATAAGCAGCACAGGCCTTACAACTGCCTTCAGAGGTCCTACTTTCCTGCACACCTGGAGGTCAGACAGGGTGAGAAGCACAAGAACTGGGGCTATTGCAGTTGTATGACTTCCAGACAGTGCCAGTGGAAAGCTAGAGGGCTGGTTTGTTGCCTGCTCTAAATTGCTAATGAAAACTCTAGTATTTCAAAAACAATGCTCAATCCTTCCCTTAAAGACTAACAGATTTATTATGGCTGCCCCTTTTTTCATTTCCTTCTGCCTCATTTCTCTATTGCCCCTCTATTAGCCACATTAGCACAATGACTCCACTATGTTTAGAGGCAGAACACCCCTGAAAGCTAGACATCGAGTTTGCAGGGAAGGCCACAGCCTTCATGCCTTCCTTGCAAGCCAAGCTGACAAATGAGACTAACAAGCGTTGGAAACGGTGTAAACGTTATAAACCCTTAGACCTAGTTTGGCCATTCAAAAGAGCCCACTAGCCCTGGTAGGTATGGGTTGGCATTTTGCATATGCAACCCCCAACCGAGGTCATTCTGTTGTCTTAACCAACAGAGTGACTTTTTCAAAGATTAAACCTTTTTATAACCATTTTATACAGACAACCATGGCTTACATGAAGGTTCCTTCACCCTCAAATAAAATACTCCTGCCAGATTTGGATGACACAACATCCTCTTGTCGGTTTAATATGCATGGTCCACATGAACCCACATGCTCACCGTGGCATGAACGGCCAACCACGAGCTGTTCAGTCCATTGAATGGTCCTTTAGGCTGTTTTAGCAGCAGCACCAGTGATGGCGTCAGTCTCCCGTGCAGCAGTGCCCTCCCTCAGTGAGCTGCATAGATAGGATGAATTTGGCAACTCAGCACTTTGGTTTCCTTTAACCTCCCATAAACCAATCTGTTGATCCTGATAAATATTGAAGGAAATCCTTTAGCAATGTGATGTTGTTGTTGCTTGTTTAGTTGGTTGATTTCTGTGTTACTATTCTTGAGAATACCACATAGGGTAAGGAAAGGAGAAGGAAACCACAAAAAGGGATGTTCCCGAGGGCGGTGTGCATCTCTCGTTCAGGGTATAAAGACTGCTATTAGCATAGTAGTGAGAAAGGCAGACTCCTTTTTTGAGTTACTTTTAAAAAAACCAAAGTACTATAAAGGTGCATTCCTCTTGTCAAAACTCAGTGCTGAAGAAGAAAGAAATGCTAGCTAAGCCAACACAACAATGCTATGCGTTCCACTTCTTCTGATTCTGTATCTCGTCCCCTTTTAATCTGTAAGACCAGGCCTATAATTTCAATACTGTTCTAAATTCTTATAATGCAGGGTAATGACAGAACTGGTTGGAAAGAAAATTAGCTCCCTCCTTTCCCCTATTGCCTCCCACGCAAAACACTTTCCATGCTTCCATTTATTTGCAGTCTTGCAAAGCTTCTTCCCTGGTCTCAGACCAACAGTACTGATGTTAGTTCCCATTTCCTAATTTGCATGAAAGTTCTTAATAAAGCATTGGGAAAGGCATGATTCAGTACCATCTCATGGAGGAGATACTGTGTGGTGCATACCCCCAGTTATTTATCTAAAATTATCATCTGGCGTCATCTTTTTTACAAGCGTTGCAAAAAGAAAAGATGGCTTTTCTTGGAGACAACTATTGTTTCTCTTGAAGATAGCCTCTGAGCCATGATAAGGAGTAGTCCAAAGCTTGCCAGTGTTCCTGCATTGGGCCAATGACAGACTAAGACCTGCATTCATACAGCTGCTTGGCCAGGGGATGTAAGGCTAAGTTTTTTTTTCCCTAAGGAGAGATATAAAATATTAAGGGGGATTAGATAGAGAGGGGCCCTTTACCAAGTCAGACCATTGGTCCATGCAGCCCAGTATTGTCAGCAATGGCCCTCCAGAGTTTCCAACAGAGTCTTTTTCATCCCAACATGGAGATATTGGGAACCAAACCTGGGAACTTCTCTATGCAAGCTATGTGCTATACCACTGAACTACAAGCCTTTCCTCTTCCAGCTCAGAATACCTTGAAAGGGGTGTATGGCTGGGAAAAGTATTGTTCAGATGTCCTTATTTTGCCTAATGCAGGAATTATTTTGCACACTGCTCAACCTGGTAGCTCCTGCGAGGTCTGCCATTCAGGCTAGCAAGTATCAACACCACCCTGATCTGACAAGCAAAAAATGTCTGCCTGGAAATCCAGTCATTGACTTTGCAGTGGTTTTGCCAGCAGTGAGCAGGTGGTGATGCTTATCTCAATTCTGTGAAAAGCTTCTGCTACTGCTTCCTTCATGGGAAGCCACTACTGTAAGCTCAGCTGTAGAAGTCCATGAAAAGTTGGAAGTGTCCTTCAGAATGAGGGTCAATAAACTTACTGTGGGCACTAAGTTCCTCCTGCAGGCCCTAACAGCTGGATGACTTGTCAGAATTGGGCAATGGAAGCTCTTCTTGGCACCACAGCAGAATGCTGTGGGAAGTTTCAGCTGCTAAAGTCCTGCTTGTCATGCAGCTATTAAAAGCACCAAAGCCAGGCCAAACAAAAGGGCAGTTCTAATGACTGCACTGCAGTGGGGCTGAGCTGTGATACGTACAATTACAGTCTAGTTTTCAAATGCTGCAAACATGTACTAGACAGAGAAGTTTGCTCTGACACAGGTCCTGTTTATTTGCTGCAATAAGTATATCTGAAGTCATGTGAGCCCATGAGTTGTTAACACAATCAAGGAAAATCACACAAGCTAGAATGAAGTTCTGGGGGGAAGGGGAAAGAACTCTTGCTTTGTTTCTTCCCAGCATCGTTCCATCATGAAAAGTTCAGGATACAAACTCATAAATAGCTGTGAATAACCAAATGTAGGCAGTGCAGGGATATGGCTGAAATGTTTTATTTGTATGAGTTCAAGATACAAAACAGAAGTTGTAACTAGAAGTTCTTGGCTCGGTATACAGTGCAATTATAATCTCTGGAGTTTTTCACACTAAAGAAGCCATAATTACCCATGGGATGGCACTTAGGAGCAGCCTACCCTTGACTGCCAAATGTAGCATCAAGGATGAATTCCTTCTATAACAATTCTCCATTTTGCTATGATACTTTCATTGTTAGTCAAGGGAGCAATACAATGCATGTTTACATGGAAAAATGTAGTTGAATGCTGGGAGTTCTAGGAATTTTTCTGTCTAAACATGCATAGGACTGTGTCTTAAGAGTGTGAAGAAAGAGAACTGTGCCCTCTCACACCATCACATCTTCCATGCAGTCCATGGACAGGGCAGACGTCTTTACTAGAGGAAAGCAAACATGTGTAGTCTCTTCTCATGAGCTAGTGCCACATTATTCTGACATGTGTAGAGCAGGACTGGAAACAGGAACTGTATGCTAGTATGTACTCTCCTGTCACAGAGATAGCTCATAATAACATATTGTTGCTGAGAAAATGCATTTTCTCTTGGCTACCATGAAAACTGCAGCTAACCTCATGTTGGAAGCTGGTCTTCCCCACCTCCTTTCAAGCAGATCAGGACCTGGCTACCTACAGCCTTTATATTTGAAAACTGGCCAGCTAAGCTGGCTTTGTGATACAAAAACACAGAATTGCAGTACTCATTAACGACATTGCAGAAATCATGTTAAAAAATCAGTGAAGATAGAATACCAGCTATTAAGGACATGCAGCTTAATGCTAAGAAGTTGGTTCCAAACGGGATCCCTCTCTCCACTTCCAAGCCAACAGAGGTTAGGTTCACCCTCAGTATGGTTCTTGTCAGCCAGATGACAGGAGCAATGGATGCTACTCAGTCGGTCTGCTCTTTTGATCTGATTATTAACATCCACTCCCCTGTTTAATGATTTTTTTCTCACCAAACCAGACATGCTCTGGGTCTCACTGGCTTCTTGGCTTATATTTGGGCCTGTTCACCTTGACATTTTAGCCAAGAATTCTGACACCACCTCTACTTCCAGTGCTGATACCAACTCTGATGTAGCCACCTTACACTGCTATACTTTGAGAGACACGGGCCCAGTCCCTACATCTCAAAGAGGCCAAGGAAATCTGAGCATGATGGTGATGGCAGATGATGCCATTGTCCCTGTTAATCAAAAATTCCTGTGTGTTGACCCTGCAAGGTCTAGCCCTACTACAGCACTGTTTTGCACAACTGAATAGGGCTGGTTCAGGTTTCTCCCTCACAGGACAGCAGGTTTGGCAGCCATCATTTCTGTAGACATCCCCCTTTACATGCATGGCAAATATGGAAGAGGGATGGCAGGGGAAATAATAGTGAGGCCTCACCCTTGGATACTAGCAATGAAAAGTGACTGTTTGCAGGAAACAAAACACTGGGCTCAGTGAAACATATGTTTCCATTCACTTTTATACTTCAAGATCCTTAAGTGCTCAACCACATAATAAATTATAGAATCTATTCACTGTATGTTTAGAAGCTGCATTATCTTGATTTATTTCCCTGTCTCCCCAGGTTTTGCAGAAACTGGGAAAAACTGTGGAAACGAAGGATGAACAGTTTGAGCAGAGTACATACAATTTCCAAGAGCAGCAGGTTGTATCTCACGGAACAGTGGGCTCTTTTCTGTTTTCAGCAAATTTTGGGGTGGTGGGAAGTGTAGCACCTAAAGGTCCACTCCATGTTTTCTGAGCATAATTCTAGGAATTCTAGGAAAATTCTAGGAATTCTAGGAAAAAGACCACTTTGCAGAGAAACAGTCTATACACACCGTGATTTAGACTGAGGCCTACCTACATCTTGTACAGTTGCCTAACCATGCCTAGATTATATAAAGTGGGCTTGAGAGGCCTAAGGAAAACCTAGGTCAGAAATACTTCACGGAAACATAAAGTGGACCTCTACATTGGGAGGGGGGGGGGTGCCTGGAGAACTTTATGAGGGGGAGGGAGAATCAGGTAAAAGAAGGGATTATTGAAATAGAGGTTTCAAATGCCTCCTCGCCATGCATTGAAAGAACAAAAGAGATATTTGGGGCCATGCAAGGAGGTTGTATCGCCAACACCCACAGCGACCACTTTACCACCCACACAAAAGGGGCTCTATGTGCATATTGATCTGTATGCATGGAGTAGTTTTGTGTGAGGGGCAGCAGCAGCTCTATATATGGGGCAAATGGGTCAGTGCCCCTACGTCTTCCCACCTACATGTGCACTCACAAACATGTACACTGACTCCATTGCACAACAAACAGCTGCTAAGTGCTGCACGTGATCTTCTTTTGCCGTCCACCAAGAGTCTCCGTAGAATATTGAGCGCCAAAGGGCACCAGTGGCTCCCTGTGAGGGGGGATCATGACTGGGCCAAAGCCTCCCTTCACACGACAGAGTTTTGCAGGTGCACTTCGGTCAGGGCAGGGAACTTCTTGGCAAGTGAGGGCAGAAACTGAGAGGCAACCCCCGGCCCCCAGTACTTCTTTAAAGGGCATCCAAATCCACTTTCCTGAGGCTTAGTAACTAGCAAGGAGAGCCCTAAGCTAAAATATGCTGGCATTTTCTCCTTTGCCTTCTCCCGCCACTGCAATGAATCCCATGCGCACTTCTGGGAAGTTGGCCCTTGGGGCTGAAAACACCTGTCTTGAAAGACTAATGGAAACAGCATGCTGGAAACAAACGGGTGACACTCCCAACTGACACTATTGCTATTTTCCTCTTTTTTCCCAGGTCGAAGGTCACAAACTCTACAAGGAGCTTAAGGTTTTCCTCAGCGCTGTGAAAGGTACTGAGAGCCACCATGGCTCTGTTTTCAGCCCTGGCCCATCTGCTGCCCATCCTTAAGGCAGCATGTTCCTTGTGTACTTGTGCAACACACACAACTAAGGAGGTGAAGGGCTCCTTTCTGCTCAAAGTTAATCCATTCTGCCTCTCTGGAGAGAAAATTTTCTTCCTTGAACAGAAGCTCTGCCTTTGCCCCAAGCCTATTTGGACTCTAAAAAATTATCAGACCTCTTTTCTGAGAACCTCATGGCAAGGAGATTCTCCTGATGCCTTTCCTTTACTCTTTTCAGCACCAGGCAAAGACCTTTCTTTAAAAAAATATTTTAACGGTTAATGTCACTAAACCTTTGTTTTGTATTTTTATCTGTATTTGATTAGTATTGTATTTTAATTGTTGTACGTATCTTATGATTGTGAGCTGCCCAGAGGTGCTGTGGGACAATAGGCGGCACACAAATGTTTTAAATAAATAAATGGCAGCATATATGAACCTTTTCACACAGCATGAGGCTCTTTCCATGGTTTGATTTACATATTTGAGCCTGCTTTACACAACAACCTGGTGAGGTAGGTTAGGCTGAGAGACAGAGCCAGGCCCAAGTTACTCAGTGAGAGGGAAATTGATCCTGGGTCTCCCTGGCCTAAATCCGGCCTCGTGGCCCCTGCAGCATGCAGATGATTCCCTAGGAGACCTCCTCTGCCTCAGGGCATGCTCCTCTTTCCCACAGTTCTCTTTTTAAGAGGTGGGCAATAGGGTAGGTAAAAGAACAAGAAACTCTGCCTGTTTGCTGCCTTGTTGTCCAGAAGACATTCATTTATTTTCTGTTTTTATCACATCTGGTAGGTAGATTATTTACACTGTGCAATCAAAACTGCACAAAAGATGGGAAAGACCAGCAGTTTGGCTTAAAGTAATTACAAGGTCATGGAACAACTGACCAGACAAACCACTTATGGAGGCACATAGCCATCATGATTAAAGGCTAACATGCTCAAATAATTCCCATTTGTGGCTCAGTTTGGTAACAGCCATTGTGAATGAGTGACCACACTAGCATTCTTTCCTTAGGTAGTTTGTCAAGATGTGCAAACCAAACCCTCTGCTTTCTCCCCAGACAAGCCAGAGAAATAACAAGAAACTGTGTCTGGGGAGAGACAAGTTTCTGGTTTACATGTCATGAGTGACAGTGGGAGTAATCAGGCTGCATGCATCAGCATGCTTGCTCATTCACAAAAACACATACAACTCTGGGTCACTGTGGCATGCAAACAGGGCCATAGCTGGTGGCCAGGGATGCAGATGGTGGCAGTGGTGATCAAAAATATCACTTTTGTTGTTTTCTACATGTTCCTTCTGCAGTGATGCATGAAAGCTCCAAGAAATTGTCTGAAACCCTTCAAGAAATTTACAGGGAGGATTGGGAAGGATATGATGAGCTGAAAGCCATAGTGCAGGTGAGTGTCGTATCTCAGTCACACCCAGTTACATGGGACATTTTAAGAAGAAACCTGGCTGAGCAAAGCCTCCTATGTCTGAATGCAATAGCCCTGCAAGAGAGGCTCATCTTAAAATCTCCACATGTTGATGGGGGCTGAGACAATGGTAGTTTGTTCCTGGCCACTTAGTGAGCTCAGGATTGAGGTAAAATTTGAGGAAGGAAAATGAGAAGGAAATTCCAGATGCCAAAGGAATCTTTCTGCATGTGGAGTTTTTGCCCCCTTTTCCCTGTTTGTGGTCCTATCCTGTTTTTGTCATAAGGTAAAACTTAAGCCTTCCCTGATTCACACACTTATCTATTACACGACACCAGTTTGTTAACACTTTGTTAAACTATCCCAGCTTACCTCCTTACTTTTGCAAACATTCAGGACATATCAGCAGTTTTATACTGGTTTATAGTTGTTCTGTCTTCTCCATACTCATGTCCCATCAAAATCATACATGCACAAATGCACAGGCTGCTCTTAGCATTGCTGGAGAAACAATGCAAGTGTACAATACAGATTATTCTTACTTTGTTCACCAGCAGATCTAAGAGCAATTCTGGGGATAGGGATTTAGATTGAGATAACACCACAGGAGGGAGAAGGTTAAATACCCCCTTCCCCCATGCTGCTGTTTTGAACAAAATTGGAGACCCCTGCAGCTTCTTTAAAATATGCCAGTGTTTAGCCAGTGATTTAGATTAATTGGTTAACACTTTTTAATCAATTATAATGGTAATCAGCTATCAGCCAATTAAATTTATTTTATTATTCTTTATACAAGTACTTATAAATACAACAATTGGCAAGCACAATCTTAGAAGAGGCGAAATGGATGCCTGGTACAACATACAGGATGGCTTTTAAAGAGAAAAAAAATTCATATGCAATCCCCTCCCATTTAATTTACCAAAATTGCAAATAATCAACATGGCTCTTTTCAAAATGCTATTTTAAAAAATAGATGTAATTCTACTGCAAATCTGCTACATCCTCTCTGTCAAGCTGTAAGTATGCCTGTAGCCTCTGATTGTTATTGTGTGTTATATTTCTTTTAAATTGTCCTGTGTATCTATGTTGCACATGGAAGACACGTGCAAGTTACCACTTGATTTTGCAGTGACTAATAAATCACCCATCAGTTTCTCTAGTGACACAGGAAAAAAGATAGCAGATCACCAGCAGATGTTCACCTGATCATCATCATTTTTATTTACCAATGTAACATTGCCCCCCAAATTTAGTATTCCATCCAAATAAGTATATTTAGGCCAAACCTATTGTCTTCCCCCATAATAGACAACATCATGTGCATGTGACAGAACTGCAAGAGGAATATAGGCTAACTCAACTTATTCGCAACTTCTAAAAAGAAGTCTCACACCTTGAGAATAAGATGACAAACTACTGCAGTACCATGGGAAAAGTATGGTCTTATGAGGTTAGGAGGCTGTGACCTGGTTGCCATGGCACAACAACCCATAATGGATTACTAGTCATAGTGGGCTGTTGTAGCATTCAAACCTAGACTGCTTCATGACAACCCTAGACTAACAACCCAGGGCTTGTTCCATGGGTTGTTCATGCCAGGATTGGTTGTCATAGTATCATAACCAAAAGAGTAATTTAATCATCATCATTATTGTTGTTGTTTGATATTATTTAATTTGTATACCAATCCATAGCCAAAACTCTCTGGGATGTTTGCAACATTCTATAAAAGCAAGACAATAACGTACAATAAAAATATAATAAAATGAAACATATTAAAAAGTTTAATGCCCATGGGTTCTGGAAATTGGGTAGTGAATCACTCAGCCAGAGCAACAAAAAGTCCGTGACATACCCTTTCTGCAGCAAATGACTGCTGCCCCACTGATGCTCAGATGGCACCTTAGAGGAGTTGTCACTGGTTTGCCACCTTTTAGGGAAGAAATGGTGCAAGAAAATTGCACCATTGTATTCAGCATCATTCTGGTCCATCTTTCGCAGAGTGCACATTTGATTTTATGGCCCTCTGATAAGTGTAGCCTTTTCTACTTAATTTCCTTGTCTGTTTTTGCTGTTTGAGGGAGCTGTGAAGTGGAGTAGGCAATGGACAAGACAGCAAACTTGTGCAAGACCAACAATAATTTATTGTTTTAAAAATAAGACCAACAATTTGTTTTTAAAAAATAAAAAGTAGTTGTGCTTTTTTCAGTTTCTATGGAAAAAAATCAGAAAACAAAAAGGGGTGGTGATCAGAGCAAGGAGAGGGAGATAGAGAGTCTTATTTAGAACTATTGGCATGGTTTATAGATTCTCAAATTAAGACAGGTTATGCCATGAAAGACAGTGGCAGGCAAGTGTCCTGGAGGGGTTGGGGGAAAGAGGATGTAAACATCCCATGGTAAACCACCCAGTCACCTGCAGAATGTACTGTAGATTGTCCAGTGAACAAACAACTCACTATGGTTTGTTTGCAGGGTGGGTTTGTGAGACATATGAACTCACCATATATTTCAGAACTATTTTGACAAGTATCCATGTGGTTTTGTTTGCAGAGCAATGACCTTCTGTGGGAAGATTATGAGGCGAAACTGGTAGATCAGGCAGTGAGGACTATGGAGAATTACTTGACTCAGTTCAATGAAATTAAGGTATGCTTTTTAAGGGTTTACTGTGCAATATCCAGTGCGTGCAAATGGCACATTCTTCTGCAAGGAATATTCTTCTTTCTCCTCATCATCACATATTTTGAAATATTCACAAACTCATCTCTTAATTCAAGCCTCCTGCTTTGAGGAAGAACATTTCTTCCTGTATCTATGTTTCACCACCCCTTCCTCTTTTTTACATTTTTAAATATCCTCTCCTATTCAGTATTTCACCCTTTCTCCCTGAGCCTTTCTTAGCATTTCCCATATTACAAGGCTGTGAAAGGTTTCTCTCTTTTTGTCTATGCATATTTAAAAAATGCTTAGAATATACAATTTGATGGTGATGATGATGCAATTAAGATGAGTGTTTGCTAGGAAGGAGGTCTTCCAATGGATTAGAATCCCAGTCCCTGTATTTAAGGCTGCCATTATCATTGGTTATTATTTATAAAAGTACCTAAGATACATTACAGACCATACACAAAAATACATTGGTCCCTGCATGCAGATTCATGGTGTAAATATGCAAAAAAATAAACAAAAAGACAAGTTACAAGTTATAATTGGCAGCATTCCAGAATACTTTGTAACCTGTAGGTAATAGTGCATCACGAAAAGCGTAAGCTCAAAACAGTTCTTCAGTCTGTTTGACAAAGGTTATGCAGGCTCCTCTTTGGAATAAGATATTCTATAACACTGAAGTCACAACCAAAAATACCCTGCTTTATTCCTTCACAGATTCTGTCTTATGGATTCAGCAGGGACTCTTCAAATGATCTTAACAAAGCCTGTGCAAAGAAATGTTCACCTCATCATCACCCTGCTCCCCTAATAATTTCTTAATGGTGCCCCCTGTAGCTTTACTGGACTCTGGATCTAATTGTTGGTTTTTTTCAAAGATACTTGTTCTGGTGATTTAAAAGCCAAAATGGAGAAAGGGGGAGCCATAGCTCCCTTTTCATATGTTTCTTTCTTCACAGGAGCGAATTGCAAAGAGAGGGCGGAAACTAGTGGATTATGATAGCAGCAGGCATCACTTGGAAGCCCTGCAGAATGCCAAAAAGAAAGATGAAGCTAAAATTGCAAAGGTACAAAGGCTCCTTGGAGTTCCTTTCTAGGCCCAATCAGAAATCTTTCATATGACAAGGAACCCAATTCCCATTACATTTTAATTATTCTTTAAGAGGATCTAAATGGATGGGTAGGAATACATGGAGAAAGGCACCCCCTCAGGTACCCTGGTCCCAAGCTGTTTAGGGCTTTATATATCAAAGACAACCCTTTGAATTGGGCCCAGACTGGAACAGGGAGCCAATGCAGCTGTTGGAGGACTGGCATAATGTGTTCTTGCCAGCTTGTCCTCGTTAGCAGCTGCACCGCCCTTTTCTGTATTAGTTGTAATGTCCAGACCATTTTCAAAGGTAGCTCCATGTAGAGTACATTGCAGTAATCCAGGAAAGAGGTTACCAGCACTTGGGTCACTGTGGCAAGGCTCCACTCATCCAGGTAGGAACGTAGCTGAGAAATCAGCCAAAGCTGACAGAGGCACTCCTGGCCACTGAGTCTACCTGAGAAATGAGGGAGAGCTTGGGGTCCAGAAGCATCCCTAAGGTAGGAACCTTCTCCTTTAGGGGAAGTGCAACCCTGCCCAGGATAGGTTGAAAATTACCTAGTTGGAGTGTGGGAGTGCCCACCAGCAGGATCTCTGTCTTATCTGGATTCAGATTCAATTTACTGGCCCTCATCCAGCCCATTACCAAGTTCAGACACTGATTCAGGACAACTACCACCTCACCTGGATCAGATGAAAAAGCGAGGTAGGGCTGGGTAGCATACTGATGACACCTCAGTCCACACCTCCAAATGACCTCATCCAGAGGTTAGATGTTAAAAAGCATGGTGGACAAAATCTAGCCCGGTGGAACTCCATGACACAATCACCATGGCGCAGAGCGACAGTGCCTCAGCACTACCATCTGGAGCTGTTCAGCCGGATGGAACCATTGCAAAGCAGTGCCCCCTACTCCCAGCCCAGCCAGCCATTCCAGAAGGATACCATGGTCGATGGTACCAAAAGCCTCTAAGAGGTCAAGGAGAATCAACGGTGTTGCACTCCCTGTGTCTCTCTCCAGACAAAGGTCATCCCACAGGGTGATCAAGGCAGTCTCCATCCCAAACCAAGGCAAAAACTCAATTGAAATGGGTCTAGATAATCAGTTTCCTCCAAAAGTGTCTGGAGATACTGGCCCACCACCTGCTTGATCACCTTGCCCAGGAAGGGTATATTGGCTATTAGCCTGAAATTATTTGATTCACCTGGGTCCAGGCTCGGCTTCTTTAGGGGTGGCGTTATCACAGCTGCCTTTAAAGGGGATGGCACCACTCCCTCTCTCAAGGAGGCATTAACAGCCTCCAGGACCCACGTGCGGATCCCCTCCCTAGATCTCCCAATAAGTCATGATGGGCAAGAGTAAAGCAAGCAAGTGGTCGGCCAGACTTGTCCAAGCACCATAGTCCACATCATCGGGCTGCAGTAATTGAAATTGATCCAATAAAATAAGATCAGATGATGTGCTGGACATCTCTGCCAATGGAACCGAGACAACTGTGGTATCCAAGTCACAGTGAATCTGAGCAAATTTGCCCTCGAAGCGTCATGTAAGTTCATCACAGCAGGCTGCCCAGGGTTCAGTGATACCTGTTTTGGGGCCAGAGTGTAGAAGGTCCCAAAGCAGCATTATAGCATCCATTTGTTTGGATGCATTGTTCATGCTTCATTTCTTGTGCCTCTAATAAAACTCTTGGGTCCTGCAGGCCGAAGAGGAGTTCTATAAAGCCCAAGCTGTATTTGAGGATCTCAACAAAGAGCTAAGAGAAGAGCTTCCAGTCCTTTACAACAGGTAACAGGCACTACAGACCAAACTGCAAATACAGCAGAAGTCAGATAGGAATGCTGAATCTAAAGAGCATAGTTGTGACTAGAAATTAACCTGGAAAGCCAAATGTTTCTGTAACATAGCAAAGAAACATTCTGGACTTGTTGGTTATGAGGCTGCTTGCAGTCAAGAAGGTAAAAATGGGCTGTAAAACATACAGTCCCCAGAGTAAACATACAAGCAGTTTACAAATACTTTCAAAACCAGAAATTTGCAATCCAACCATATTTTTCTTTTTCTTTCTTTCGCTTTTTTATGGTGCAGTTTGGTTGTTTTTGTATTGGACAATAAAAAATTAAAACCAAACCAAACCAGAACTTATGCTAAGAAAACCAGTAATAAACCCAGTCTCACTAAGATTTCAAGAGTTAAGTAATAACCTTCAAGTTGTGCCCAAAGGGCTTTTCAATAATACTGTACCATGTATTGGTGGCCACAGGATGGCAGCAGAATACAGGGAACAGAATTTTGACTTCCTTCTGTGTTTTAGTGAAGGAATGCTCATCTGGGGTGGAGTTGGACATGACACCACATGCAGGTTTGCTGCAAAAACCCAGCAACCTGGGTCCAGTTTCTCACTCTCCTCCCTGTAATACTATGTTCCTGAAGAACATGGTGTCATCTCTTGCATTTTACCACCCCTTCCCATCAGCAATCTGGCTGTGGCTCATCAGGTTAAAGTCTTACATGCTGAGAGACTGGTTTAGTGGTTCAAGGGTCAGAGACTTAAATCAGGGAGATCGAGATTAAATCTCCACTCAGCTTCAACGTTAGCTGAGCGACCTTGGGCCAGGCACTGACTCTTAACCTAACTTACCTGGCATGTGTGTTGTAAGGATACAAGGGCAGATGGCAGGGGAGGCACTGCTCAGAGTTGTACAGAAGTGTAGGATTAAAATGTGCTCAATAATGTGGAGTAGGATAGCAAAAGACATGGCAAGATAATGCATTGTGGCGTTCAGGGACTCAGCAAGATGGGTAACCTGGACCTGCCATATGCTGAAGGACAAGTTCCAACATTGGCCAGGCTGGCTAAGACTGCTGGTAATTGTGGGTCATAGAGTCTGGAAGACGACAGAGTCCCAAGTCCTAAATTATAGAATAAAGGAAGAGAGTGGACACCCCAGAATTGCCTTTTCAGTGTTTTGTACTATACACTATTATTCTTCTCACATTTCAGTGTACCACTCTAGCGTGGAGGGAGTTTTCAGGCATTTCATACACTCGCACGCCCCTACCAGAATGGCAGGCATTGGTGTTTTATCGCTTAACAAATGCTCAATTTGTCCCAGTATAGATGGTTATGCTGTTGACGTGCCTTCCAATTAATCCCATGCAGTCTCTCAGAAAAGTTGTTTGTTTATTGAGTTTTTAAACTGTTCAAATTGATAAAGCTCTCTGAGCAGGTCACAAAAATTTAAAAACAATTAAAATATAAAACAGTATACAATACAGTATACAATTTAAATAGTTATGACTACAGTATGAAATAAAAGTATAGACTGGAGTAAAACCTAGCAGCAGTACAAAGATTTGAAATACAATACTGAAGTTGCATTTTCAGTTTGAAACTGTAGGGCTTACTTGCTGTCTGTCCTGAGACTGGGACCCAGCCAGTGTTCGCTTTCTGATCGCAGTAAAATTAAAGAACTGTTAAGGGTGCACACGTATATTTGATGCCATTGTTCCACATTTGCTCCATAATAGAGGCATTCATGGTGAAGGAAGCAGGGTCAACTTTGTCCTTCATGTTCTGCCCAGCATGTGACACTTCTGAACACAGTATCTGTAGGGTAGGCTGATGACAAATTACATCTGGTTGTGCTCCCCACTGTCATTTCTGTGCTGTTTGTAGCACTGGCAGTCTTCCTCCAATGCAGTGAAACAACATTCTACTTCTGAGACTATACAGAAATGCTCTTCCATTCACTGAATAATTATTCATTTAACTCTAATACACTTCTAATGCCGCCAAGGAGAATGCTAGCAGATGCTTTTTAAAGTATGCAATCCTATGCACATTTAGTATGAATGAAGACCTTACATCTCCCAAGAAATGGACTTTACTGAAGAAATTGAAATAGCTGCAAATTGATCCCATGTGATTGATTGGAATAAATCGTGTGGGATGACATTCCTTTAGCCATGCCATTTCCAGTTGCAGAGGAGAGCTTGCATACCTCAGTGCTCCTCCACATAAACATAAGACATGAACATAAAAAATCACCACATCAAGTGGAAGCCCCCCCCTCCCCCGCCATATGTTGGTTTTCCATAGTCTGGGAGCTTGTGGGAGAGTATTCGGGTACCTCTAACATCATCCTTCTGTGTAGACTGGCTCTGAGAGCAATTTACAGATGCAGCAGGATCACAAGATGCAGATCAGGTTGGAATGCACCATTTGGGTAGAGGATAGTGTGTTTAAACCTTTTACCTTGCAAGAAGCAAGAGGATGGGGAAGGAAGCTCCCTTGGCCTATAAAGCTACTCTGTCTATCAGGGCACACTGTTTTAGCCCCACCTTCACCCTGATCTTGCAGCTCTCTTGGTGTAAGGCTGAATTTTGTTCTTGCCGAAGCATCCAACTTGCAATTGCTTACCTGCAGTCAGAAGTGGTGCAGTGCAGGAGCAGCTGTGTCTTGCGATTGTGATTGTATGTGTAGATAGGTTCATAGAGAGTCCCACCAATCTTGTTTCCAAGATTGTTCTTCCTTATTGCATGGCTGAGCTCAGTTAAACATTTGGGGTTGGCTGCTTCTGTTTTATTTCCTTTTTTCTTTTCTTCCCCAGTCGAATTGCATGCTATGTGACAATATTTCAGAATATTTCCAATTTGCGAGATATCTTCTACAAGGAAATGAGCAAGGTAAGCAAGGATGGCAGGCAAGCCAGGAACTTAAAATGATGCACAGAAGGGGAATTCTGCTGCTCTTCTCTTTTCTCTGTTTGTTTAGAATTTTTACAAGGATAAGTCACATTAATCTGAATTTTCTAGGCAGGAAAAATATTGCTTTATGCTATTCATAGTGCACAGGATGCATTATAGGGTGCACTAACATAGTTAGGAGTCAGAAAAAGAGGCTGCAGTGCACAATAAGGCTATCCATGCTGCCAACCAGCAAACTTAGACGTGTATCTTTGTAATGCCACTGGCTAGAACCATGGGCAATGTGAGCACCAGACCAAATGGTATCCCTCTTCTCCATCTTTATCTCTTGAATATCTCATTTTTATTTCACAATTCTGATGCTTGATCTGCAAGCTTGATTTGCCCCATTGTATAAGAAAATATATTTGCACACACAGAGCTGATCACAGTTGCTTATGTAGAGAAATTCTGCAAAGAATAGCAATAGCAATTGTAATAATAATAGTAACTTAAAGTATTAACATAATGCTGGCTACCCAGATAAGTTATTGCCAAAATTGTAAGTGAAGATGAGCAGCTTGTATTGTTTGTTTTGAGTGTAGAATAGAGAACTGAATAGTTATCCCATGATTGCATTGTAAGCTGCCAAGAGAACCTTCAGGTTATTGGACAGCATAGAAAATGAATGAATGAATGAATGAATGAATGAATGAATGAATGAATGAAATAGGCTCTCCACCCCCACATCTGGTGCTCCTCATAGCTGTGCTTAATCCCTCTCAGAACTTAGGGTATAGCCCATTTTCTCCCTCCCACTCACTGAGAGTAACTTGTGCACATGGGACCAGAGAAGGTGTGGACCAGCTTGATTCTTCTGTGAGAGAAAAACACTGGCCTTCTTTTTGTTGAAAGAGCCAGCTATGTTGCATTGTCTGTGTATCATTTATGCACATACACATACCAATTTTGCATGTATTGGTAAACCACCTTCAATGTGATAAATAGGAGAGAACCATTATTTTTATTGTTTAAACTCAAAAAGAAATGAAATGACAATATACTATTACTGTATTTATTCCTGAAATGGAAAAATAGATAAAAACAGGAAAGAAAGAAAAAATTCAGAGTATGGGAATTTAAGGTAGCTAATGACAACCCAAAACACTTCTGAAGAATAACACAGGTAGCCAGAATGAACTATTTGATATGAAGAAGTGAAAACTGTAGGAGTGATATAAGTAATATCTCTTGTGATGGGGTTGTTGTTGTCACTTGATCTTTACTTTGCTTTTCCCACTGTTGCTACTTCCAGTTGAACCATGACCTGTATGATGTGATGAGCAAATTAGAAAAGCAACACTCCAATAAAGTCTTTATTATTAAAGGGATATCAAGGTAAGTCATTTCCTCTTTCATATAGGCACATTTTCCCCCACCCAGGCTCTAACCACCATTAGTGTGGTTTGTCTCCACCATATATTCATTATTATTTATATAGACCCTGCAGTTGACATGGTGCTTTACTGATTTAAGAGGAGATGCTCCTCTTATCTGGGATGCAGGCATTATACTGCCTCTAAAAATGGAGTTCCAGGCAGAAGGAGGCTGCAGATTCAAACTTTCTAAGATGATTCATGTTTCTCCTAATGCAGCAACAGAGGCTCACTGGTCATCTCGTCTCCAGTTAGTTCAACCAGCCCTCCTTCCGTGCCCACAGAGAACAAAAGTGAGACACTGGCCTCTCCCACTGGCATTTCTTCAAGCCTGGAAGGAGAATCTGTTTTGGCAACTAAGGGAGCATCTGCATCCAGCAGTATCAGTGAAACAGAGGAAGAGAGCCCTGCATCTTTGGCCACAGAATTGTCATGCAAGGCAGAAGACAACACTGAATCAGACTCTTCTGTTAGTGAGCCCCAAGATGACAACCAAGTAGCAGAACCGGAGAAGTCCCTCAGTGCTTCCAGAGAGGCCCCACAGAAAGTTGAGGAGGTTGCAAATAATATAGCAATGGAGATTTTATCAGAGGCAGTGCTTCAGGCTGCTGGCAAAGGCACAAATGTTGCTCAAGAGTCCGAAGACACTGCACAGCCCCTTTCAGAGAAGATCTCTGAAGCCGGTGATACTTGCGAGGAAGGCAGAGGTTCTCCACCACAGCCACGGGATGAAATTCCATTTGTGCCAGAAGAGACAGTTGAACTGTCTCGGGATGAAGCTCAGATTGAAGGATCAGAACATCAGGGCAACATCTCATCGCTCAGTGACTGTTCTACTAATCCTGAAGACAAACCTCCACCTTCCACCCAAGCTGAAATTGTTCAAGAAGAAGGACCCAGTACCATCAATGGCTGCATTACTTCTGCACTACCCAAAAATGAAGCCATCCAGCAGCAGCCAGAGATAGGGGGAGTGAATTGCCAGGGAGACCTCAGCAATGCTGAAGATGAGGGCAGCAGTGATGGAAGCATTGAAGAAATAGACATTTCCCCAAAGGTCACCAATACCCAGGTAAGAGGCACCAGAGAGCTCTGTCCCCTCCCCAGTTGTCCAGGTAGCATTAGAGAAGACTTTTGTATCCTTAAACTTATCACAGACAAGCAAAGAATTCAACTGCTGCCTTAGAAGAACGTCTTGTGGTTCTGTATATTAATACAAATTCTGAATAGTAAGGGATGTTGGTTTTGTTTGTTTGTTTGTTTTTAAAGGATGCATGCATCTAGGAAAATACGGTGGCAGTGGGCACTGGGGAGACGTGGAGAAAGTTGTTGCAGCAGACTTTTTGCTGTTGCGGAGCAATAAAGCCATGTGGCAGAATGGGAAACCTGGGATGGCAGTATTAGTGCTATTATTGTTTTTGCTGTATGCATATGGTGCCAGTGATGTCCTTTGCACAGTAATTAATATTGAAGCAAAAAGATATGACCTGCCTCCAAAACCAAACAATTAAAAATTACCTTATATTTTCTTTTTAAAAGTAAACATTGCTAAATGAATACTCCTGTGTGAGAACTGTTAAATAGGGCATTTTCCCACAGGAAAGAATGTCCTGGGAGAGGAGGAGGAAAAGGAAGGGGAAGAGCAGTAGGAGAGTTGTGTCATTTGTAGAGTTGCATCATTTGTCACTGTTTGTGTCAACTATGAATGACATAATAGTCGCCTATGCTAGGACACAACCATCAGCAGTCTGTCATGTAGGTGGCTGGAGGAGAGGCCACTTGGCCCTTCCCTAACAGCCACTTCAGCTAGCAAAAAGAAGGCACTACTTTGCCTGCTTTTGGCCCTTTTATACATTCAGTACTAGTTCCCTTCATGTTTTTCTTTCATGGGAGGTACATATGGAAAATAAATCACAATATTTTTGGAACGTAGTCCTGCACTGGACTATCTCAGCAATGTCTGAAGACACATTGGGCTGCCATGTTAGCAAACAGCTGAGTCATCCATGCAAAGGTCTGGCCTTGTGTGGGGCTGGACACTTCTGCACTGCCCACATCCCCCTCAAGTTGCCTGCTCTGTTAACAAATGATGCTGGGAATAGCCTATTAAAGTGGCTGTCCGAGGATATCTGGCTTATCTGACGGTTCTTTCAGTCTGTCTTTCTCATTAGCAATAGATACCATCATTATGGAACAGTCTGCACTGAGGATGGGGATATTTAGGACAGATCTAACAACAGCTCTGTCAGATCAGATCAAAGGCCCATCTAACACACAATTCTGTGTCTAGAAGTGACCATCTAAAGCAGGGAAAGGCAATCTAGTATGCTCCAGGTGTTTCAGACTTGAACTCCCGTTAGTCCCTTCCAGTATAGCCAATGTACAGAAATTTTGGGTGTTGTAATCCAAAACAGCTGCATGGTAACTGGTTGGAGAAAGCAGATCTGGAAAATGTTTCTGGAAGAACTTGCAAGCCTACTGTGAAGGCAGCAGTGCAGGCATCTAAGCAGTCTCTGCTTTTCCTATTCATCAAATTATTTAGAATCTATTCTTTTAATCTTTAGGTGATCAATCTGTTATCTTCCAGATGTTTTGGACTGCAGTTCCCAGCAGCCATAGCCAGCATAGGCAATAGTGAGGGATGATGGGAGCTGTAGGCTAAAACATCTGGGGAGTCACAGGTTGTCCACCCTTACATTAAAGAAAGGTTTATCTTTTATCATGTCAAGGGCATTCTTGCATCACACAATTGCTAAGGAGAGACAGACAGAGAGAGAGAAACAACAACATGATTTTAAGGTTGCCAATTCACTGTTTGAAATACTAACACCAACCTTTACTGTTTAAACTGTAGTTTTGGATGTACAAAGACTTTTGTGTGTATTATTTCAGTAACCCTTAAGAAAACCCTGCTGGGTGGGTAGGGTGGTATTTTACCCTCATATTGCAGATAAAGAGTTGAGAGACATAGCTGGCGGTACCTCCTCTGTCTTGCTAGCTAAAGCAAGAAAGACAACTAGGATAAAAGCATCTTACATCACGGTTGAGAAGTGCTCTGGCTTTGGCAAGTCTCCTTAAGAAGAGACTTCCACTGTATACTTGTTCACATCCACCTCTCAGCATCCTTTAAGCATCCAGAGATCAATGGTCTAAGATCAGGTGTTGTCGTGAGTAGAGTGATTCTGTTCTGAATAACTGAAAGCCTTTGCCTTTTGGTTTCAGACTATCTCTAGCTTCTTCTTCAGTGATGAAGATAAAGAGAACTATGGCAAGCTGCCCCTGGGTTTCATGTTCAAGGTAAGAAACACCGGCTTGTGCAGGCAGGAGCACATCTTGTGTTTTGAGCTATATAGATGACTCATCAAATCTAGGGTTGATTACAGGAAGACAGCATTGGTTACAGCTTTTAGATGCTTCAGCATGTGCTGAGGGACAGGTAGATTACTGGTTGATTGATTTTTAATTTGAAATAACATGTCAATCTTTTATCTACGATTGAATTGAGAATGTTGCTTTCTACCATCAACACAGGACCCAGAACATTACAACAGCAGCCTCGCTATCTGTTCTAGAACTGCACTGTTTTATTGGCATCTTGTTTCATGTTTCAGGCTCAGGCAATCCAACCTCATACTTCAGATGATGAGAATCATCTTCAGTTTGGAGAAGGGGAAACCATATTGGTGCTGTCGGATGCACAGGCTGAGGTAACAACAGCCTAACTCAAAATGCATATGGCAAATAATCATGGTTGACACAGGATGCCCTAGATACCAGGAATGGCTAATCTGTGGCTCAATGCACAAATCCCATGTAATTCCTGGAGACAATGTATTCATATATAGAATTTCTACTACATTTCCTCCGAGGAGCTCAAGACAGTGTGCATGGTGTTTCTCACCCCCATTTAATCCACGTAAGAATCTTGTGGGGTAGGATAGGCTCAGAGCTGATGATCAACCCCAATATGCTTCTAGGCCATGGAGAGATTTGATCTTGGGATCTTGACAGGTGGTACATATTAGAAGCAGCTCTAAAAGATTTTTTGTTTTCAGTTCCAGCAGTGGCATGCTAAATCCACCATGCTCTGCTTGTGACTCCCAACATTCTGCCCTGACTTTGCCCATGACTTGCCATATTCTGCCCTGACTTTGCCCATGACTTGCCATATTCTGCCCTGGCTTCCTCCACTGACTTGCGATTTTCTTACATTCCAGCCCAGCAGATTCCAGCAGCTTCCATACCTGGTCTGCCAGACTGTCCCCTGAGCCCATAAAGCAGACCAGTATTTTTGAAATCACTGTCCTGGAAGTTTTTCTTTCATTTTAAAATTTTATTGCATTCATATACCAGTCTGAGCAGTATTTGAGCACTGAACTAAACAAAAACAGTATAATAAATAAGCATAAAAAGAAATGATAGTATGATACGAATAAGGCAACATTAAAACCAGTCTTAAAAACAGTAGTATCTAGGTGTGGTCACAGATCAGGGTATGCTTGCATAAAAAATAATATTTTGAGCATGTGACTGAAGCATGTGACTTAAGCAAATGCATGCCTGCCAATTTAATTAAAGTGCTTGCAGTGGGTCCCACTGGTCCAGAATATGGGTTTCTTTAGCAAAGCATTCTTTTTAATGTTAAGCATTCACAGATTTACCCATGTCTGGTTCATGCCAAGTGGGGTATATTTTGGAATTTCTGGTTGTATGTCAATAACATAGTCTTGTTGGGAGTTTTCATAGCTCTGCTACACAATCCATTTGTCTCACAAGAAGCACAATCTGACCTTGTTGCATTCTATGCTCTCAGTATAGAACTAGAACTACAGGCAGAGCAGTTCTTGTAATTGACTTGCCTCTGTGTGTGTGTGTGATGTCCACCTCTTTCTATCAATCATTAACTCTCTCATTTACACCTCACTAAAAGCACTGATCATTTACTTCCTACAATGCTAGAACATTTCAAGGCAGATGAACATGTTATGTGTCACATTTTTAGACAGAGAGAAGCCCTTATATACATGACCCAATGAGTTTTTTAAAAGTTAGTATATTGCAGCCTTGTAAACAAGCCCATGCAAGTTGCTAACCATAAAACATTTCCATAGTCAGCGGTGGGTTGGCAAAGGAGAGGCAGAGCATGCTGTCCCTTCTGCAGGGACTATCTCCCTTTTCCTACTGACCACTGAAAAGGGGGCCAACTTCCTCTGCAGGTCTGCTTCCTCTTTTTTTATATATATATTTTATTAAAATTTTTAAACTAACACTAAAAAAACAAAACAAAACATCAAACATCTCAAACATTGGATTCACTGGGTCAACCTCCTACTACATATTTTTTAACATTCTAATATCAAATTCCAATTAATTTATCATAGTTTGAAAAACATCTCTAAATTTACGCCAAGTCCTGTTTCTCCAGCCAATTATAAAAAGAGTCCCAAGTTCGATAGAAATCAGTATCCTCTTTCTCCTTCAATGATAAAGTCAGTCTATCCATTTCTGCACAGTCCAAGATCTTTCTTAGAATCAATCCATTGGTGGGCAGCTACTCACTTTTCCAATATTGAGCAAATGCAATCCTCACCGCTGTAATTAGATGCAACATCAAATAGATTTCCTGTCTGTTAACATCTTCTGGTATAATGCCTAACAAGAAAACTTCGGGTTTAAAAGCAAAGGGTTTTTGTAAGATTTCCTCCATCCATCTGTGTATTTTAATCCAGTACTTTTTTGAGTTGTCACAAGTCCACCACATATGATAATAAGTACCCACTTTATGTTTACAGTTCCAACATCTATTTGACATATTTGCACATTTTTATTAAGATTTTAAACTAAAAACTAAAAAAATAATCAATCATCAAATACATCGGACATACTGGGTCAGCCCGCTATAACATATCTTTTAAACACTCTATAATCATATTCAAAATGATTTATAAAAATTAAAAGACATCTTTAAATCTAAGCCAAGTCCCGTTTCTCCCGCCACTCGTAAAAAAGGTCCCAAGTTTGATAGACGTCAGTATCTTCTTTCTCCTTCAATAATAGAGTCAATCTGTCCATTTCTGCACAGTCCAGAATCTTTTTAAAAATCAGTTCCTCAGTGGGTAGTTCCTCACTCTTCCAGTATTGAGCAAGCACAATCCTCGCCGCTGTGATTAAATGTAGTATCAAATACATTTCTTGTTTGCTAATATTTTCCGGTACAATACCTAACAAGAAAATTTCAGGTTTAAAAGCTAAGGGTTTTTGTAGCATTTCCTCAAGCCATTTATGTATTTTAATCCAATTCTTTTTCACATATTCACAAGTCCACCACATATGGTAAAAAGTACCCACATCATGTTTACATTTCCAACATCTGTTTGACATATTTGGCAACATTTTAGCTAACCGATTTGGTGACAAATACCATCTATAAAACATTTTATATAAATTTTCTTTATACGAAGTTGCTAAAGTTACCTCAATATTTCTCTCCCATACCTTTTGCCACTTTTCTAATTCAATATTATATCCAAAATTTTGTGCCCATGTTATCATAGTTTCCTTAACCTGTTCCCCTTCCATTTTCCTGTCAAGTAGGAACTCATAAATTCTTTTAATCATTTTCTCATCTGTTTTTAACATCACTTGATCAAAGGCTATTAGGTCTTTATAAAACCCCCATATTTTACAATCTTTAGCATATCTTGATTGCATCTGCACCTTATACCACCATGAGATACTGAGTCCCTGTTCTTGTATTTCTTGATCTAGGTTCAGGCCTCCATCCTTATTCAAAAAATCATCATATCTTATGATCCCTTCAAAATTCAATACATTTGGATACACAAAAGCTTCCATAGGTGAAAGCCATCTTGGTAATTTATTGTATAGTTTTAGCTTTAGTTTTTCCCACACTGACTAATTAAAGATCTTCTAATAAAATGACTCAGGAAGGACTCATGTGACTTCACTTTTTCATACCACATATAAGCATGCCATCCCATCTGCAAGTCATGACCTTCAAGATACAACATTCTCTTATTTCATAACATTACCCATTCTTTTAGCCAAGTTAAAACAGACACTTGATAATACAACATGCAGGTCTGCTTCCTCATTTGCATGGAATTTCGTGTACTCACCTACATGCTATTTCATATTGCTCATGGCTACCAAGCTTGTACAAAATATACATCAGTATAATGGAGCTGCTAAAGACACTGAACTGTGAAGCAAAAAGTGCCCTCTTCAAACCTTGCCACTGCTATGAACTCGCTGGATGGCCGTAGGCAGTCCACCAGCATTTAGCCACAGCTTCAGTTTAGCCTCATCCCACACCATTAATCTGCCTTTTATTATTATTATTATTATTATTACATTTCTATGCCGCCCCTTGCCGAAGCCTCGGGGCGGCTTACAACACAATAAAATACATTGAAATACAATAGAACATAATAAATTACCATTAAATACAAAAATACAAAAATTACATTGAGTTACAAACATAATATAAAATTAAAATTATCAGTATAAAGTAAGTAAATAAATAATATAGGAGGAGAAAAGAGAAGGAAGAAGAAGTTGCCCTGGCCAGATTTTAATGTATGCATGTTTAATCAGAAGTAAATCACATGAATTGCAACTAAGCTTGCTTCCTGATAAGAGGGTATAGGGCCTTTCTTGCAAGAATGTTGTAACCATTGCTGAGATAATGAATGCAATTCACTTTGAATCCTTTGAAGTGCTCTGTGTAAATGACATGCTGTTGTTCTTTCCCACCCTCATCCTCAGGGCTCTCAGTGGCTTGCAAATATGCATCATTGAAAATAGGAAAGATAAGAGCAAAGAATGGAAAATTTCCCTAAATGACTCCAAAACATCCAGTGCCCTTTGGCTACAGAAAAAGGGGGAAGGGAGAAGAGGGAACAAGCATCCATTCGTTGTTGGTCTGCTAGCCACTGGCTAGGAGCTGCCTGCTTTTCCCTTGCTGAAGGAGTTCTTACTGCAAAGGAGGAGCCCTGGCCACCCCAAATGTGCTTGTCCTTTGGCTAGTGATGGAGCAACACTGTTGTCCTTCACACTTGTAACTTCAGGTCAGCCATTTACACCACCCATGTTGGGAGTGAGGTGGTTTTTCTTCTTTGGCCGTGTATAAAGCTTAGAGGAGAAGACCATGGAGGTGACAAATCCACCTGACAAACAGCAGTAAAGCAGTTGCTTATGATCATCCAGCATTTATTTGTTTAACTGAAGGTCAGAGTAAAATTCATGAGTAGTTACAACGCAAGTGTCTGGCAACTGGAGTTCCTTGCTGTAGGCATAATCCATCATTAGAACATGGGAACTTGAGGTAATTTATTGTTATACAGATGTTTAAACAGATGTTTATTATAAGTTTCAACAAAACCGAACCATAAAAAGTCCATATATGTGCATATATCAGTTAAACATAAACTTCAACAAAGGCAGATCAAATGTAAATAGGGTAACTGTACACAAAATAACTAGCAATATCATCCACATAAAGAATAACTTTGAATTCAAAGCAGTTGTGTATGTAGCCATGTATATTACTAATCTAATAGCACATGCCAGGAGTTCCAAACATTAACTATCAATGGAGAAAGTAGGCATCCCTATCTGGTACATCTTCTAAGTAAAAATAAAAAAAAAATAAAGCCAAATAAAAACAGTTATAACTCTGGCTTTAGAGGCTGAATATAAAATTTAACCCATTTCAAAAATTCATCGGGGAGGCCAAAATCAGTCAAAGTAGCAAAAACAGATTCTCACAGAATTTCATTAAAGGCTTTTTTGGCATTCAAAGAAAAATTGCAGCCTGGTCTGTTCTTTCAGAGTTTAAGCTAGTAAATCAACAACTAAGTTTATTGGCTCCTGTCTATACGATGATAAATCCCCATCTTGTCTAGTCAGACCAATGTTGTAATAACTTATTGTTGTCATTCTATTGGCCAAACTTTGCAGTTAATATTTTAATATCCCCATACATTAATTAAATAGGTTGATAGCACAGAAAGATCCATCCTTGCCTGAGTTAGGAATCACTATAAGCATTGTTTAACAAAGGAGCCCATTTCAAAAGTATAATTATACAGGTGGTAGAGTTATTGTCATACATGAACTTAAATAATGTTGTCTGGCTAGATCTGAGGATGTGCAAATTTCAGGTTTATGGGACCATTTTAGTTTTTACAAGAATGTTGAGGACAACAATCCAGGGCCAGTCCATATATACCCGCCCGCCCCTTGAGATCTGCGGGAGAGGCCCTTCTCCGGGAACCCTCAGTGAAGGATATTAGGAGGGTAAGTACTCGGAGGAGGGCTTTCTCTGTGGTGGCGCCCAATCTATGGAATGCGTCCCCCAGAGAAGTCCACCTGGTGCTGTCGTTATTTGTTTTTCGGTGCCAGGCGAAGACCTTTTTATTCAAACGCTATTTTAATTGATAATATTGTTTATTTTATTTTTCGGACCAGGTTGACTCATATTATAACCCTTATTTATTTATTATTGTGAGCCGCCCCGAGGCTTCGGCAAATGGGGCAGCATAGAAGCCTTCTAAATAACTAAATAACTAAATAATAAATAAATTGGTGGCTCCAAGGAATTATCTGTTCCACACCATGGAGAACACACAGGATTATATACAAGCATACATATAGGCTACAGGTTATCAGGGGTTCTATCACAATATTCTAAAACTGGCCAGCAGAACTAAACAAAACTTGGTCAAAAGCAACAAATTAGTGCTCCTGTTTTACAGATGAGAAACACTAAGGCTGAGAGAAATATGGATATATGGATAATGTTCATGTTTTCCTTGCAATTTTACATGCTCCTGTTGAAGCATTAGGAGTCAGTGGGTCTTGCAAATATACTGCAAATCACACAGAGATCTAGCAGTAGATTCCAATCCACATTCTATCCACCCATAGTCTTGCCCACCACTCTGCCTCCAATAATTACGAGCAAAAAATTAGCTCATTCATTCAGAATTAAGTGCTCAAAGTATCAGATTCTGAAATCTGTTTTTTGCAGTTTAGACTTGAAGTTCTGAATGCAAATTGTTTGTTGGAAAAATTAAATGCTTTGTTATGATGATTATTATGGATTATGGCAATTTTTTAGAAGGAAACTACATTGCATCATCTGCTGTTGGATTTGTACAGATGCAGTTCTGTCAGTGACTCTGTAGAGGCATCCACCTTTCACAATCACCTCTCTTAAAGACATTGACTATGCTGAGAATCACCATCCCTACTGTGAATGCTTATGGGAAAGCCTTGACTAACTGAAGGTGTGTTTTCCTTTCCAGGAAAAAGGGCACCTGGTGGGTATAAAGGAAAGTGACTGGAAGAATAACCAGGACATGCTACAGAAAGGCATTTTCCCCCAAGACCTCATCAAAGCTATCCCCTTGAAATAAGTGGAGAAGCTGGGGTAGAAGCAGGATGAAGAGAAAACTCAGTACAGAGAAAGCTCCTGTTGTCTGAATACTGGTTTTCCAAAGCTTCTTGTTAACCTGCTCTTTTCCTCACCCATGTAAAGTTATGTCAATGTTATATCATGCATATTTCAGTATTTCTGATATCTGTGTAGCCCTGAATGGTTTGGATGTTCCCCATAGCAGAGGTCTACAACTGGGAGTTCCTTGTGTCAAATCCAGCTCCAAGGGTCACCACTTTGCATTTCAAGAACTTTTTGGAGGTGAGAGAGGGAATTGAACCTGTGTGTTAACAGGAATGTCTGGCAGGCTACTTTAAAGAATGGAGTTGGAGGCCTTTGACCTCTGTCAGAACTAGTTGCTGATCCTATCCCAGTTCAGCTGAGGCTGCCATTCTATATACTATTATCTAGGTAGAGCTCCCATTGAGCACAGAAAAACTTATTTTTGAGTAGGCATGCATAAGATTGTATTCTTAGGTGAAGTTCATTGTATGGATCTGTTGGAAAGTAATAAGATTAATAATTTTCACCAAAGAATGCTTTGCCAGTGCCATGCTATCAAGAGTTTATTATGAATTATTATTAAGTATACATAAGAGAATGAGGTAGTTCTGTTTGCCTTAAATAAAAAGATGGCCCAGCAGCCAGAGAAGGGGTGGTAGGAATGGGGATTTACTCCTGCTTTATAGAGGTGAAAGAGGATGTGAAGTCTTTAGAAATCTCGGGGCCCTTAGGCTTAACAGTAGTAGGTAAGGTGATAATTACTGGATTTCAGATGGCAGGTAGCACCTCCTGACGGAATCTTTATCTAGATAGATACTCCCAGCAAGGAGGAAAGCCAGAGGAAAAGAGCTCTGGTTCTTATCCCTGATGCAACTGATTTGCAGGTGCAGAAACTTTTTTTACCCCACTTAAGGAAGCATTCAGTAGTGTCATTCTTTCTCTTGTAGTGTGAAGTATTCCACTACAGGAGCAGTTTTTACCAGCTCAGCTGCTGCTTCTGTAAACTAAATCCTACTTGAGCATGGTAGTAGTGGTAGGGAAGGGGTGCAATTTGAGTAACTCCATATGGCTTCCAGGTTTGACTTCCTCTGGACTCTTTCCTGTTCATGTTCCTGTTACAGACAGAGCCACGGATATGCCCACTCTTTCTAAAGGCCCTTAGCTGTTAAGCACATTTTACTAAGCTCAGAAACAGCTCTGCTAAGAACCAAATACTAAGTCGGTTCTTTTGTCTCAAGCACCAGTTAGTCTTGCAGGGCCATAAGCAAGGCTTGCTTTGCCTAATCAGACCAAATTGTTCTATACTCAGCTAGACTTGACTTGGGGCATTTGCAAACAGGGCATTAATACTGTGTCCTTCCCTTACTGCTTGTTCTCAGCATATGGAATTTATACAGCCTCTTGTGTCCAGCTATTTCAAGGCTAGCAGCCATTGAAAGACCTCATGCTCTGCAGAGTTGTCTAAATCTCAGACAGGCAGCCATGTTCTTAATGATGTTTTTTAAAATGGTGTTTTCTTCTATTGGGCAATCTAGTATATTTATCTTGTGAACACATAATTTTTATACATTTAAAATCCCATGTATATATTAAAATATTGGGATAAGACTGGCCCAGGGAATAAATTTCATGCATTTCTCCCATTGCTATGCAATTAAGCAGCAGTGCAGGACGTTTCCTTTAGAAAAACATTTCACATCTGTACTGTAAACTCAACTGGTGTTATCCCTGTCCCGTCAGAACCCTAATTTTGTGAGATCAGCTAGTAACAGAAATGTTAGCATCCTTACCAAAGGACAACACAGAATTCTTCAGGGAGAAGCCACAGCAATTAAGCTTCTAGAAAATCCATGGTAGCTTACACATGCACACAGGTACATTTTCTGTTGACCTTTTCTCCTGTACTGGAGTCTGCCAGGGTTAATATAAAGCAACATGTTAGAAGCATTTTTCAGGAGGGGTGTCTTTTCCAACCTCAGTACATGTACACTTTAAAAAATCCAGCGTGGGGGGGACAACATTTGGGCATTTTTGTTTCAGGTGCAAAAATGTCTGCATCCAGCAAGAACGGTAGAGCACACATGACGTGCCCAACTTACTGGACTGATGGGTGACCAAGAGAAGAAACCAAGGCATCCACATTTGGATTGCTAGGATGCTTCCTGATGAGACCTTCAACTAGGCAATTCTCATTCCAGGAATTTTACAGGGGTTCAAACAATAGCAGCATCTTCCATTTGCAGCCCTTGTATGTTTCCTTCTGTCTTTTTTTCTTACCAGAAAAAAACTGTTCAGGAAACAAACCTGGAATACTTGCACAATGCCTTTTTAATTTTTAGCACTAGGAATTGTCCATCTGGAAGCACCCCAAGAATACCATCGGGAAAGGATAATCACAAATAGCTGTTTGGACAAGCCTTCCTTATTATTTGCCGTAAGGATTTGGGACAATGCAGGCTCACCATGAAATAAATAGATGGAAAATTAAATATTGTGGGAAGTTAGAGAGCTCACATAAGATTTTCCTCATTATTTCTGTGGGGAAAATGTCTGCTGCATGCTCCCCTATATCTAAAGGCTACACCTTGCATGATAAAAACATGTATATACAAAACACTTCCAGATAAGAATTAACATGTAACCTCTGTATACACTATCATATATATAGTTTGCAGTATGAGTACACATAATGAAAAGCCGTGATTGGCCAAAATTTCCTGGTGTGTGTCCATTTACACATATGTTTAACCAAATGTGTTTTCTTCATCCTCACCATTTAATTTATGTGCTGCTTTTCCACAAAATGTGCCGAAAGCATCTCACAACACCAGCACAGCAGTACAAAATCAAGGAGGCCTATTAATGCATCAGTTACAATGATACGCTTTTACCATAAAACCCCAAACAATTCAGTTCATTATATTTCGTTAATACAAATCTAACATTTTAAATAGCAAAATAAGCAGTATTGGGCATTAAGGCACAATATCAATTGATATTCATCAGCAATGAGTAAAGCAAGGCAAATATACCAGCCTTTTCCAGTGCATTCTGGAAGTAGCAAGTACACACAATATTCACTTCCTCTCCAAATCCTAAACGCAGCAAACCAAAAAGAAAGCTTTCTGATAACCTGTGGCCATCCATCTCTCTCCTGCCCCAGTCCAGGAGGGACAAGCAGAGGAGGGCGATAATAAGCACCCTCTTCCTCTGCACTCTGCACATTCTCAGTGCTGCTGGGAGCAATGTGGAGGCTGCAGCGATACAGCCGGCCACTGCACAGAGCCCGTGTTTCCCGTTTCCCCAAAGCAGAACTCACCCTGCAGCAACTGCTCTCTCATTCTGGCCGTTCTTAGGGCTTTAGCAGAGACAAGGAGGGTATTCTCAGTGTTCATATTCACCATGGTGTTTAGTCCTTCACCAAGCTCCCGTGTGTGGGTTTTGCAACATACCAAGCCTCCTCATGGCTTGTTTCGAGGTTTAGTAACTCACTAGAATGCTATGCACCAGGAAGATGGTGGCTTGGGGCCACCTAAGTTGTATTTCCTTGCTTTAACACCTGCCTTCCTCTCTCTCTCTCTCTCTCTCTCTTTTGTAAAACCAGCATATTTAAATAAAGCAAGCCTGGATATACATAGTTGTCTTGCACCATTAGTCTGTGAGCACAAAAAAGAATACTGTGGATCTGCCTGATTTCCATCGACATTACAAAGAGTTAAAGAGAAATAAGCATGACTCCACTGTTTATTATCGATGTAGTGAAACTGGAATGGTGAGATGGGAAGGGGAACGCCTTAGCCTTGTCACCAGAGGGCTAGGCAGCTACAGGAGGAAGCTGGAGCTGAGAGTTTACCCAGGCTGGTTGGAGCTGAGCGAGATAATCAGCCAACAACACGATCAAGAAGTACTATATTTTTGTCCCAGCATCATCCTAATCAGGTAAGAAGGACAGAAGGATAGACAACTAGTTTCTAACCCTGGCATTAGTAGCGATCTATTTCTCATGTGTGTTAGCTGTGTCTAGGACAGAGCCTTAAAAGTTCTGAATGATTTTACCAAATAGCTAAGACCAGCCCAATGCACAACGAAGTCCTTTATGCTACCTTAAGCTCTAGGCTTCTCTTCCCTAATCTGGTCTCCAGATGTTTTGGACGACAATTCTCATTGGTCACTTAAAAGCATTTGGCGGAAAAGTTCCTTGTAAGTTGATAAGTGCTTTTGATGCACCAAGAAATGAGCAACATTAAACGTTTCAAAAGGTGGGCAGATATTAGCAAAATTGAGGGTTGGGGTGCTTTTTTTTTGTAGCGGCTTTTTCTGAGTGTGCTATGAAGGGGATTCTAGAAAATTACGGGGTATTGCCTTTTGCCATTCTGCCTCCCTTCACATCTGATGCTTGTAAAAGAAAGCTGCAGGTCTTCAATTAACATTCTGAGAACAAAAGAGGAAAGCAAAGCAAAGCATGCAGAATACAAAAAGAGGAAGCTGCAAGCACATGAGAGTATCTCCCATGACTTTGTTCCATGCGAGTCATCGAAGATAAGCGCAGCACAAAGGTATGGGGAGAGGAGAGGCTTTTGAAATATCCTCATTTTGCACTGGTTACTGCTGGCTGTATTCCCCATCCTGGCCTAAATTGCACAGAAACCCCAGATTATATTTTCAACAGCACAATCATGAGCTCAGGACTGAAGGCAGTATTAGTATTTATACCTGGATCTGGGTTTCTTGCATTTGTATCCAGTCCCCCCTCCCCCCCCCCACACACGGGTTCCTTAGCGAGTGGCCAGACTACAGGAGGCGTGCTAATATGTGCTGTCACTGTCTGTTAGCCCCCCCCCCTTTTTTTTTTCTTGGAAAGCCACTTTGGGGAACATTAAGCACCTTCCCATTCCTCTTTTCAACTCAGACTAACATCACTAAAAGTTTTTCAGGGTAGTAGTGAGAAGGTTTTCAGCTGGCCCTAATGCTTGCTGAAAGGAGTCATAAGTTGACTAACTCTTGAGAAAGTGAAAGAAGACCAGACGTGGTTCTCCACCAAAAGCCACCACATACCCAATCAGATGCGCATCTGGAACAAGACGCAGGAAGCAACTTCTGTGCTGCAGCTACTGAATGGTTGCCGCTTCTTGGTTAGTGCAATATCCTCTGACTTCTTTTTAGATTGAGAACTTCCTTTCTCTGTTTACTCTTAGAACAGAACAGCCCTTCATTTCCTGTTCGAGCCCATGCCAAAATGCACGACCTGTTGTCTAAGCACAAACCAACTGCACCAAACAGAAATGGCTTTTCAGAACAGTGTGAAGAGTAGTCCCTAACCTAACTGCAGAGGGTTTAAATTGTATTCAGAGGACCAAAGATGGCCTGCATGCCGATGAACGGAGAACATGCTGAACTGCAGTTAATGATGCTGCTCAAAATTTCTTTAATAAAGTGTAGGCTTTAATGAGCCCATCACCTCATTCAGACTTTTAATTACTGTGATGATTGCAGGCTATTGAATCTCTTTCTTTACTTGTCCCAACTTAATTTTTTTATATTCATTAAGTGATTGCATGCATGTATGCATGATCATGCAGGTTAAAAAACACACAGAAATTTGTGATGACTGCTTCTCTGGAGAACAGTCAGAGCACCCATCAGTCAAAGGCTGAGCTGAGAAAAAGAGTGCAAGGTAATTAGTAACTGATCAAAAAGGGACAGCCGAGCTCATATTTGCCCTGTGGTTGGCCCTGTTTTGCTCAGCCTGGTACAGGATTAGTAACTGATCAGATGCTGTTGGGATTGTATGGATTTTGAACAGGACTCAAAACTGACATCCTGCCAATGTGAAACAGCTAGTGTCATTGTGAGGTGATAGAGCAAATGAAAGCAACATAGAGGACTGGATGGGCACCAGATACAGTGTCAGTATCAGCAGCAGTCATGGTGGCAGCAGTGGTGGTCACAAGAGCAGCCAACCAACAACCATCACTTTCAGCTCTGCGGCGTGAAGAAGCCCACAAGATTGGAGAGGGTGAAGTCAGCAGTCACCTTTTCATGGGTAAATGGGCAGGTGGAAGCATCACATGAGTAGAAGGACAGGGAAAGGCTTCCCCCCCTGAATGTTGCCATCCATTGTCAGTGCCTTGGGTGATCTGTGCACCTTATGTGTAAGTATCTAGGAAGTGGCTTGCTTTTATTTTATCATTTGCTGGTTATTTTCCCTTTCTCTTTTATCCATAATCTTTGAAAAGTATATTTGTAAGAACCCAAGGTTTGACTGTAGCTTTTGCATAGCCCACAAATGGCAGATACGGGGGGGGGGGCAACAGTAACAGCCCCCACTCCCAGGCATTCCCCTCTGTTGCAGAACAGAGCTGTGCATGAGCCACATGGCTTTTCTCTAAGCTGACCTGCAGTCCTGAGATGTAGTGCTAAATGCAATCCCATCCTCAGTTTTAAAGTAAGATTCTGCTGGCAGACTGGTCAGCTTCTGGATGCAGAATGGTGGAAGGGATGCCATCTTGTCCTTTGCCTCAGGCAGGAAAATGTCTTGGATCAACTCCGGCTGCGCTAACTAGAACTGAAGGAAATTACAGTCCAACAACATTTGGATAGCTACATATTCCCCACATGTGCTTTGGAGAATCTTTATGTGTGATTCTAAAAGTACCTCTGGACCTCTTTTGCCTTCCCCATGTCATGTGTGGATGATTAATTTAATTCAATTTGTGAGATGCCTCTTTATATTGCTCTTCAATCATGTTCCCATGGATACTCACAAAAAGGCAGGTTTGCATGATATGACAAGCCATGGCATGTTGTTATGCAAGTTGATCTGTTGTGTCATCCATACCCTGCCATGGTATTTCTTCATGGTATGTTTGGTTTCCTGAATCCATGAAGAGGAACAACCATCTTTTCTATGGTTTCCATACTTCACCATGGCTTTGCCAGTCTTCTGAACCTGGCATTGTGGTTTCCATGGTCCTGGTATGCAACTACCGCAGAGTCCCCTGGAAAGAGTGGCTGGTGCAGGAACTGCTCCAGCCCTCGAGCCTCTGCTATCCAGCTCTGCCTAGCAACAGCTATGTCAATGCCTGCCTCGCTCCAACTCTGCCTTGCTCCACACTACCATCACCCTGTGGCTTCTCCACTTCTCTCCAGATGTTCGCCTGTTGTTTTCGTTGTTCTCCAGCAGCAGAGAAGGGTCTCCTGCTGTCTCAAACAGCAACCTTGGGTGTAGGCAGATGTGCTACAGGCAGGCATGAGCCCCAGGAGATCTGTGCAGCTATTTCTCAGTGAATTGGGAGAACTACCCTCAGAAGTATTGCCAGTAGTCCCAAGCTTTTCTAGCATGGGTGCAAGTCTGCTTTCCAGCAATGGCCATGGTGGAGCAGCCTTTCAGGGCTTCCTGACTGGCCTTCAGAAGTAGATGCAGCCATGGTGCAGATGCCCTTCCGTGAAAGCAGTCCTGCAGGGAGTTCTCGGTGCCTCTAGGTCACTGCTGCATGCAAGCTGTGCTGCGTATGCATGCAGGGAGATGTCCACGTAGTTCAGGAAGGGGAAGCGTCAGGCAGTGTGTGTGGCTGGATCTACTGGCTGGAGGCATGCCAGTGTGAACAAAGCTGCTGAGGGGGCAGGGGGGTAGGAACTGGGCACATCTCTTGGGCAGCAGAGCTAGCACATGGGCAGAAGAGTTCACCAGGTATTTTTGAGATATGACATGCTATATTCTTTCTAAGTTGCCCTTTCCCACAACCCAAGCCTCGGTCATGCTGCAGAAAGAAAGGCAGCTGCAAGTTTCTTGTGGGGAGGGTTTGATGTAGAAATTGGAGGTGATGCGCCTGTGAGCATGTGGGGTGCAGGGGTGTCCATGGGGATGCGTGTTGTGGCCAGGGAGGGGGGGGCAAAGGATTGCCCTTGAAGATGACCAAAAGAGATGGGAAGAGACATGTGCAGGAGTCGAGTCCGATGCAGGAATGTGTGCTGGTGGGCAGCAGAGGAGGGTGAGCTGCAGTGGCTGGAGAAGAAATTCAAAGTGGGGCCTGGCATGGAAGAGAGGGATCCAGGCAGGACAGGCAAACATTTCCCTGCTTGTGACAGCGAAAGCAGGGATGCAGGGAGACACTTTGCAAGGGGGTGCAAAGTGTGGAGAAGTAAGGGCGCTGGCTACAGGCACCGGGGACGGGGAGGGGGAGGCACAGCCTGCTGACATGGATGCTCTCCATGCTGGCCACAGTCAACTGATGTGTTTGCACTTCCTGCTCAAAGTGAAGCCTTGGTAGATCTTCAGCAAGGGAAGGGAGCGGAAGAGGTAGGAGTGTGGGTAAAGATGCTTCAATATGGAGCAGGGTCACAGTGGGGAAAAAATCCACAAATCCACTCAGTAAGCAGCAGCTTCAACTGGGGGAGATGGAAAAAAGAGAACAGGAAGTGGGTGGTAGAGAACACATCCCGGAAACTGTGTGTACTAGTGAGGAAAAAGCAGGCAACTCGGCAGCAATGCAGTGTGGATTGAATTTCTGGCATGATGGCTGATGAGACACGTGCCAACAGCAGAGGAACTGAGCAGGAAGGAGGGAAACCACACCAGCAAAGAAACCACTTGATGCAAAAAAAGTGGAAAGCATGGAAATTATGCAGGGTTG